AGATTACTTTGTTGTAATCACACCTATTACTTTATCTGTGTTCATGGCATGAAATAAGTATAATTTTAATTTGCGAGCAAGTGTTTTCTCTGGGTATTGGTACCATAGAGGTTGGCTGAGTGAACTAACCAATTAGTTTAAGATCGTGAAGTAGCAAGAGAGTGGGATTAGCCTAAACTGATCATATGTAGTAAAACTTCATCATAGACTTGATGGACTGAGTGGCCAGTTTCTAACAAGAGGTTTGTCAACTGGATTTTATTTGGATGGCTGAGGTTGATTATTGTTAGTAGAATGAAACAATTTAAATGCTACAGATTAATTTTGGAATCGTGATTTGTGTATGGAACCAGTTCCTAAAGTCTGGATTGCATTCATTAGTGAGGATATTGCTCTTCTCTCTTGAGCAAAATTTTCCAAGTTGGTGACCTCTTTTAGGAACGTGGTAGCGATATTGTTAGCTCAATACAGAAGCGTTGCATTCTGTGTGTGAGACGGTATGTTTCTTCTATATATGCACTCTCACTTACACGTTTGTTCGCGCGCGCACGTACACTCTATATCTACCATGTAGCTCTCACAGGATGTAAACAAATGCCGCACAGAACCAGATCAAAGCAGATGAGTCTGCTACATGGAGGACGACTCCCCTATTGTGGGAATTGTCGACACCACTGCCCACACCAAAAGACTCTGCTTTTAGCCTGCTATGAGCTAAAAAAAAAGCTGTTTTGCATTGATTTTGTAAACAAGTCTAGTTCCTTAATTTGCACTAACAATACTGCCATTGTAGTTTAAATCTAGTTTGAAATTCATCCCTGATATGCATATTTCAGAGAAGAATTTTAAACCAGATTTAGACTACATTGAAGAATTTGACCCGTAAAATATAATCAATTTACTTTACAATATATTCTGTGAAGCATTTTGAGATGTCTTGAAGACGTGATAAGGTGCTATATATGTTCAAATGCAAGGATTATTATTATTGCTTTAATGTGCATGTGGGTTCCTGCCTGTATGCAATCACTGAAATATGGCTTAAATTAAAATACAGAATCAGAAGCAAAGTTGCATTGTTTTTCTACAGATTAGGTTAAGATTTGTAATTCAGTCGCAAAACATTTGAAGGAATTATTTTATGATAGTTACAATAGAAGTTACTAGAGATTTGGTGCCATTTGGAGTCTTACTCAGCGGGAAAATGTATTGCATACAACATCATATAATTTTCAATCAGATACTGATTTGTATTGTTTTACTTTTGGGACATGATTAATAGTCTGTAGCAAATGCAGACTGTTTCAAATACTGAATAAGTAAATCTTTTTGATGCAGTATTCTAGATGAAAAGCTATTTGTAAAACGTATGAGGAATAAAACGTTTTTTTTAAGTACATCTATAATGGGAAATACCCCTATTGCAAAAATGAGACAACAAGTGATTAAAAAGTAATTGCGATTAGTCATTTCCTGCACCCACTCTAATCTATCTTGTAGCTATATATATCTCTAAGTTGTCTTATTGTCCACAATGGGCATTCAGTGAATAATATGCATGCTTTATATGCAACTTGGTACATAATTTCTAAACTGATTGGGTACAATAGGCACATAAGGAAACTTCTTTAGACAAGTGCAAGTAAGACATTAGAAGGCTTCAAAATCTTAGCATGAATTATTCTGAACATCTACAACATACTTCCCTTGTACTAGATATCAGTTGGTCTTTGATAACCTTACTACTTCTGCAAGACCCGACTTCATATGTGCTCTCTCCTTACCCCCCTTCCAAAAAAAGTACTGATTATGTTCAAGGTGGTAACAATCCATATAGTATGACAGGTGAGAAGAGTGCTATCAATATATAATGCTGTAATTATTTTAAAAGGTGTAATACAACAGATTACATTTGTATAGTGCTTTTTGCGTCGCGAGGACGTCCCCAGGCCCTGGACTATCAAGGATTTGTAATGAGTAAATATGTTATGCGCCTTGACTTGGATGCCTGGCATACTGTGTCCAGTAATGTGTGTGGTAGTTGAGAGTGAGGCTCTTGAGACTGTGCATGGCTTGTTTGACATCACGGAAACAAAGCGACAAAAATAATTCCAACGCATTTCTTTTCAGAATTTTCGATGCTTAAAGTGGAATGTTGCATGCAGTGAGAAGAGATTCAACCTGGCTGTACGCAAAGAAAAAAGTTATCCTCAAATTATGTGACAACCTTACTACCATTTCGCCCACAAAAGTCAATTCATTTCACAGTATTATGCCGTGAAGCACTTTGAGACATCTAGAAGACGCGATAAGGCGCTATATCAGATGCAAAGATTATTATTATTATAATGAGCTATGTGCTGTTCCCAGCAGGTTATTGAGCATTTTGGTCTTTACAGCGAGCTCCTTTAAACGCTTGTTCGGGCACACACACCAAGATATCATTGCATTTGTCAAATGGGAAACAGTAACCAGGACAGGGATTTTAGAGGCTGAATTTATAGCCTTTTATGGGTGAGGTTAAGGCTTGAAGCTGCTTGAAGCCTGACATATGTTGAATTGTTTGTAGGAGGGCTCCTTTATTCCACTACTGGTTGTTCCTGTTTTCACACTTCTTTGAGCCATGGTTTGGTGTTTTAATGCCTTGAGGCCAAAATGTTTATTACTGGATAGCAAATGTGTATATTGTATACTCAGCAAAGTGAATCCCAATTATTCGATGGCATCCAATTATGAAGTGTTTTTTGCATTGGCTAGATCACTCCTGCTATGACATCTATGTTGCATGTAGTTAATCTTACTGTGACTGCAAACATATAATAGTAAGGTAGCATTTAATTTTGGGGTTTCTCCTGATGTTTGTAAATCGAAGCTTTAGTCTTGTGGTTTAATGTTCTCAACTAAATTACAGTATTGCCTCAACATACACTGCTACCCATGTGTTAATCTTTGTGTGTTTAGCTTCTGAGGATTTGGTTTACTTTGCATCCATTTGATTGTGATGAGTTTCACTCCGTCTCCTGGGTTTTCATGCCGTTAAAGAAATTTATGCCATGAGTCCTTGTTTGGAGATTGCCTGAGCCTAAGGAAAGCCAGCCTGGTAGGACAGTTGTTTTCCTATTTACAATTGAGATCCTATTTTGGTTTTAAATGTGGATTGTATATGAGCAAAGGATATATTTTCGAAATTGCATAATCTTTGTAATTGCCCTAAAGGTGTCCAAATAGAAATGGGTGACCCTGTCCAGTTTAGCCGTTGTCTCGTCTCTGAGATTATTGTCGTGATGCCACCGTCCAGGGTTATACAACACTGCCTCAAATTGACAACCTTTTTTTTGTTTTTAATGGGTTTTAAGGAGTTAAGCAAAAAATCTTGCTGTCTTAATTTTTTGGGGTTAGCTGGTGTCTGACAAATGTGGAAACCCATCACCGTTGCTTAAGAATCTCCAAACCAAACTGAGAATTCCATGCATTCCACCTACACATGGAAATCCTAGAGAGATTGTTGGAATGGAATGCGCACTCTCTTCCTTGAGGGATGCATCCTGCTTAATTCCGGAAAGTATTAGGAGCAGGTTGGCAAGAGCCAAAAGCTTCAGGCCTCCAGAGTGTGGATTGGGGTACTGCTGGAAGCTAACCAGCTAAAACCGCATAGCTTGCCATTGATCTTTGCTGCCTGACTGTACAAAGCAGACACAGTCGGCAGCTTATTGTCCCTGTAGCTAAGTAGGATTTTCCCGTTTGCGGCACTCTGCTTTTTCCCCACCCATACAAAGATGCTGCAGCTTCTGCTTGACACCTCCCTGATTTGCCATGCCATTCAGGGAAATGTAAGGACCGTCTCGCAGGCCTTTTTCTGAACTGCGTATTCAGTGATTCCTAAAGCATGGGCTGGTTTCCTGTTGCACTCTCTCTCTTTCCCCCCCTCCCCACCCCCCACTTCCTGCTTCTACTCGTTGCTTCCCTCTAATGGCAAAGATGAGAATTTTAAGAGTGGTCCACAGAATATACAGAACATCTAAGAGTACCATGCTGTTTCATGGTTTCATCCAGTCGTTTGAATGCTGTGTACATAAACATCATCAGGTGTGTGCTTATGAAAAAGTGTCTGTTTAGTGAAATCCAAGCGCTCTGCCCCACATGAAGGGCACTCTATAAATGCAAGTAGTTGTTGAAATATAAATCTTGCCTTTCTTGTAAAATCACCTGCATACCTTATATCTAAGATGTTGGTGAAGCTAATAGAAGGATAATAGAGGTGTTGAAAGGTATCTACAAGAAGCAAGTTATGTGCAATGGCACATTGCTAAATTGGTAGCTAGCTTTTACATGTTTACCTACAGTTCGTGTGAAGCAAACATGAAGCACCACGGAGAAGTGAAAAGAGTTTCATTTAAAGCCAAGGGGCAGTTTAAATGGTCCAGGATCCTGCCCTCCGAGAAGAGCGCTATATAAATGCAAATTATTGTTGTTATTGAGGTGCCCTCTGCATAGAAGGTCAAAGTGCGAACCTGGGTATGTGTGAGGTGGGGGAGAGTGGTGAGGGGTATGAGGCACAGAAAAAANGACGTCTGGGTTTCTGAACTGTATTTAATCTCTTTATTTCTTCTGAACTCCCACTTGCCTCCTGAGCTGCTGCCTCCTCCCTAGGTTGAACTAGTTTTCAACCCAATTACTTGGTTATACAGTATATGTAAATCTAAACCATCCATTTGGATAACTAGATTATCAGGCACTTATTGCTAGCTTATATTTTTAGACTGTTTTGTTCTTACGGGAGATCTTGTTTATCCCTGGAAGGAGTCCAAGAATTTTTTTAAAACAATGCATGAGAATTTGACTTTGATTGTTTCATTAATCAGTTGTCTAATTGATTACTGAAAAATGTTTGGCAGAGTCTCAAAAGGTTCTTTTGCTTCTGTTGGAAGTGTGGTTGGATGTAGTTAATGATTTGCCTGGAGATTTTCATATTTTTTAAAATCTTATTTTGTTTTTTTCAGGATGAACAGTTTTCAGGTTTCTGTTCAGATGATAATGGAGTTCGAAGTCCCACAAGATGTCACTTCAGATCCCAGAGAGGTAATGCTTCCATTTACATTTTGTTTACATTCTGGAGAAAAACCCTGTTAATTAGAAGCCCTCCCAACTCGTCTTCCTCAAAGTTCAAATGTGGTTTGAGGACACTGATTTTATTAATCTTGTGAATTCATTTTCAAAATAAATTTTTAAAATATAATAAATGTAATCCTTGCATTTGATATAGTGATTTATCATGACTTTGAGACGTCTCAAAGCGTTTCACAGAATATACTGTAAAGTGAATTGACTGTATATTTTGTGGGTGATATATTTTTATATTGCACAGAACAGTTGTTCACAAGTATCAGATTATAGCCCAAGAATAATAATCGTGGAGCCCTGTAGCTTAGTGGTTGGAGCTCACGCCTCGCAAGCGAGTGGACCTGGGTTATATGACTAGTCTATATGGAAAACATAACAATCCCTCCAAAACTATAAACAGTAATAAATTGGTCATTTTCAAACTACAACTGTTTGTGGGACATTGCTGTGCGCAATTGGCTGCCGCGTTCGCCCACAAATATACAGTCAATTCACTTTACAGTGTGTTCTGTGAAGCGCTTTGGGACGTCCTCCCGACATGAAAAGCGCTATATCAAATGCAAGGATTATTATTAAACAACAGTTCACACTAACAGCTGTCAGTCTTATTTACGCTTTCAGCCATACATAAGAAAGATAACTCAACCTGTCCAGTTTCTTCCAATTTCTATGCCCTATTTCGGTACAAATCAAACCAATTATTACCACCTCAAACCTATATGATCCGCTATCTGCAGAATCGACAGGTGTATCCCATGATTGCAGGCATGAAGATGTTATTTGTTGTGCTTAATTTAGCTCCTATCACCTACATGGTCTTATAATTCTATACAGCGATATTACAAGCTGAGGCATTTAAAAATTTATTGGTTCACGTACTGTGAATCAGTGAAGGTATTTTTCCTCATTCCTTGCTTTGCGGAAGTGGTGGTTAGGATCAAGACGACCAGGCCTACTCTATTCCCCATCGCTGTAATTGGCTGTCCATGCCTCCTGCAAAAAATAGCCTTAAAAAAAATTTAAAATAATAATTTGGTCAGTCAATCCACAACTGTTTGTGGGACATTATTGTGCACAATTGGCTAACTCATTTCACCCACAGAATATACAGTCAATTCACTTTACTGTATATTCTGTGAAGCACTTTGAGACCTCGAGTCTGTGTGAAGTCAGTCTAATCTTTGATGGTAGTTGGCTACTGTTTCAAAGGAGAAAATATGTTGTGTTGATGTATTGGTTGGAATGTGCTCACCGCTTCTTAATTTAAAACTAAATTGTTTCTTTTTTTTAGTCAAATCACCTCAAAGAAAACTTCGAGGAAGACAAAGGACGTTTTCTTCTCAGAGTTCGGACGCGCCCTCAGATTCGTCCTCTGCCCTGTCCCCTCCAACCAAGCCAGACGTGAAGCCAGCGATCAAAGACAAGAAAGCTGATGTAACGGGTGGGGAGAAGAGGAGGGGACGACCGCCCACATTAAGCAATCCAAAACTCCAGCTTTCACAGGATAAGAAAGAGCCTGCTAATGGGAAAAGCGAGAAACCCAAAAAGGAAAAAGAGAAGAAAGTGAAGAAGAAACCCTCCTCGCTGCTGCAGCAGGCAACGAAGATCAAGAAGTTGAGAGCCGTCAAACTGTCGCCTTTGCAGTCTAGGCTTAAAAATGCTAAACTGCAGATTAACAGCAAAGGAGGTAAAATCGAGAGGAGAAGAGGGAGGCCGCCGTCCTCAGAGCGCTTGAAAACAGTCCCCAAACTTCTAGTTTCGCCTCAACCCAAGAAACAGAAGCGCCCTCGTAAAGAGAAGGACACTACGCCGTCGCCAAAACTGGCGGTGACCAAGGACATGAAGTCTGTTGACAGGCGGAGGCCTCAGAGGCTAACAAAACCAGTCCGCGTTGTTCCAGTCACTAAAAGGACTGATGCGACCATCGCAAAACAGCTTCTCCAGCGAGCCAAGAAGGGAGCCCAGAAACGGATGGAGAAAGAAGCTGCAAAACTGCAGGAAAGCAAAGGCAGACCAAAGATGGCATCACCTCAACTCAAAAACATTCGTCAGTTTATCATGCCAGTCGTCCGTGCCTTTTCCTCACGAGTCATCAAGCCCCCCAAAAGGTTCATTGAAGATGACAGTTACATTCCTCCAATTAAAGTACCACGACTGGAATCCACTCCGACCGGCAGGTTTACCTCTATTTCATGTGGTTCCAGTGAGAAATCCAGTGCCGTTTCGCAACATTCTTCACAGATGTCCTCTGATTCATCCAGATCCAGTAGCCCCAGTGTCACCTCCACTGATTCTCAGGCCTCCGATGAAATGCAGACTCTTCCCGAAGTAGCGAGCCAACCCGCAGAGCTGCACGGCTTAAACGCCTCACAGTCTGGTGAAGCGGGAGGAATGGACAAGAAGAGTCCGCGGTTTTCGATGGCCGAGAGAAGCGGCTCAGCGAGCAAGAAAGCGTCCACTTCCTCACCACAGCCCACGTCCTCCTCTCCGCCGCCACCCCTACTCTCACCTCCCCCTCCACTGCAGCCCACATCAAACCTGTCCGATCACTCCCCGTGGCTGCTGCCTCCAAGGATACCGTTGGCAACCCCCTTCATTGCACCGGCACCCTTGCCGGAGAAACGCAAATCAATCTTGCGTGAGCCGACATTCAAATGGACATCTCTAAAGAATCTGCGGCCGGAATCCCAGTACTTTTCCTCGGCAAAGTACGCCAAGGAGGGGCTGATCCGCAAGCCAATCTTTGACAACTTCCGGCCATCGCCGTTGACTCCAGAGGATGTGGGCTTGCCTTGCAGGTTCCAGGGCTCCTCCTCACCCACCGCTCCAGCTCGCTTGTTCTCTTCGCTTCATCCCACGTCCAGATTCGACACTCACAAGAGAAGCCCCCTCCTCCGCGCTCCCAGATTCACTCCCAGCGAGGCTCACTCCAGAATCTTCGAGTCTGTTACCGTACCTTCGCCTACAGTCAATCTTTCCTCTTCAGTCGCCTCCTCGAGGAAAGGGCATTCCTCTCGTAAGAAGAAGAAAGAGGTGCATATTGTGAGTCGTATTGATCCTAAATCTCCTTCACACTCCATGAGAACCCGAAGCGGTCGCCTCATTTCTACAGATTTATCATCAATCACTCCACAGACCTCTGTAGCTTCCTCACCACCTGTACGTTGCATCATACCTGGTGCCTTAACGCCCCCTCTGTGTAGTTTGGCACAATCTGAAGGAACAGTCAAGGATAAAGATGGTAGAACAAGGTTGTTGACTAGACAGACCAGCACTCCGGGGGAAAGTTTCCCTGCAGACTCAGCCAGCCCGCCCTCTCCGCTATTCCCATTGCTGGCAACCAGTATCCAGAAGGATAAGGCAAAGAGCAAAGACAAGCCGGTTGAAAATTTACCCAAAGAAAAGGATGCTGAGAGAGGGAATGAGAAAGACCGGGACAAAGAAAAGGAGAATAAGCGAGAATCGAGAAAGGAGAAGGAAAAGAAGGTTCAGAGTAAGGGCACTGAGGTACCCAGTGCTGTCTCTTTGTTCCTGTTTCCCAGAGCAGTAGATGAAGAAAGAACTTCCACAGAGGATGTAGCTGCCTCGTCTTCAACGAAAAAGGTTCCGGGGAGGACCAAGAAGCCTCATCCTACTGAAAAAGGTGCAGCAACGCTGGGGGACGGTGCTTTAGCGTTGTTGGACGTGACGCCTGTGAAGAATAGAATCCCAAAGAAAGGCAGAGCAGCATCTGAGAGGGTAGGACCTGCGAAGGGCGACCCTGAAAACAGTGGAGTTGCTGCCACTGGTAACAAAGATGGGTCTCTTCAGCATTCGGTGATTACTTCTATCCTCTCGTCAGGCCCTCTTAAGCACTCTGCTCCCGCTATCAGCAGCATGCTGACACAAGCAGACAAGATGCCGACCACTGATAAACGAGTGGCCAACCTGCTGAGAAGGGCCAAAGCGCAGCTCTGCAAGATTGAGAAGAGCAAGTCTTTGAAAGTTACCGACCCTACGAAATCCCAGGTAATGTCTGTCTGGAATGTTGGAAAAGACGAATAGAACAAACTTCTAGAAAGTGGTGAGATTGCACACTCATCTGGTAGTTTCAGCCTCTTATCTCTGGTTTTGATCTGCACGCTTCAATTTTGGTGATGATTAATTTTGATGGGAAATTAATCTCTTTGTTTTACAGACAGCCAGTGTTCTCAGGACTTGCACACAACCAAAAAACACTTCCATATAAAACAAAAGGGTAAATCCTCCTTCATGGGGCATGTTGGGAAGGATAGGCACATTTCTGTGTGGTTGCTATTAGTCTTGTGACAAGATTTTGGTTTGATCCCAGTTTCTCAAATCCATAATTGTAAAATCAAAGGGCTTCAGTAGGAGTTGAGTACATACCACTCCAACAGGTCTGTCCTGGCTCATCATGGAATGAAAGTGGTATGAGTGGTTTCTAGGCTACGTTTGTAACTGGTTTTCTCTAGTTTCCAAGGTAACGTACGCTGCCCTTGGTTTTAAATCTCCCGTCTAGTGAGAGATTCAGCCTTTTTGAAGCTTAAATAGTTTCATGACTTATTTGCTTCCTTATGTATAGTCCTTGGGTTGTCTGTGATTGGATTTCACTATTGAGAAGACAATGGGAGCAGCGTTTTTTAAGCTCCAACTCACTGCGGGTTTGAGGTGAACCCAAGGTTAACTGCTTGAGTTAGTTTTGTTCTTCGACGTTCTGTGATTTGAGAGTTCATGTTAAGCCTTCCCGATATGTGACTGGATGATCTTTTGAGTCCAGATGCCCTGTGCTGTGTATTAGGTAGGTAAGTCTCTCTTACCTTCTTGGAGTTGTTTGACATGTGGTGTAGTTCTAAGGCTAAATGTTCTTGCGAGCTAGGACTTTTATTAAATGTGTAGAGATGCAACTACTTTCAACAGTGCAGTGCAGCATTCTGGTGCAATATCCTCAGTGCTACTGGATAGGTGCTCAAATCGATGGAAGAACGGTATGGTGGATAAGAGGCAGATGTATGCCTCCCTGTTCTTGTGCATGTATAGGCAGCTTCCGTAGATACAAGCCAGCCAGGCTGAAGTTAATGTAAAAGGGTTAGTTAGCATTTGAAGAGAACGAAAGCTGACTGAGACATCAGTTCAGTTTCAAGCATTAAATATCAATGTACCATTTCTGTTCTGGATTCTGGACAGGTTTTAGCATGCTGGAACAGACCTTTGAATCTTCTTTATAGGAACAATAGGAACAGACCATTCAGTCTCTTGAGCCTGTTCCACCATTCTATTAGATCATGCTGATCTGCACCTCGACTGCAATTACTGCCCTTGGCCCGTATCCCTCGATATCTTTAAACCAGAGACAAAATACTGCAGTTGCGGGAAATCTGAAATAAAAACAGAAGTTGCTGGGAACACTCAGCAGGTCAGGCAGCATCTATGGAGATAGGAAAGTGAGTTCATGTTTCAGGTTGATGACCTTTCATCAGAACTGCCTTGATACCCTGACCTAACAAAATCTATCTTGAAAATTTGAATTGATCCAGCCAGCATCCACATCCTTTTTGGGGAAGGGAGAGAGAGTTTCAGATTTCCACTACCCTTTGTGTGAAATATACCTTCTGTCTATTCGAAGACTGAGCATATCATAAATGTTTCCGTTTGTGGTGATTTTAGGGGCAAGAAAGCGATTCTTCAGAAACATCGATACGAGGCCCTCGAATAAAGCATGTGTGCAGACGGGCCGCTGTTGCACTAGGTCGCAAGAGGGCCGTGTTTCCTGATGATATGCCTACCCTGAGTGCCTTGCCGTGGGAGGAGCGAGAGAAGATTTTGTCTTCCATGGGGAATGATGGTAAGGAAGGAAAGATTATTTGAATCCTTTTGCTTATGCCATTCTGAAACTCTTCTTAACTGACTTTTCGTCCTTGCCCATTGTTGATGTCAAAATACTAAAGTCAAGAAAAGTGGATGTGCCTTGAATGTTGATTTGACTTTGTCCTGGAAGTTGATTTTTGTGTTCATCTGCAACTGGGATGAAAATGACCTAAAAATGCTCCATGCAACTCTTACGATACTTAGTATTTTCTAAGTGGTAAGCAGCAAATATCCATAAGATGTGGAAATGAATGAAAATCACATTTTTTTGCTACAGTGTTAAGTTATCTATTAAGAGGGAAGCACACATCTAAACATTGTGTGACAGCCTGGCTAAGTGGTAGCACTCTCGCCTCTTGAGTCAAAAGATTGTGGGTCCAAGCTCTTTCTCCTCAGTAAAATATTTTAATATAAAAAGACTGTGCTCCATTTACTCAGCAGCGGTTAGGTAATTTACTCTTCCCTACCCACTGCTGAGTCAGAAGCTCAGCACTTAGTGACACAAATCTGGCCTGTTTGAAGATCTGGGAACACTTTGACTCGCAGTTCATCCATGAGATGCAGAATGTACTTTGGAGCTTAAGGAAGGACTGCATAATATGTGGGCTGTAAAATATATGACATTTTTATCTCCTTGACTTTTAAAAGTCCCTCAGCTAAAGGCTGTTTTCAAATTAAGTGACCTTTGACCACAATGTGTTTTTGGCGCAAGGTTTTAGTTTGAATGTCTGAGGACATTTATACTTAAAATATTACTCATTGTTAGGAGAGAAACATTCATGTAATATATTCATTTTCCAATTGTCTACAAATTGTATTTTATGTTAGTCATGGTATCAATATAGTTTGACATGTGTCAAAGAAAGCAATTTTAACTTTTTTGTTAAAAGTCCCCGGCTAATCTCTCTTGTGACCGAGCAGTGCAGTAAAGCATTGGCTGTGTGCCCTAACCATTGTGAGGTTGTACCTTAATGGCAACCAAAGTTCTTAACTTGCCGACGAATCAAAGTGTTTGTGTTCTTTAATGTCCCTTTTGATCTTGATGTATGAACATGCATGTCAGCTGTATAGCACATATAATCTCAACTCCAGAAACTCACAATCTAGGAATTAGTCAATAATTAGGTTCACTTGATCACGTTGGAATTTCAAGTACCAGACTTTCTAATCAGGTGTCCGTGAAGCTATGCCCTCAGCGTTTTACTGAGAAAAAGCTGGTATTCCAGGACCTGACAATGGAATCCTGCATTCTGGAAGTAGAAGGCCTTCACTGTTGAGAATGGAGGGTATCACTGGGAAATAATAATGATAATCCTTGAACAAGCCATTGCTCGCTCAGATATGTGAGAGTGCAATCCATAATTAGTGTGCGGAATGTTTTATGGGTTAATGTATAAGAAACCCTTCGTCATTTCAGTAATTTGATATAATCTCTGTGGTTGATAAATAGGCTGTGGAGCTCTGGTTTAGGGGGGATACTTTTTTATTTTCTCACTGTACTTGAATGACCTGTAACTAAACGTTCGTGTACTCAGGCTTTAGGATTGACATTGCTCCAGTTGACTAAGAACGTGTGTGGGAAATTCCAACCACGTTTCTTGCAAGTCATTGATCTACTGGCAGTTTTGGCCACAAAAGATTTAGTGCATCAAATGTGGTTATACCGTGTCCATATAGCGAGGGGATAAATATAATGTGGTCTTTAGTGATACCAATGTCAGCCTGATGACCCAGCAAACCACTTTTAGAAGCGATTGGCTGTTTGCACCCTGAGTGTGCTGTTTGCACCTACTAGTTTAAAGCTTTATACAGTATCATCTTAGCTTCCTAATACGAAACTGAGCAAAGTTACTTTTCTCTGATTTGCAGACAAATCATCCGTGGCTGGATCTGAGGACGCAGAGCCACCTCAACCGGTCATCAAACCCATCGCTAAGCACAAGGTGCCACAGGAGCCTATTGTGCGGAAAGGCAGGAGATCACGGCGGTGTGGCCAGTGTCCAGGCTGCCAAGTCCCCGATGACTGCGGTCAGTGTACTAACTGTCTGGACAAACCCAAGTTTGGTGGTCGGAATGTGAAGAAGCAGTGCTGCAAGTGAGTGAAGCTTCAGAAGCCATATTTATTCATTGTTCTCTTTTGCCCATTTCTCGTGCTCTGTGTACTGAAATGTTACAGTGTGAGCTCAACATGAAGCAGAGTGTTTTGTTCTCGCAGTAGTTACGTGCTCTGTTAGTTCAGTGATACTTGATGAAGTTAGCAACGACCTGGGACTACAAACTGCAATGGAGAAGTCCTTAAAAGGCGCCATTGACAGTTACTGCAGGCTTATCCTGTTGCTGATCACTGTGCTAACACTAGGGAAATCCCACTATAAATGTGTAATGAAACGATCACTAGTGCCGGTAATAGCCCCAATTAGTCATATCTGTATAGTGTTGATGTATCAGGACTGTGACACCTGAAAATCTAACTGGTGTATGATTTTCTTCCTTTTTAATGGTATTTGTTCTCGCCCCTCTCCTTGTCCGTTGTCCACCCACATCCCATCTTCGTGTGTGTGCCCTCAGGATGCGGAAATGTCTAAACCTTCAGTGGATGCCGGCAAAAGCGCCACCTCAGAAACCAGTTAAAGGTGAGCATTGTTTCACTGCAGCTCTCAGCTTGGCTCTTTAAGGGCAGTGTACTCGGGGTGGAGTTCCAAGCAATTGCAAATGAATTAATGAATGTTGGCTGCACAGAAAATGAAAATAAAGATAAGGGCGTTAACTCATTTGTTACACTGAATTGTAAGCATCCCTCCTTCTATCCATCAATCCCAGACTGTGCGCAATTCGCTGCCGCGTTTCACTCAGAAAAAATACAGTCAATTCACTTTAATAATAATAATAATCCTTGCATTTGATATAGCGCTTTTCACGTCGGGAGGACGTCCCAAAGCGCTTCACAGAATATACTGTAAAGTGAATTGACTGTACATTTGTGGGCGAACGCGGCAGCCAATTGCGCACAGCAATGTCCCACAAACAGTCGTAGATTGAAAATGACCAATTTATTATTGCTTTTTGTTTTGGAGGGATTATTATTAGGCTCTGTGTGGAGTAAGGAAACTTGCCCAAGATTTCGCCCTCTGCCTGGAATTGAACTCAGGTCTCTCACTTGCAAAGCGAGTGCTCTAACCACTGAGCTACAGGACTCCACACTTTACAGTGTATTCTGTGAAGCGCTTTGAGACTTCTTGATGACGTGATAAGGATTATTATGACTCAAGAATTATTATTTTTATCACAGTAAATGAAAGCTTTATATTTGTAGATTTGGATTATTGTGTCTGTGCCATGGCTACCTTTTTCCTCCTAAAACTCCCTCTGAATGAAAGGAACAGGAACAAGCTCTTTGAGTGAAATTTGTGACCTTTTAAAGTTTACTGATTATTTGATAATTTTGGTCACTAGTAAAGAAAAAAGAAAAGAAAACGAAAGTGCAAGAGAAGAAGGACATCCCGCCGGGGAAACCGCAAACCGAACTCAGCCACAAAGCAGTCCCCCAGAGTGCCGCACAAGCCCCCGAGCCCCCTGCTCAGAAACCCACCCAAGCTGCTTCACAGCCAACCGAGCAGCAGACAGAGGAGGGCGGCTCCTGTCCATCTCCAGAAGCTCGACCGCAAGGAGCGATGGTTTCACCCCCACGGAAGCCTAGCAAACAGCTCCCTCAGCCGCCTGAGCCCGCCGTGTCTCAGCAGTCAGGTCCCGTGCAGCTAAAGAAAGAATCGGTCAGTGACCCCAAGAAAAAACAGTCGCTTCAGACAGAATCAGGTAATCACAATGTACATTTGAGTTAACATATCCTGCATGAGGGGAGCTATATAAAATGCAAGTTGTTGTGTTAAAACAGGTTTATCATATTGTCTCGTCTCAGTAACCAATCTCAGATCAGGGAGTGTTACAACGGCGACAAACAACAAATGACATTTGTATAGAGCCTTTCATGTCGGCAGGACATCCCAAGGTGCTATGCGGAACATGTGGGAGGAAGGGAGAAGGAATCATAAAATCTGAAACTGTTGTCAGTGATCAGTATTAAAGCCATTCATCTAATGAAGAACGTTGTTTTCTCAGCACCAGAACTCAACAAGCAGAAGAAAATCCCTTCTCGTTGCAATATACCACTAAAAACTAAAAAGCCAAAGGAAAAGGTGAGATTTAAATCCTTTCTTAAATCCTAGCGTTTTTAATTCTACTGGTCGGTTCCAGCACTTGCTGTGTAACGTGATCTCCTTCGTGACCTTTATTCCTTCTCCGATAACATATAATTCACATCACTGTTTTTAATCTCCTAATGACAGCATTCAGCTGCGTTGTGTTCAGTATCTTTTATAGTGTTGCAATGCTTGTTTTGAAGGAGTTGAGTAGCATTTTGTTGGTGTAAGGAAACAATTATTCACTTTGAGATATCATTGAACACTTATTTCTTATGGCCAGAAATACCACCCGGTGTTGTTCACCCCGACTGTTCAGTTGCGATGTTTGGTGTCGATTGGATTGGGGGGGAGGAAGGGGGCTGGAACTTAGGGTCAATAATTAATTTCATGTGGATTCAGTGCTTCTGTTCAGAGTTCATTTGCTGCTACTATCTTTCCCCAGTCCAGTCCTTGTATCTTCAAGTTCTAAACACTTAGATGTTCAACCGAGTGTAGAATGTGTCCACGATGTGTAGGCCTGAGTTTAGGCAAGTTTCCTTACTCCAAATGCCTCTGTTTTCCTAGTAGTAAGTAGGAACCCAGTTGTTAGTTGATTGGCGGATCGCTTTTCAGGAGGTAATAATCCCTTCCAAATAAATAAATAATAATTTAGTCCACACTGCTTTGCGCAATTGGCTACTGTTTCTTGCCCACAAAATATACAATCAATTCACTTCACAGTATATTCTATGAGGGGCTTTGAGACATCTCGAAGACGTGATAATGCACTATATCATATGCAAGGATTATTATTTATCACCTTTATGTAGTGGTGACCTGTGTTCCCCAAAGGCTCGAACCAACTAAATGGACCTTGTGATGCCCCACATTGACACACAAACAATTATTGCACCAGCAGATTACCTTGTGCAACCTCGTTATTGAGAGAGCAGAGAGTTGGGAGGACTGAAAGAGCACAGAAAGAAAGAGAAAAATTAAACCCAGAAACAGTTGAGAGGACGAGAGAGAGAGTTTGCACAGATCAGAGGAGCAAGACAGATCGAGCTGCAGAGAGATCATAAAAAGAAACGTGAGGGAGAAATACACATGAGTGTGGAGAAAAGAACAGCTGTAAGTCAGTCAGGCACAGACAGAAAAAGACTAGAAGACAGAGGAGAAGTATTTAAGTCGGGAGACTGTGAGTACCTGATATTTCTCTTGGTTTTCATTGAGCCATTTTATTCAAGACTCCCAACTACTTCGCTTTCATTGAATTTTAGAGCGCAGAAAGAGAACTATGCTTGGCTGTTTGAAATAGTCCAACTCCCCTACCGATTCCACACAGATATCTAGAAATCTCTCTTTTGAAATATTTTTCTCTTTTCCTTTTAACGTTGATTCTGATTCGGCCCCCTGTAAGGCACTGACCGATGCGTTTTATCACCAGCAAAGAAGCCTGGCTTATTTTAGTGGTTTTATTCGCAGGATAAAGTGGTTCCGGTGAGCAAGGTTGAACCCAGTACTCTGAATCTGCTCACCACGTTCACCAATGTCAGCAGCGGGAAGCAGAAAGCACTGGCGGACGGTGTGCACAGGATCCGAGTGGATTTTAAGGTACAAGTAACAGCGGAATCTGTCAACTAGATATCCTGAATAACTTATCAAAGATGTCATAACAGAAATGTGCATTCATTTAAAGTAACTGGGAGGAAAGCTCGATGTTCACTTGAGACTTCTTAATGACATGATAATGTATCAAATACAAGGATTATATTATATATATAAAATATGTGATCACTCAGTCCACGACTGTTTGTGGGACACTGCTATATGCAATTGGCTGCCGCTTTTCACCTACAAAATATTCAGTCAGTTCTCTTTACAGTATATTCTGTGAAGTGCTTTGAGACAATTTGAGGACTTGATAAGGCGCTATATCAATGCAAGCATTATTATGTATTATTATTATTAATAACAGCACAGGCCAGGTGTCTGATTCAAAAGTAATGGAGGTCTGGATAAAAATAATATGTTTCTGTGGGAATATAAGACGTTTTTATGCAATTCCTGAGTGCCAGCCACCAAAATGATGGAGACGATTTCCTTCTCTTCCCCCCAACCCCAAATGATGTCAGCTACAACATTCAGTGTATTTTTGAAGAGCGAAACTTGAGTACCTTCATTACAGTAAAAGCGTAAGCTGTTTGAACACAACAATTGTTCACAAATTAGGGGGGGTTTGAAAAGCCATTCAAATTTCAATTACTCCCTACATAAAATACATGGCAATTGGCTGCTGTGTTTCGCCAAGGCTCTGTCCTCTTGCTCTACTATTTAGTACAAGGTAAAACAACTTATTATTAGCTAGTTCCTTCAGAATCTTAAAGACCGTGAACATTGTGAGGGGGAACAAAATATATTTTGTATTCAATATTTTCTCAGCTCGCGGGTACGTTGTGAGAGATGCAGTGACCTCTGGTATAGCACACATTGTTTGTGGCTGTCACATTCATAATAAAAATGATAGAAAACTTCCTGTGTGCCACACCCCGAATGATAACTGTTCTGATGTACTGCACCCTACACTATCACACCCTGGTGTATACCACTCCCCAACGGTATCACTGGTGTAACCACAACCGTAACAACCCAAGGTGTCCCTCACCCCAACAGTAACGATCTGATGTATTGTGCTGTAATCTTCTGACCCCATGTCAACTTGCCCACTCCCTCCACTCAGCAAGCTGTAGCTGCCGCATTTCTCCCACAAATATATAGTCAATTCACTTTACAGTATATTCTGTGAAGCGCTTTGAGACGTCTCAAAGATGTGATAAGACGCTATATCAAATGCAAGGATTATTATTAGTACTATTATGTGAAGTGCTTTGAGATAATAATAATAATCCTCGCATTTGATATAGCGCTTTTCACATCGGGGGGACGTCCCAAAGCGCTTCACAGAACACACTGTAAAGTGAATTGACTGTATATTTGTGGGCGAACGCGGCAGCCAATTGCGCACAGCAATGTCCCACAAACAGTCGTCTATTGAAAATGACCAATTTATTATTTTTTTTTTGGTTTTGGAGCGATTATTATTAGGCTCTGTGTGGAGTAAGGAAACTTGCCCAAGGTTTCGCCCTGACCTGCCGGGGATTGAACTCAGGTCTCTCACTTGCAAAGCGAGTGCTCTAACCACTGAGCTACAGGACTCCACAGGAGATGTCTCGAAGACTTGATAGGGCTCTATATCAAACAAAACTATTATTTTTATTGACAGGAATATGCAGTCTTTAGCAGAATTGAAGTTGTAAAACGCAACCCAAATAAGATATTTGAATTGTTTATAACTTAACTTGGATTTTCCTAAATACTTCTATTTGTAACATCTATTTACTTTGTGCTGGGTATTCACAGGAGGACTGTGCTGTGGAGAATGTGTGGGAGATGGGTGGACTGAGCATTCTGACCTCTGTACCCATCACTCCCAGGGTAGTCTGCTTCTTGTGTGCCAGCAGCGGACATGTTGAGGTATGGTTTTTACCCTTGAGGCCTCGACTTCGTTCTGGTTTAGAGCAGGTGTTTCACCACACAACTTCCTCCTTCCTTTGGGGGAAAAACCTGTGGCTCTTTGCTCAACAACAGGCAAGGCTGATTTAACCTACCACAATCATGAGTTGCAACTTTGGAACAATATGCCATCTAGTTAATCAGTTATTTATTTAAATCCAGCAGAGGTGGTTTCAAAGGTGATGTTTGAATGGGGTGTGTGATCTCTTCTCTTGTAACCCCCACCCCCAGAAGCTGACTGGAATCCCAAAAGTTAGCACTGTAGAGTTAGCTGATTAGCTAGCTAGCCTACGTTCTAGGGTGAAGCTCTGATGTGCTGTCATTTAAGAGTTTTAAGAGTAGGAGTGTGACTTGGACTGTGGGGAAACCTTACTTGTTTTAAGGCAGTTTGCACTAAGCATTGTTCACTAAGAGAGAAAAAAGAAAGGACTTTCATTTTTAAGGCAAATTGTATCTTACAATAATTATTACTCAGTGTGATGACTTTTCTAGGCAACACTATTGATGTTGGCTGGTGCAAAGGCCAACGTACCCGCAATTCTTGGCGAATCTAGCCTCAGCCAGGAACAATAGGTAAGCTGACCTTTGCACCAGTCACACATCCTCAATTAGTTTTTCTGAAGCTGTCTTTTGCTTTTTGTCGCAGTTTGTCTACTGTCAGGTGTGCTGTGAGCCCTTCCATCTCTTCTGCCTGGAGGAGAGTGAGCGGCCTCTGGAGGAACAATGGGAGAACTGGTGCTGTCGTCGCTGCAAATTTTGTCACGTCTGCTGCCGGCAGAACAAGTCCTCAAAGGTAATGTAATGGGAGCCGTTTCTCTGTGCCTACACAGTTATTTAATGCTGATATAGTGCTGGAGGAGAAATTTATGTTGAGTTCTGTAGCGTAGTGGTTAGCGAGAGGACATGAGTTTGATTCCGGGCGGGTCAGGGCGAAATCTTAGTCAAGTTTCCTTATTCTACACGCCTCTGTTCATCTAGCAATATGTAGAAATCCGGTTGTTGGTTGATTGCTTTCCAGGTTAATAATCCCTTCAAAAAAAATAATACTTTGGTTACTCAATCCATGACTGGTTGTGTCACATTGCTGTGCGCAATTAGCTGCCGCGTTTCACTCACAAAATACATAGTTCATTTTATTCTGTGAAACGCTTTGAGACTCTCGAAGATGTGATAAGGCGCTATATCAAATGCAAGGATTATTATTAATAGGGTAGTGTTTAAGGGGTAATCTGTTGCAGTATTTACCATAATTAAGCAAATTGGTCAGAGATCTAATAAGTTGGCGGAGCAGGATTCATGTTTTTTTTTTCAATGAACAGACCTTTTTTTAATGTAAACTCGCTTTTTTTACGCAGCAGCTTCTGGAGTGTGGCAAGTGCCGAAACAGCTATCACCCAGAGTGCCTGGGACCCAACTACCCAACCAAACCCACAAAGAAAAAGAAAGTCTGGGTAAGCTCTATCAATCCTTGTATGTAACCCTGTGATCAAGGGATGACTTGCTATCAGGAAAGTTGTTGAATGAGGAAGGCTTCTTTGAACTGTGAGAGGAAGAAGGAACCTATATTTTTACCCAAATCCGTTTTAACCACTAGTCGATATTTTGTGCGGTGAAGATAAACTCGTCTTCAAAGGTATTTTAAGATTAAAGTTCAGGCTTTGATCCACTGTATGCGCATCTTTTAGTCTGATGAGAAATGAAATCCTGTAGCTTAGTGGTTAGAGTACTCGTCTTGCAAGCAAAACAACCTGGATTTGATTCCTGGCGAAATGTCGGGCAAGTTTCCTTACTCAACGCGCCTCTGTTTATCTAGCAGTAAGTATGAACCTGGTTGTTAATCAATTGGCCGATTGCTTTCTGGGAGTAATAATCCTTTTTTAAAAAAATATAACAACAATTTGGTCACTCAATCCACGACTGTTTGTGGGATATTGATGTGTGCAACTGGCTTCTGTATTTTGCCCACAAAATATAGTCAATTCACTTTACAGTATATTCTGTGAAGCATATTGATACATCTTTACAATGTGATAATGCGCTATATCAAATGCAAGGATTATTATTATCTATTGATTATTGCTTTGAGCTGAAGGTGAATTTAAAGTAGCAGGGGTGTCTCTCAACACTGCCTGATGTTTGTCCTCTAGATCTGTACAAAATGTGTGCGATGCAAGAGCTGTGGGGCCACCACACCAGGGAAGGGTTGGGATGCACAGTGGTCTCATGATTTTTCTCTCTGTCATGAATGTGCCAAACTCTTTGATAAAGGTAAGCATAAAAACGACAAGTCGAGATGAGGTGTGGGGTATTTCAAGGCAGTCGTCAAATCAAGGGTTGCAGATTTATTATAATTTCTGATAGTGAACTATAAGAGTGTGTGCGCATGTGTATATAGTCCTGGAGTCCTGTAGCATATTGGTTAGATCAAGCTATTCAATTCCTTGGCAAAGCGAAACGTTAGCCATGTTTCCTTACTCCACACGCCTCTATTCACCTAGCAGTTTACCTAGTTGATTGATGGATCGCTTTCTGGGGGTAATAATCCCTTTTTTAAAAAAAAATTGGATACTCAATCCATAACTGTATATGACACATTTCTGTGCTGCTGCGTCTCAATGACACGGTAACGCGCAAATTAATTAATATAATGGAAAATGGTATTGAGATAGGACTTGATCTGCCATGATCCTATACATTAACTGAAAAGACTCAATGGGTGAATGTTCTCTTCCTGTTCCTAGATTAAAATCCCCCAAAACCTGGTGTTTGTCAGCCTGACTCACCTGTGGAAGAAATGGTTCAACCTCCTGTTTACTCGCCTCCGACGCTCCCGAGTCCAACTAGGTCACGGAATAAATTACAAATTGTTGATTTTAAAAAAATGTACACAAAGACACATGAAACTGGGGCTGTGGATTATCGGGAACATTGTGTGAAAAGGACACCTGCTGTGTTGATGTAAATTAGCATTTTATTTTTAGGAAATTTCTGCCCGTTGTGTGACAAGTGCTATGACGATGATGATTATGAAAGCAAGATGATGCAGTGTGGAAAATGTGAGCGCTGGGTTCACGCAAAGTGTGAAAGCCTATCTGGTACGTAACACAACAGATTTGGGAGCAGCAGCCGGTGACGGCCCCTTAGGGGAGGTTGATTGACATGTTTTTCTGTGCTTTAGACTCTTGACACACCATCCATGATCTTATTTACCTGCCTGATGTTTCAGCTTCTCACATCCTGATATATTCCCCTGTAGTTTTCACACGGCACCAGTCTGACTAATGGAGCCAAATGCCACCACAACAATCAACAACTTGCATTTATAAATTGGCCCTCACACTTTATCATCGTCTCAGAACATTTGCCAGTGGGCAGAGCACAATGTTGAGCGGGCGGGAGGGTAGAAGTGATTGTAGGCACAGTTGAAGAGGACGGTCTTCAGGTGCGACCTGAAGATGGGGAAGGAGGGGCGAGACGGAGGGATTGAGAAAGTGTTCCAGAGTTTCAGTTTCAGGACGTAGTGGCTGAAAGCGGTGGGCACGAGGGACGAGCAGGAGGCACAATGTAGTGTTGATAGGTTGATAATACTATCATTGTGTCAGTTTTTTTTAATTGCTTGCAATAAACACAGTGTGCGTCACAGCTCCTTGCTGTTTGCCAAAGCTATGTTTTAACTCCACAGTTGGTCCCAGTTCCCAGGTAGTGTCTAGCGCAGGAAAGAATGCACTGATCTTCGTGCTGTGCGGGTCATGGAAAAAGAGGTGTGGAGGGTAGTTGGAGGTTTCAATCTGATCCGTTTTCATATCCTTTTATTGTCGAATTATTTTTTCTTTTTCAGGTGGGTGGGCTTTAATTAAGAACAAAATGAGGAATAGGCTCTTTTGAACCACACACATTTATTTGCAGAAGTCACCACGTGTTTCTCTAGCTTGATTTCCTCGCTACTGATTTGCGTTGTCTTGTTTTCGGTGGAGTATCGATTTTCAACTTTCGATCTTACCTGTAGTTCGTTAGAGTTTAATGGTATGAATAATTGAACCAACAGAAATGCACAACATGAGGATTCTTTAATTTCCCTTAATTTATTGGAATGTCCAGGGTACAACAACCTCAACAAATTACATTTACACATCGTTTTTCACATCTGGAGGACGCCCCAAGGGATTTGGACCTGAGCTGGGGAGCAAGTACAGGACCTTATTTGCTTTCCCTGCTTTCATTGCTTTCCTGATCTCCTTTGTGTCAGGTTAATCCCTCAATCCCTCCATCTTGCCCCTTCCCTCCCTAGTTTAAAAATCCGCCTAAAGGCCTTCCTTTTTAACTGTGTTACGTTCGCACCCCTCTCCCTTTTGCTCGTTGTCAGACTCCACCATTGTCAAGCACGCCAGGGCGCCACCCCACGTGAAGGGCGCAATATAAATGCAAGTTGTTGTTGTTAACTCAATAGAAGCTGGGATTTGAACCTGGGAGCTTCCAGTTGCTTCAGTTATGGTGAATTAATCCAAGTGTAATCTTTTTGTTAATCCACTGGCTCATTGGAAGAAGTTCGGGAATTTTCTTCACCTACAAGATGGTTATCTCTGTGTGTTTTTTCCATCCCCTTCCCCACCTCTTCCCCTCAGATGAAATGTATGAGATCTTATCAAACCTGCCTGAGAGTGTGGCATATACTTGTATAAACTGCACGGAACAGCATCCTGCAGAATGGCGTCTGGCCTTGGGCAAAGAATTGCAAACTTCCTTAAAGCAAGTGCTGACAGCTTTGCTGAACTCAAGAACTACCAGCCACTTGTTGCGGTATCGACAGGTGAGTCTGAGCTGAGCGGCGTAGAGCTACCCTGCTGCATATTGCGTGGTCCTCGCCCCCCCAAAAAAAGTGCTTTGAGACGATGTTTGTGGGACGCTGTTGTGTGCATTTGGCTGCTACGTTTCGCCCACAACATATAGTCAATTCTCTTTATAGTATATCCTGTGAAGCGCTTTCAGACGTCTCGAAGATGGTGCTATATCAAATGCAAGGATTATTATTGTCACCTCATTGGAATCTGTTAACCAGATATCCTGAATAACTTATCGAACATGCCATAACATGTGCATTCATATAAAGTAACTGGGAGGAAAAATCAATGTTCCTTTGAGACGTTTCCATGTCGTGATAATGCACTATATCAAATGCAAGTATCATCATTATTATTGTCACCGAAGTTGGTGGTTTGTGGATTCAGGAAGTAGGAGCTCAAGTGGGGCCAAGAGCTATCTTGATCCAAACACCCTCTAGCTTCAAAATTGTACCTACCTACTGTGTTGCACAATTGTGAAGTCACACGACTGCATGTGTTAAATAATAATAATAATCCTTTCTTTATGAGAGCGTTAAGACGTCTTAAAGCGCTTCAAGGAAAGTGTAAAGTGGAGTGACTGTATTTTGTGGGCGGAAAATCTGAAATGAAATATTACCGAGCTCAGTCCATTGAATGAACAGTGGATAGTAGGTCCAGTTGCGGTTGGAGCTTGGTTTACTTGGCTTGAACAAGGCAAAGCTGGTGAAGTGGGTTGGACATATAATCAATCTCACTTCCTTTCCCCAGGCAGCCAAACCTCCTGATTTAAACCCAGAGACTGAGGAAACCATCTGCGCTCGGAGCTCACCTGAAGGGCCAGACCCTCCGGTTCTCATAGAAGTAAAGCAACAGGATGAGCAGCCTCTTGACCTGGAAGGCGTGAAGAGAAAGATGGAGCTGGAGAGGTACCACTCTGTGGTGAGTCATCAAAGTGTGGAGTCCTATAGCTTAATAGTTAGAGCACTCGCCTCGCAAGCGAGAGCATCGCAGTTTGTTTCTTGGGCAGGGCCAAACGTTGGGCAAGTTTCCTTGTTCCTCACGCCTTTTGTTTACCTAGCAATAAGTAGGAACCTGGTTGTTAGTTGATTGGGGGATCACTTTTTTGGGGGTAATGTTCCCTTCAATTTTTTTAAAAAAAATAAGAATTTGATCATGCAATCCATGACTCTTTGTGAGACACTCCTGCACATTTGGCTGCTGCATTTTCACCCACAAAATACAAATGTAAGGATTATTATTATTGTTAAATGTCGTGGTCCAAAATGGCTGATCAGTTGTCAGGTCTGGCTATTTAGCTATTGGTAACCCTAACAGTGGAGACTAGCAGGTCTGAGCGGAAGGATTTTACTCCAATCTTCTGTGTGTTGCCCCAAAACGTGTTGCTAAAAGCAACAAAAGCTGTAAGTCCTGAGGTCACTCAGGGCTTAGGCTTGCACTATTGAATCAAGCGTCATGCCTGAGATGCTGACTTGTTTATTGCCAGTGTTTCTGATTGTTTGTATAATGTATAATGCCAGCCTGCTTTGCAAGTATAAAGAGTATGCATCCCTAATTTGAATTTGAATCATGTAATGAATCCTGAATTGAACTGTAATGGTTGACATTTCAGCTGCTAATTGTCTACATTTGTCTTTTTTTCACCCGATTGTTGAGACTTCTCAATGATCTCTTAAACAGCTTCTGGTATTCGCAAACCAGGAGTGACCATTAACTCACCAAATCCAAAATGCGTTTGTAGGCATCTTAATGTGATATTTCATGCGGAATCGCAGACTGTATTTCCCGCTGGTTAAAATGAGTGTTAATAATTAATAATAATAACACTTGTATTTGAAGTAGCGCCTTATCACGTCGTCAAGACCTCTCAAAGCGCTTCAGAGGATACACTGTAAAGTGAATTGACTATATCTTGTGGGCGAAACGCAGCAACCAATTGGGCACAGCGACGACTCACAAACAGTATCCTACAATAATGTGTGACCAAATTATTATTTTTAATGGATTATTATCGCCTGAAAAGTAGTAATTAGTTAATTAATAATTAATGAGCAATCATGTGCAATGAGAGATTCCTATCCCTCTGCTCCGCCAGCGTGGGTCTGGGCCAGACATTCAGCACCCTGAAACCTAGGGATACTTGTCCTCCGTTTGTACCAGTCAATTTCTCTTAAGGTGAATATTTAATTTTCATCCTTTTATACACAGCTGGAGTTCAGCGATGACATTGTGAAGATCATCCAAACAGCAATGAATTGTGATGGAGGGCAGCCGGAGAACAAGAAAGCGAACAGCATGGTGAAGGCTTTCTTTATCCGGGTAAGTTGATCTGCTGCCCTGCAGCACTCTCTGCTCACGGTAGATGTGACGTGTGTTTCTGCTGCTCTATTGTAATTGTGAGATGAGATCAGGCTGTGAAAATCTCGTCTCCTGGCAACTGGGCAACGACAATACTAAATACTAAACGTATTTGTTTTGGTCTCCTTATCTAGAATATTTCAATACATATTGTTTCGTCATTCAGATTTATTCATCCTCCGAATATAGCATTAGAATCTGTGTGTGTGTGGGTGTGGGTGGCGGTGGCGGTGGGTGGATGGCGGTGCGGGTAGCAGGGGGTGGGGGTGGTGATCAAAAGCAAGGAAGCAGTCGCTCTCTTCCCTGCAGGACATCTCCGTCTCATTGTATCTGTCTGTGTTTTCTCTCTACAGCAAATGGAGCGCTGTTTCCCATGGTTCAGTGTGAAGGAGTCCAGGTTTTGGGAGCCCAATAAAGTAACCCCAAAGTGAGTAGACAACAATAATCCCCGCATTGGGTGTTTGGACTGTAAGGTCGAAATGTCTCAAAGTGCTTCACAGATGATCTGGTCTCGAGTGTGGTGCTCATTTTGGTATCTGCCATTTTGTCCACATTGGGTCCCACAGTGAGTGTGGTACTACTGGCCAGGACACCAGGCGATACTCCCGTCTAGTGAGGAGTCCTGTAGCTTAGTGGTTAGTGCACTTGTGTCACAAGCGAGAGGACCCAGGTTCGATTCCTGGATGAGCCGAAACCTTAGACATGTTTCCTTACTCCATATGCCTTTGTTTACCTACCAGTAAGGAGGAACTGGGTTGTTAATCGATTGGCGGATCGCTTTCCAGGCCTAATAGTCTCTCCAAAACATCTAAAAATTATAATTTGATCACTCAATCCACAACTATTTGTGGGACACTGCTGTGTGCAATTGGCTGCTGCGTTTCACCCCAAAAGTATACTTCATGATCTATCCTATGAAGCGCTTTGACATGTCTCGAATAAGGCACTATATCAAATGCAAGGATTATTATTATAAAACGTTGCTTGTTGTATTTCAGCAGTGGGATGCTGCCCAATGCTGTGTTGCCTCCATCGTCTGATCACAACTACGCTCAGTGGCAGGAACGGGATGATGGCAATCGCACCGAACAGCCAGCGCTTACTAAGAAGATAATACCTGCACCACGACCAAAGGCACTGGGGGACCCTGATTCACCAGCCCCCCCGCCCCCACCACCCCCGAGAACAGCAGGTAGCAGAACCCAGCTCTCAGAGCATCAGGAGCACTGCATGTGTGTGTGTGTGCAGCATTGTCTGTGTGTGTCATTTGAGGATCCAAATCCTTATCATGTTGAGATGTAACATTACTTTTTGTCGCAATGTTTCAGCGTGGAGTAGTGATTAGAGCACTCGCCTTGCAACCGAGAGGACCCTGGCAAGTTTCCTTACTCCATAGGAAGTAAGGAAATAGGAACCCAGTGGTTAATCGATTGGCGGATTGTCTTTCAGGGGGTAATAATCCCTTCAAATAAAATAATAATACGGTCACTTAAACCACGGTTGTTTGTGGGATACTGCTAAGCGCAATTGGCTCCTGAGTTTCCGTGGGTTACTTTTTACTTTTGAGATCGTAAGGACGGGTTATGTGGATGTCGCGAGGATGATCTGTTTTAAGGGCTGCTTATTTATGGTATTAAGCCATAAATGCTTATTGTTGTAATTCTTTTTAAAAAATGTAGTTTAATTTGATTACTCTGAGCTGGATTCAATCCGGGTGTTGTGAGAAGGCAGTAACGTAGCACTCAGTCTCCCAGGAGTTGTGCGGCTGTGCTCAATAGAGAAAACCACCAGTGATCAGAATATGTCAGAAAACTCCGTTCACCTTAAATGGAGGCGACCTGCAACTTAACGGAGAGATGTTTGACTTGGTGTTTGATCCAGGCACCTGCTGCTGTCTCGAGTGATGATGGTTGTGTTTCTTGTAAGGTTCAGACACCAGTCGAGAGGACAGTCCTGACCTGGACCCACCGCCCGGGTTGGAGGACAACAGGCAGTGTGTGCTGTGCCTTAAGTACGGCGACGATAACCGAAACGTGAGTGCTGGATCTCCTAAGCCTCATGGCTCCCAATCACAAAACAGATCAATTTCAAGATCATCTCCCTCGTTTTCAAATCCCTTGATGCTCTTACCTCCCTACCTATCCAACCTGCTTACCACACCCCCCCCATCCACCACCCGCTGCCTCCGCTCGGCTGGCTCCGGCCTCTAGTTTGTCCCACAAGTCCTCCATTCGACCATCAGTGGCCATCCCTCAGTCACTACACTCTGGAACTCTCTCTCCCAATCCCTCCTCCTTGCCCCCTCCCTCCCCACCTTCAAATCCTACCTAAAGACCTGCCTTTTTGATTGTGTTTGTGGTCACCCCCCCGCCTCTCCCCCGGCTCATTGTCAGACTGTGCCACTGTGAAGCGCACTGGGATGGTACCCCACTTGAAGGGCGCTATATAAATGCAAATTGTTGTTGGTGGTGTATTTGCTATTATGCCTATAACGTCAGCTTACCTCAGAACGCTCAAGAGTCTGGATTATGACAACAATGGCACTAACTTATACCTTCAGGATGCTGGGCGCCTGCTGTACATCGGACAGAACGAATGGACGCACATGAACTGCGCTCTGTGGTCAGCGGAAGTGTTCGAGGACGATGATGGTTCCCTGAAGAATGTCCATATGGCTGTGATCAGAGGCAAACAACTGGTAAGCAAACGACAGTGGGAGCGTGGCAGGAAATGTCTTCACTTGCCGTGTGTCTGTGCACACTCGCCGTTTAATTCACTCCTTTTATAAGTAGTAATAATCCTTGCTTTTGATACAGTATATATATCAGTGCATCAAAGTGCTTCACAAATAATTATTTGTCAAACGGAAATAATATCTCAGGATATATGTAGTTTTTAGGACGCAACATATTATACGACTGACTGCCACGCTGGTCAAAGACGAATTGGATGGATCTTGGTCTTCTTTCACAGAGCGAATTCTTATGTTCTTAAGTGCCATGACTTTTCGTAGGCATTTAGTGCCAAGAGGAAGCACCTTGGGAGTGAGGTTTCTAATGTTAGAGTGAATTATAAAGCTGTTTAAAGTGATCGGATTAACGTTTGGATCGAGTGATTTATTCGACCGCTTTGTTTTCCAGCGTTGTGAGCGATGCCAGAAGTCGGGGGCGACAGTGGGCTGCTGTCTGACTTCCTGTCAGAGCAACTATCACTTCATGTGCGCCCGAGCAAAGAACTGTGTGTTCCTGGATGACAAGAAAGTGTACTGTCAGAAGCACAAGGATTTAGTTAAAGGAGAGGTGGGTTTAAAGCACAACGTACTGCAGTCACACCAAAGCAAGTCGCTGGCCGGGGCTAATGCGAGTCATATTATTGCTATAAAATAGTAATACTTGCATTTGATATGGCTTATCTCTTCGTTGAGATGTCTCAAAGCACTTCACAGAATATACTGTAAAGTTTAGTGATTATACTTTGCACAAGAAACATGGCAGCCAATTGCACACAGGAATGTCCCACTGACTGTCATGGATTGAATGAGCTAGTATTATTAAAAATAATCTAAACTCTAATCTCTTCTGACAGACCGTTCCTGAGGACGGGTTTGAGGTTTTACGAAGGGTTTACGTGGATTTTGAGGACATCACATTAAGAAGGAAGTTCCTGACTGGCCTCGAACCAGAGAGTATCCACATGATGATTGGTGAGCAAGCGTCTGGGCTGTGTGTCCACACTGTGTGATTGCGTGCAGTGCATGTGTGGGTGCACAGGGGTGCGGTGTGTGTGTCTTGGGTTGCGAGGGGAGGAATATTTTGCTAATCTGAACTGCAGCTAGCTCAGTAATCAACAACAACAATTTACAGGGTAGCGTCTCAGAGCGATGAAGCGACAGTTGGGTTGGGACTGCAGGAATATCGGAAGCTGTAACCCGCAACATAAAATCAGCTCGAATCAGCTGTTGTATTTTTATATGTGGACACCTGTCCACTGTATAAATGCAAGTTGTTGGATTTGGATCAGGAGGCAGGGAGCGTGTATTTTGGATTGGGGAGAGCGCTAGAGGTATGAGCCAAGCTGCAGAGCTGCCTACCTGCCACATACATGTTTTGCTGGTGAGGAGCAGTTGGCTTTAAAGGTGTTTGGCTAAAAACAGGCTCTGAAGTGACGTGAATTTGATTGAAGTTAGTTTCCATAGAATGTTTTCCCTCTATAAAGATACCATCTTCATATAAGCTTAATTGTTCATTTGGTTTCCTCATGGCAACCTGATAAACGTTCCTTGTTTTAAGTGTACATTGTTTGGAGAATTTTTTTTCTATTCACAATCTAATAATGCGTTGTCTTGACGCAGGTTCCATGACCATCGACTGCTTGGGGATCCTTAATGATCTTTCTGACTGTGAAGCCAAGCTCTTTCCTATCGGTTATCAGTAAGCTTATTATTTGTGGATTTATTATCATATTCATATTATATTGTATTATATTATAACCTGTTCTGTGGTGTTTTGCTCACTTACCGTTGAAAGTCAAACCAGGCAACTTTGGATCTAAAGTTCCCAAAACTCTCCACTCTGTTTTAGAGTAATCCACAGAATTAATTGCCAAAAACATCTCCGTTATTGTAGCATGCGACTACCAAGATGGTAAAAGGCAGAGTTTGGTCTTTTTTGTCCAATGATTTCTATGTTCCTAAGTTCCTAATTGATGCCCAAGCATTCAGCCACCGTTTCTGTCACCTGTTGTCTAGAAAACTCTTCTGAACTCTCACTTTGCTAACTTGTTCCCTTCCCTCAAACTCCCCTCGTTTTTTTTTAGAAAAACACAAGTTCTCTTCGACTGTGGCTTTGTTCAGCGTTTTCAAATCTATCTCTTTTCCTCCCCTGTACCCACTATGTTTCGTCAGACACTTTCAGACATTCTTTTACGTGAATATCAATGATCCCCGACTCTAAGCATAGAATCATAGAATCTTACAGCACAGAAAGAGCCCTATACTACCCAATGGGCCGGCTCTTTGAAAGAGCTATCCAAATAATCCCACAATCTTGTTGTTTCCCCATTAGCCTTGCAAGTTTTTTCTTTTCAAGTACCTATCCAGTTCCCTTCTGAAAGTTATCGTTGAAACTGCATCCACCACCCTTTCATGCAGTGGGTTCCAGATCGTACCACGCATTTGTGGTAACTTTTTCCTGTCCTCGTTGCCAGATGCTCAAGGGTGTACTGGAGTACCACGGACGCCAGGAAGCGCTGTGTGTACACGTGCAAGATCCTGGAGCACAGGCCTCCGCCGATCGAAACAGAAGAGAACAGAACCTTAGAGCACACTGAGAACCGAACTACAGTGCATAGTCCGAGCAGTATAGCAGGTACAGAGAGTGGAAGCTTTGTTGCCTGACTGAGTGAAAGCCTTTGAGATTTCTTGTGTATTTTTTTACTCTAGTTCTTTTTCAAACCTCCTAGTCTATTACTGTTCTCTCTACTGGCTGTCGGTCTGAGTTTGGAGCTGGGAGAGCTTTTGACGTGTTGGGTAAAAACAATCTTTAAAGGTAGATTTTGCAGCCAACATAACAACAAATGACATTTACACAGCCCCTTTCACGTCGGGAGGACGTCCCAAGCATCTGGGTAGTTAGAGATTTGGACCCGAGCTGGGAGGTTCAGGAAGAATGGAGGGCAGGGAGGATGGGGATAGGGAGGATGACCGAAGGTGTGGTCGAAGAGGAGGGTCTTGAGACGTACCTTGAATGAGGAAAGGGAAGGAGAGCGGCAAAGGGACTGGGATGGAATTCCAGAAAGATGGGGGCAGAGAGGCCGAAGGCCCGACTACCGAGGTGAGGTGAGCGGGGGACGTGGAAGGGGCCTGATCCTGCTGAGTGGAGGGAGTGGACAGGTCGAAATGGCAACATACTGTTAAACACCACACTATTAAACTGCTGTGCTGGCTACTCCACTGCTTCCTAATCAATTACCATCTGGCAGAGAGACAGACAGCCAACTTGGCTGAACACATTACTACATTTTATTTCTTTCCTTTGGTTAGAAATCGACACCGTGGAGAGTCAGGACACGGGGGCAGCTGAGACGCTGGAGCACCACCTATCCTCACACGCCCCTGGCCCCATCCCTCCCAGACCCCTGTCAGGAAGTAGGATCCAGATATCCAGCTTTCCTCCACTGCGACGATCACCAGGCACCAGCTCCAGACCTCTCCCATCACCAGGTAACCGGTGTCGTTCAGTCTCCAGTTCTTACCTCTTGCCAGAAACCCGTAGCTCAGTGGTTAGAGCAAGCGAGTGGGCCTGGGTTCGATTCCCGAGTCGAAACCCTAGGCAAGTTTCCTTACTCCACGCATACGCACGCCGCTGTTTACCTAGCAGTAAGTACCTGTTTACCTAGCATGCTTGTCGTATTCAATACTACACATTGATAGCTAACAAGTTACATTTGAATAGCGCGTCAGGAAATCATGGCGAGGGGGCCAGTCCCTACGTAAAATCTTGATGCAAAAATATTGAATTTACACAAACCTAGACACGCTCGCCTCAGTGGGCAAATGTGGGAGTCAGCCTTGTGATGACGGAAGTTGTAATGTGTTTTATTTCCTCGCTCAGGAAGTCCGACCCCGATGATGCACGAGATTGTGACCTTTGCTGACGCCTTACTCTCCTCTGGCCGCCGAAGCACCATCCCCCGGCGACACAGCACCTCTTCCGTCTCTCCCCAACATTCCCGGCACCGTCTGGCCTCCCCGTCACAGCCGGCGATCACGCCATGCTCCAGGTCGAGTGGTATCAGCACTAACCCGTCCCCAGCTTCCTCCGAGCCCGAGGCCGGCAGCCAAACCAGTGACGTGCTTCACCACAAAGCTCCTCACCCCGACAAACACGGCGGATCATTCCAGGGGCCTCCAAGCCGACAGAGGATCAGCAGTGCCGATTCTGTCCTGACCCACCTCACCGGGGCAGCTCACGTATCTGGCTCACAGCCCAACAGACCCCCGGCCGTGCCCTCGCCGGCTGGTCATCACGGTCTGAAAGAGTTCCGTCTGTCCCTGTCTGGGATACAGTCTCGGAACGGGGCTTTGAAGGGCGACAAAGCCACGTCTGTCAATGCGGCGGACAGTCCAGGAGCCACGCCGGCACCAGCACAGAGCTCTACCTCAGTCACCACAGCGAACTGCCGGCCCGTGCAGAAACAAGCCTGTAACAGCAGCAGCGGGCCGTTCGCAAACTCTCCCCCACCAGCGCCCGCCTCCAAAGAGAACAAGTCCTCGTCCGTGGCATTTCAGCAACACGAGCCGAGGAAGTCGGAGCTGCCGCGGGAACCGGTGCCAGGGGGGAAAGCCAGCAGGGAGCACGGTCACCACGCCCAGGACAGCGACAGGACCTGGCCCCAGCCGGCTGAGATGGGCCATTCCACTGCCACGGGCAGCGATCACCAGCGCCCCAACTGTGTGGAGAAGAAGCCAAGCGCCAAAGCAGCGCCCTCAGCCGACAACCCCAAAGTCAGCAAGGCCCAGGGGGGCAGACATGCCGAGGGGAGTCCCCTCACAGAGTCTTCAGCCGACCCCAAAGTGGATGACAATCCTCTGACTGAGCTTGACAGCAAGGCTCCGGCTGCTGAGGAGCCCAGGCCAAAGTTTGCCGATCGATCTCCTGGCATTGAGCGCCTGCTGACCGGCAAGACCGCGGACGCCATCCAGCCCTTCACGGATAAAGTTCGGGGTGAGACGCGTAGGAAAGAAGTGCACGTCCCCTGGAAACTAGGCGCTCGGGGTTTCTTGGAAGCCGACTGTTTGGTCGAAGAGGATCACAAGAGCAACAGCGTTCTGGCCTCTGCCGCTTCTCAAGGAGGCGACGAGGCTGTGTCCTCCTCGCTCGTGCCTTCCACGATGACGGAGAGCCCCGAGAACGAGCAGGAGGTGCTGAGGTGCCCCAAGTGCAACAAGGTGTACAAGCAGCGGGTCAAAAACCTGTTCCAAAAGCACGTCCTGCAGTGCGGCAATCCCAGCTCGCAGGAGGAGCGAGAGGGGAACAAGACGCAGGAGAACGACTCCAACAAGCGGAGGTACCCCCGCCGCAGTGCCCGCGCGAGGTCCACCACCTTTTTCGGGCTGACCCCCTTCTACGGTGTCAAATCGTACGGTGAAGAGGATTTCCCCTTCTACAGAGATCCCTCAGGCAAAAAGCGGAGTGAGCAAGCGACGCAGGGGCAGGTGGACGGAGCCGACGATCCCAGCACTTCGTCCGATGACGAGGTGGATGACTACTACTACAATTTCACCAGGACCGTCATTGCCTCCAACAGGGAGGGAGGCTTGGAGTCATGCAGCTTCTTTGATGGCGAGGAGGATTGCCACCTGCCCAGGATCAGCCAGTTGGACGGCATCGACGACGGCACGGAGAGCGACGCCAGCATCACGGCCACTACCGGCAAAGCCTCGCAGCTGATCAAGATGAAGGGCAAGGAGAATGGGACGGAGAGCCTAGCTCTGGAGGAGAGCATGAACAGCGGGGAGGATGGAAAGGAAGAGCACAGCGTGAAGACCGCCGGGTCTGACCTGAAAGGGAACGATCCCAAGCTGGACAACTGCCTCCCCGTGAGCAGAGTGAAGTCTCAGAGCCAGGACTCCTTAGGAGACGTTTCCCTCGCCTCGCTAGACGCCGGCAGGCGCACACACCCCAGCACGCCGTCAGAGAAAAATCTGCTGGACAGTTTCAACAACGACTTGCTGAAATCGGCCAATGATTCCGACAACAACAACAGCGACGACTGTGGGAATATCCTTCCTTCGGATATCATGGACTTTGTGCTGAAGAACACTCAGTCCATGCAGGCGCTGGGAGAGAGCCCGGAGTCCTCCTCGTCCGAACTCATAACCCTGGGTGAGGGTCTGGGGCTGGTCAGCAATCGTGGCAAGGACATGGGCAGTCTCTTTGAAGTCTTCCAGCCCCTGGCGAGCACGGAGCCTGTGGAAAGCGGTGTTGCGGCCTCGATCCCCACCGAGGAGACGTTCGAGCTCCCATTGGAGTTACCATCTGACCTCTCCGTGCTGACCACCTGCAGCCCGACAGTCTCTAACCAGAGCCACGGCAGCCTGACTGTCATCTCCAGCTCACAGTTGGCCTCGTCCGAGGAGCAGCTCAACATGTCACCCACTGAGCCGGCAGACAAGGGGGTGACCGTGACGGGCGAGAAACCGGTGACCGTCGACGAGGCCGACGTTGCGTTGATCGGTCGAGTAGTAGAGTCGCCCCCGGATGGCCACATGGCCTCTGGTCAGTTCCTGCACAGCCACATGGATGCTGAGCAGCTCACAGCGCCCTCTTGTAGTCAGGTAGAGGCAGGACACGGCGGTCAGGACCTAGTTGGGGTCGTTGCCAACTCGCCGGTTGTCCTTCAGGTGCCAGTTTCGCCTTCGGTACCACCCCAGAGTCAGAAGTACGTGGCGAGTCCCTCTAACAGCCCCGGGCCTGCTCCCATCCCCAATCCTACGGTGCAGAGCGCGACTCAGAGTCCGCTGCTCAAACCCGGAGCGGACAATCTGATCGTGGTCAATCAGCATGGCCAGCCTCTCTATGTCCTGCAGACCCTTCCCAGCGGCGTGACCCAGAAAATCAACCTGGCCCCTTCTGTGAGTCCCGTGGAGGCCAACAGTGCAGTACTCGGACAAAGCGTCTCAATGGGAGGCAGCCTAGCCCTAGCGACAGGCTTGAATGTCAGTCTGCCCGCCTCCCAATCGATCTACACTTCTCCTACCATGGCCAACAGTAAAGGCCTGATGACTCTGTCGCAGCACCCTCAGTTACATTCCTTCACAGCGCCTGCTCCCTCAGCGTTTCAGCCCAACAACTCCAGCAGCTCTGGCCCTGGTCTGCTCATTGGTGTCCAGCCTCCTCAGGAGCCGCCGGTATTGAGTTCTGAACCCAGTCCAAGGCAGGAGCACATGACTGCCCCCACCTCGAGTCCGGCTCCGGCCCAGCCCAAGAAAAGGCAAATCAACCGGCTGCCATCCAAGAAGAGCAAGAAGCTCGCCCCCTCGTACCAGCCAGGCACCAGCGCACCTGCGGAGATCGTGCCCAACATGACTTTAATTAACCTGTCGCCAACCCAGATTGCGGGGGGAATAGCTGGTCAATCAGGCTTGGTGGATCTGGGGGCTCTATCTGGCACGGGAGCCCAGAGAACCATCCCCAATATCATCAAGCGCTCCAAGGCCGGAGTGATGTACTTTGAGCCGGCCTCACTCGCTGGCCCACAGGTCCAACAGTCCAGGAGCCCGCTGGTCACTTCCGCCAACATTATTGGTCACGAGAACTTGGGAACGGGAAGCCAGTCTATGTTAAATGTGGTTTCTATGCAAGCAGCTACAGCAACCAGTGGCGGAGGAGGGGCTGTGGCAGGACATATCCTGGGGCAGGGTTCAGTAACATTAGCTACTCCCACACTGTTGGGGACAACGGACATAACTGGCTCCATAAGTAACCTGTTAATTAAGGCAAGCCAGCAGAGCCTGGGACTCTCCGATCAGACAGTGGGCTTGCCGGGAGCAGGGGTCTTTCAACATCTCGCCTCCCCACAAAGCCCCACCAGCGCCCCCATGTCTCCAGCTCCGAGCAGGTGCCTGCGGTCATCCACCCAGACAGTGGGGGTCCCAGTCACATCCACCCCCTCGGACCAGGAGGGTTCCTATCAGTTACATCAACAAATCTCGCAGCTGCTGTCCAGCAAAGGTGGGGAGATGAGCAACCCACTGGACGTGGCTGGCAGTTCAGTGGGCCAAATGTCAACCAGCTCGGCCGCTACCAGCACCTCTGTGGCTTCTCCCCTGACATTCCCCTCCACTGCGGACCTACCGTCCGTCTCTCTCTCTCCCTCTCCTGTGTCTCCAGGCTCCCCAAGAGCCAAGTCCAGGATCAAACGGATATCGCCCGCCCTGGACAAGTCGAATGTTAAAAAGCACAAGGCCTCCCATGCACTGACGGACTCCTCGGGATGCCATCACTCCCCTCAGGATTCGGAGCTCGCCAGCCCACCGCCCGTTTCCTCGGCCACAGGGTAAGCGTTAGGGTTATCATCATTACATGCGCATGCACACAACTCAAACCTGTTACAAAAAGCAACATACTGCAGATGCTGGAAACCTAAAATAAAAACAGAAGTCGCCGGGAATACTCAGCAGTTCAGGCAGCATCTGTGGAGAGAGGAAAGTGAATTGACTGTATAAAATATACAGTCAGTTCACTTTACAGTATATTCCATGAAGCGCTTTGAGATGTCTCAAAGACGTGATAAGACGCTATGTCAAAATGTCAAATGCAAGGATTATTGTGTCCTGACAGAAATGTGTGTGTGTTTTTATTTAATGTGATTTCAGGCCTATTCGAGTTCGAATGAAGAATCAGAGTGTAAGAGAAACAATGGAACTGGGACAGCTGGAGGAATGTCACAGGGAGATTGAGTCACCCAAGTAAGCGAGGTTTAACCTGGGAACTCCCAATCTCCCCTTTCTGGTATGATGATGATAATAATAATAATAATCCTTGCATTTGATAAATTTGAGCTCACTCTGTGTGTGTGTGTGTGTGTTTGACAGTGACATCAGTTTACCTGATACCTTACGATACTTTCCTGGTTTCTGATAAAGCAGTCACCTTTGCCTATCCCTCCGCCTCCCCCCCCTTCCTTCCTCATCTTCAGGTCGGGCCTGAAGACCTTCCTCTTTGACCGTGCCTAAAGTCACCTCCCCCCTGCTCGCTATCAAGCGCTCTGGGACGTTACACACAGCGTGAAGGGCCCTGCGTCAATGCAAGTTGTTGTTGTAACTGGCCGGACTACAGCGAGATTTGTCTAGGAAGTCCAGCTCTCTTTACTTCCCCACCCCAGTGATTCACATTGCCATTTAAGCTGCTAATTCCTTTCTTCTTTTCCCTCAGCCAAATGGAACAAATGCCAACACTACAGACCTTTGAGCCCATTAACCCAACAGTCAGCTCGGAGGGACAGGATGTCACGGGTAAGTTATGCAGTAATCTTTTGGATGCATTTGTGCATCAAAGCAGGATTGTTCTGTCCGGCACTGTGGCAGTGTGAGTGCGTGATCCTCTCCTTCCCCATCTTCAGTAGAGCAGAGATTTCACCAGAGCTTGGAATGGAGTGAGCTGGGATTGAGTTGCTACCTTTGCTGTTTGATGCCTGCGGCCCTCCCCTCCTGAGCAGTAGCCAAGGGTTGAGCATTTATCTATGAAAACCTGACTTCAGGGTTGAAGGCTTAATTAAAAACGAAAGCATTTCTCTTTCTCTCCAGAATCTAGGAGCTCAGACGATGACGAAACCTTCAGTTCTCCCCTTCTGGCGCTGCTCGAACAAGAGGAGAAAAGGAAAGAGATCAGGAGTGGGAAGAGATCCAAAAAAGGCTTGCTCTTTCAGATCACCAGCGATGATGGCTTTCAGATCCAGTGTGACAATATTGAGGGTAAGGGCGGTTACCACCTGCGTCAGTGCAGTATGTAGGGACGGAATGTGTCGGGAACTGAGTCAAAAGAGCTTTGCAGTCGGTGCACTGTTCAGTAGATATACTACAACACAGGAGGAGGCCATTTGGCTCATCAAACGTGTGCTGGTGCTAACTAGACCGTGATACTAATTCACTGACCTTTCCTCACATCCTTTTAAATTGTTTATCCAATTCCCCTTTTAAATGCCATGGTTTCAGCACATGAGCCATTTGTGCAAAACATTCTGTGTTCTTTATCTTTTGCGTGAAATACAGTAAGCATAGAGGTTGGCTTATCCCCCACCCACCTCCATCACATGTGACAGGCATCGATTGACCTCAGTAGATGAGCATGCGATGCTGTGAATCAAGCTGTGAGTTGGCTTGGTTTGGAGAAGTGGGGAAGTGAAGTGGAAAGGTGGTTCCTGAACAGCCAAAGTGTGTGTCAATCCACTTTACAGCACTTTGCAGTGTATCCTATGAAGCGCTTTTGAGACATCTTGAAGACGTGATAAGGAGCTATATCAAATAGAAGGATTATTATTATAATTTCAAACTCGTACGAGTAGTTTTGCTTCAACTATTCTTGACTCCTTCTCTGCAGAAGCCTGGAAGGTGCTGACTGACAAGGTGCAGGAGGCTCGATCCAACGCCCGGCTGAAGCACATATCGTTCTCTGGTGAGAGCTGCGTGCTTTATAGTGATCGGCTATAGATGGCGACCGAGCAGATTAAACCTCAGGGTGTTTGTGGAGCAGTCAGGGTTGGTGGCTCATGCTGTCTGGTTAGGGTATGAAGCAGTCTGACTTTACGCGTTCTCTTTACTGCAGGGGTGAACGGCTTGAAAATGCTGGGGATTTCTCACGATGCGGTGGTCTTCCTCATCGAACAGTTGTACGGAGCCAAAAGGTGCAAGAATTACAGCTTCAAGTTCCACAAGCACCAGGAGGTGGATGAGCTTCCCCTCAACCCCCACGGCTCGGCCAGAGCTGAGATACACCAGAGGTGAGGTGCTGATATAGGGGTGTGCACTTGTATACCAGAGGAGGCGGTGGTAGCACAAGTTTGTGCACTTGCGTACAAGAGGGGAAGGTGAAAGGCACTATACAAATGCAATTTGCTGTTATTGAGGTGCTAACATAGGTGTGTGTATTTGTATACCAGAGGGTATACTAGAGGGAGGTGTGTATTTGTGTGTGGGATGTGTGCATACGCAAGAGGGAGTTGCATGCCTATGTGTGTGTATATACAAGAAGGGAGGTATGTGTGCACTTGTGTACGAGAGGCAAGGCGTAAAAGAAATCTCAGCTTTACAGAGTGAGATTAATTAGAGATGCAAGGACATTTTTAGACACTTTGTTTGAAACATTTTTTAAAAAAATCATTGTCTGTGTTTTGGCTCTCCCCCTTTAACACTGACATCCAGGTCTTGTCTGTTCTACGAGTTGCTGGATTCGGGGGGGGAATAGTGTTACCTGAAATAATAATGATAATAATCCTTTTGCATTTGATATAGCGCCTTATTATGTTGTTGAGACGTCTCAAAGTGCTTCACAGAATACACTGTAAAGTCTAGTGACCGTACCCGGTGCCTCCCCAATTCCAGGCCTGGAGTAGTCCGAGCTCGCTGGTCGGGTGTGTGATTTCCGGGCGAGTGGATCTAGTGTATTGTGGATTGATGCTCCTAATACATGCTGTGTGCTGGACATGTGTCGTAGCCATTTATTTATTTGTTCTTCTTGTGCAGGAAATCAGCGTTTGACATGTTCAACTTCCTGGCTTCCAAACATCGGCAGCCACCGGACTACAATCCCAATGAGGAGGAGGAGGAAGAGGTGCAGCTGAAGTCAGCACGGTGGGTGCGGTGCAAGAATAAATCATAGAAACATAGACTATTGCAGCATAGAAGGAGGCCATTCAGTCCATCGTACTGGCTCTTTGGAAGAGCTACCCAATCAGTCCAACTCCCCCGCTGTTTCCCTACAGCCCTGCAAATTGTTCTTTTTCTAATTCCCTGTTGAAATCAAATTAAATCAATGAGAGAAACTATTTCCTCTGGTGGGTGGAGGGAATCCAGAACAAGGGGGCATCATCTTAAAATTAGAGTGGATCCATTTAGGAGCGAAGTTAGGAGGCAGTTTTTCACCCAAAGGATAGTGGAAATCTGGAACTCTCCCTCCCCAAAAAACTGGATTATGGCTGGATCCATTCATATTGTCCAGACTGAGGTGGGTTTGTTAGGTCAGGGTATCAAGCGATATGGGGCAAAGGTGGGTAATTGGAGTTGAGGTACAGATCAGTAATGATCTTATGGAAAGGTAGAACAGGCTCGATAGGTTGAATGGCCTCCTCCTGTTCCTATATTTCTATGTTTATGCTAATGTTAATGCATTAAATGGTGGCAGCCGAGAGATGCTCTGTGCAAGCCTAAAAAANGACAATTCCATACTTACAAACTTGCCAGACAGCATTCTCATTGGCAAGCTATGTGGTTTTAGCTGGTTGGACCCCAGCAGTTACCCCAATCGCACATTCTGGGGTCCCCCAAGCCTTGGCTCTTGCCAAACTATGCCTAATACTTTCCAGAATTAGATAAGCAGGATGCGTCCCTCTGGGAGAGAGAGAGACCTTGCATTCCATTCCAACAATCTGTCTCTGGGATTTCAATGTGCTGGTGTGATGCATGGAATGCTCAGTTTGGTTTGGATACTCTTTAAGAATAGTGATGGCTTTCCACATGTGTCATGTTAGTGACACTCGACTAACCTTAAAAAAAAAGAAAGATCAGTATCTTGAAATGATGAACGTTAAAAATGTTAACTCTTTGGTGTTGCGGCTTGTGAGGAGAAGTGTGAGTTTCATACAGAAGTTTAGTCGATCTATCACTGGGACCCAGTCTGCCTCGGCACCGTGATCTGTGTATTGTGGGGTAATTTTGACTTGATCGGGGAAGTAGTTTCATGGTGTTGATGAATAGAACCTTATCATGCAATGTGAGTGCTGTAGTAACTGTTGTGTCTGTCATCGCAGACGGGCAACCAGCATGGACCTCCCCATGGCCATGAGGTTCAGGCACTTGAAAAAGACTTCCAAGGAAGCAGTTGGTGTCTACAGGTAAGAAGAAGCAAGTGCTCAGTGTGTGTTGTATTTGGGTGGCGTCTTTGCGATTCTACCAGCAGATTTTTCTAATATATCACAAATCGCTGGAAGTATGACTAATTTTAATTGTCCTGGCTGCCCATTACCTCCCGATCAATGGCGATTGGAGCGACCACGACCTTGGATATTACGAACGGAGACTCGATGAAACTTTGTTTATGACTGTTAACACTGCAGTCTGCAGCTCACAGAACGGCTTTGAGACTCCCGTCGGTCACAGCGACTCACAGTCGCACATGCGGTGGCTGTGTTTGTCCCGCAGCTGTTTTCCCTTTGTGGCTTGTTCCATAGACAATCCCATAATTGTTATTGTATCAAGCAAAGGTGTTGTTTTGGGTGGGGGAGTGAGGGGGAGAGAGGAAATGGAATCAGTTGATAATAACTAACTTGCATTTTTTCATGCCCTTCAGCCCTTCACATAAAATAACCTGTCCAAAGCGCTTTACAAAATATAATGGATGAGGAATTATAGTAAAAGTTGCAAATCTTGAGGAAACTGATGCCAAACTGATTTTATCATTAATAATAATCCTTGCTTTTGATATAACGCCTTAACATGTCGTTGAGACATCTCAAAGCTCTTCACAGAATATACTGTAATATATTTGTTAGATAAAGGTATCAAGGGTTATGGGGTAACTGGAGTTGAGGTACAGATCAGCCATGATCTAGTAGAATGGCGGAACAGGTTCATAGGGGCTGAATGGCCTACTCCTTTGCCTATGTTCCTAAAGTGGACTCACCATGTATTTTGTGGGCAAAACGCAGCAGCCAATTGAGCATAGCAGTGTCCCACAAACAGTCGTGGATTGAATGACCACATTTTTTTAAAAAAATGCATGTTTTAGGAATAATTAATGAAAATTAAATTTTACTCCTAAATCGTTGCTCTCTCTTATCTTCTCAAAATGTTATAGGTCACCAATCCACGGACGGGGCCTTTTCTGTAAGCGAAACATTGATGCAGGTGAGATGGTCATCGAATATTCGGGTAATGTCATTCGATCTGTCCTCACAGACAAACGAGAGAAATATTATGACAGCAAGGTGAGTTTCTAGAGCAGGTTCTGGATTATAACCACAGGTTCGGCACCCGTTAGTGGGATCCGTTTATGTCCGCACCATGCAAATAACCAAACCAACCCCCTTTATCCAATAGCAGGGGCCTAATTTGCAATATTCCTTAACTGGATTCCTTGATCCGGTTAGAATTCCCGCCAGCGCACAGGAACTCAGCTCCCGAAGTAGATAGCGTAGGATCAGCATTCCTATGGGAGTGGCGAAACCACGTCCGCTGGTTGCTGGAAAGAGTCCCTGTCTGCTCGGCTGATTCATAGTTGAAGAATCCTGTTAAGAAATACCGCAAATTAGACTCCAGTCACTATCTTTATGATGTGGTCCTTCCTCAGTGTTGCAGCAAAATCATCATGGCATCATTAAGCAGCTTAACTCCCTGCTTTCTTACCCTTTTACGTTGCTTAACTAACCTTGCAGTTAATTTTAAAGTGTGTGTGCGGGTGTACGTGCGTTGTTACCTGTTGTGTTCAAGGCTCACAATGTGGTATCAGCCAGTTTATTCCATTTAATGGAATTGGATAGGTACTTCAAAAAAGGTAAATATGCAGGGCTATGTGGTAAGCGCGGGGAAGTGGGACTAGTTGGTAGCTCTTTCAAAGAGCCGGCATAGGCACGATGGGCCAAATGGCCTACTCCTGTGCTGTAAGATTCTATGGGTAAAAAGAAGTTGCCTGATACCTCGCTCGTTGGTGGCCTCTGTTGCTTACAGAATGACGCCTTTGTTCTCCCAACAACAATCGCCTATTTGCAAATGAAAATCGTTCTACTTGGATTCAAATAAGAAGAGTTGCAAATAGCGTGGAAGGGGAACGTACACCTGTAATTCACGTGAATACGTCGTAAAGGCTTATTTGCTCCAAATCTCTGGAACTCTCCCTCAATCCATCCGCCTTACCTGCTCCCTCCCTACTTTCAAATCTTGCCGAAAGACCTTCCTTTTTAATTGTGCTTACAGTCACCTCCCCCTTCTCTCCCTTTCCCCCTGGCTCGGTGTCCAACTCCGCCACTGTCAAGCGCTCCGGGAGACGCCATCCGTTGAAGGGCGCTAATAAATGCAAGTTGTTTGGTAAAGGACAGCATTTCTAGGGCAATTGAGGATGGGTAATTTCAGGTGTGGGAAACCGCAGATCGATCCCTTCAGTTGTCCTGCTCTCTACCACTTTCCCGTCTGGAGAAACAGCTGGGAAGGCAGTAGCGAGGGTATTCGGGAAGGATGAGATCAATGGGCCGAAGGGTGTGTCCTCCAATGGCCCCATTGTACAACCTCGGTCTTGGGTCTGATCGGTAATGCCAATGCTTGTCCTGTGCTCCTGCACCAACAGGGGATCGGCTGCTACATGTTCCGTATTGACGACTACGAGGTGGTGGACGCCACGATGCATGGCAACGCAGCCCGGTTCATCAACCACGCCTGCGAGCCCAACTGCTTCTCCCGGGTCATCAACGTGGACGGGCAGAAGCACATCGTCATCTTCGCGGTGAGGAAGATCTACCGGGGCGAGGAGCTGACCTATGACTACAAGTTCCCCATCGAGGACGCCAGCAACAAGCTGTCCTGTAACTGCGGGGCCAAGAAGTGCAGGAAGTTCCTGAACTGACAGCAGCCCGCGGGGAGATAGATTCTGGGGAACGTCGGTAATCCCAGGGATCGACTGAATGCGAATCGTATAACCATTAGCAGCGTTTAAGTCACCTTCCCGACACGTCAACGGCGCCGTTCGCACTTAGTTCCGAGTCTTGTGGCTTGAGCGGTCAGTGTGTATGTGACCCCGGTTGCTGTTCAAACTGTGTCGGCTGCTTCGTGTTTAGTTGTCGAAACTGTACAGCAATATTAATCGTGTGTTAGAGGCATCTCCATCTCTGAAATCTGTCTGTGCCGAGCAACTTGAAGTGTTCACCCAGCAGAGAAAATGATTTGATTTGTGGGAAAGGAAAGAGCCTTTTAAAGTGGAAATCTTTTGCCGCCTTGACTTGACTTCACGGTAGACTTGAGTCCATGGCACCAAATTGAGCCGGGCCTGACCGACCAAGTCTCTGTTAGCAAAGGAGGTTGGATCCAGAGCGTGGGGATAAGAAAATAGGAACAGGAGTAGGCCGTTCAGCCCCTCGAGCCTGTTCCCCCATTCTATTAGATCATGGCTGATTTGTACCTCAAGTCCAATTACCCGCCCTCGCCCCATATCCTTTGATATCCTGACCCAACAAATATCATAGAATATTACAGCACAGAATGAGGCCATTCGGCCCTCTGTGCCTGAGCTGGTATCTATCAACCTTAATCTTGAAAATTTGAATGGATTCAGCATTCACAGCCTTTTGGGGGGAAAGAGAGTTCCAGATTTCCACTATCCATTGTGTGGAAAACCATCTCCTGATTCCATTCCTAAATGGTTTAGCTCTAATTTTAAGATTATTCCCCCTTGTTCTGGATTGGGTTTGGGGGCGGGCGGGCGAGGGGTTAGAGAACTCTCTTATTGGTAGCTGTGGGGGAATAGCACAGTGCAGAGCTTGGAGCTACATCACCTGGGAATGTGTGTGGTGTGTGTGTGTGGAAACTGAGGCACTGCTTTGACTTGTACCATATCAGACCTGGGAATGATCTGCTATTTCATCGCTGTGTAGAAGTATATAAAAAAATAATTTTGCTAAACGATGATTCTCAATAAAACCAGTGAAGGGGAAACAGACCAGTCCCATAGGGGGTAATTAAGTTCTTTGTTGGGGGGGGGGGGGGGCTGGAGAGAAGGAATGGTCACAGAATCTACCGAAAGTGTCTAAATCTGACAAATCCCTTCGTTCTTTGAGGCAGTTCCTGTGGGATTGTTAGATTTCGGGTTGTTTAAAACCTACGCATCATATACCCAGGAAGTTGTGGTTTGAACACTAACCGTCGAGGCAACACTTTGTATTTGCTGGCAGTGCGTACTTGTTTTTTGGCTGTAGTCTAGTTCCAGGTGGACTTTACGGTGGAGCAGATGTTCAAAGTTGGAAAGAAAGAGAAAGAGATGTTGGCTTTTAGTTAAATCCAACCCATCCAGCACCTTGGGACATCCTCCCAATGTGAAAGGCGCTGTACAAATGTAATTTGTTGATGTTGTTAGTTGCAAAGAGATGGGAGTGAAGCTTACCAACCTCTTAGCAAGTCTAAAAGCCACAGAATAGCCAGTACTCATTCAATGCAGTCACCCTGGGCCCTCACAATGCCTGACCCAAGTACAGAAGTGGTGAGGAAGCACTAATGGGCGGAGGAATAATGTTACTCCCCAAGCTATAAATGGAACCTACTTCATAGTAAGAAAATCTCTCTGACTCTCTCTTTCTCCTCCTGCATCTCTCAATAGATGCAGAGGGGATAGAGATGATCCCTCCGCCATATGATTTTTTTTCTCTGGTGAAAGGCACAGCCACAATGGCCCAATGGCTTCCTGTGCTGTAAGATTCTATGATTCTCTAATAATAATAATCCTTGCATTTGATATAGCGCCTTATCAAGTGAGTTGACTGTATATTTTGTGTGCGAAAAGCGGCAGCCAATTGCGCACAGCAGTGTCCCACAAACAGTGGTGGATTGAGTGACCAAATTTTTTTTAAGGGGTTATTACCCCCAGAAAAGTGATCCACCAACCGTCTAACATTACCGGGTTACTACTTACTGCTAGGTAAGCAGAGGCTCTGTTAATGTTAGTTAACGTAACTCTCTGATGTTAATGGAGGTAACAGACTGGTTAAAATGGCTCCCACTATACAGGCGATCCTTGTTTTTTTATTATTAAATGAGGTTGGAAGAGTCCAGCCGGCTTGGCAGAGTGTTGGGGAGAGCAGGCTGGTTGGAGCAGTCACACTCACCTTGTTTACAGACGTTAGTGGCTGTTGTGTGAGCTTTCTCTCGCTCTAGTCTAGTCCTTCGCTTCTAAATGCTGATGCTACTGGGAAACCCTCTGTGTTGGTTTTCACAAGCGGTTAAACTTAAACCACTTATTCACAAATCATGTTGTTGCATTAGGATCCTTTTGTCTGTGTGTGTGTGTGTGTCTGTGTTGTGTGTGTAAAGAAAATTAAACTGATTTAAGTGGTGGATTATTTTTTAAAAGTTGAGGGGTTTATAAGTAACTGACCTGAAGTTTGAACACACATCCAGCAATTAACTATTGAAAATACTGCCGTAGCCTAAATATATATATATTTTTATTGTTGTGTAATTTGTCTCGTTATTTATTTAATTTAGGGGGCTTTTTATTTGTGGCTTAACTTTTGATAGCCCAAAGAAAATGGGTGTTAATGTCTCAGTTCTGTGCTCAATCTGACTCGCTAGGCACTTAATGCCTGTTAAATTCTATTGCACACAGGCTCCCCTGGTTTGATGATATAGCAGGGGCTGTTGACTAGGACCCCCATCCTCCGGCAATGCTACTTTATGGTAGGATACCCTAATATGACAGCACAGACAAACCCACTGATCTGCCGCAGAACAGCATTTGACATAGCAGCTGTAAGACTGTCAGGCTGAACACTAAAGTGGGGCAAGTGCAAGCTCTTTCTATAGTTCTTTTCTCTTTAATGGTCGGTTTACCTGGTAAGGTCAGTTTAAGCGTTGGTTTAGTCGAGCTAGACTGAAGGGCTTTACTCTTTATTGGACGGTGAGAGGAGCGTGGTAACGGTTGCGGTTACGAGCATCTCAGTCAGTCACAGGTTTCCGTCGTGCTGCTCGTGGGTCTGTGATCGCGGTAACACAGAGGCACTTAGAGCAGGGGGCTGACCTGCCTATCACGAGAGCAGACTTAGTAACACAAACCTTGCTTACGTGTGTGTTACACGCCAGCTTCTCAGCCAAACGGCCAGAGAGCATTTTAGCTCTCAGGGACTCCAGTATATAAATGCAAGTTGTTGTTATTTAGCACCAGGTCCTCGAGTTATATAATGCCGCTGTGCTGCGGCTGAAAGGCTGAGATTGATCTTTACACCTGATTTAACGTCCCAGCCAGTGGTCATTGAAATGCACTTAATCTTACCAAAAGGTCCCCCAAAAATTCTTGTTTTCGTGCCCTCATTCTCTCCTCCCCCCACCCCCCCCACCCCACCCGTCTCCTGTCCCCCACCCACCCCGAAAATCTTACAGCCAGATTACAAACTGACAGCTGAGTGTGACAAGACACCCAACAGAGGCTCCTGGTGGGGAGAACAGTCTGTCCGATACGCTTTGACTCACGCTTAAGATTATCTTCCTGTTTAAAAGCTCCAACACAAGAGGTCAATACAGCCTTGAAATGAATGTATCTTTTTTCTACTGACTGAAATTATTCCGAGCGAAGTACGAAAAAGCAACCTCCACAAAGTTTGTGAGAAAAAAAAAAATGAGGAGGTGCAAAATGTCACCTGGGAGCAAGGCAGGTCGGTGAGAAAGGCCTGGTTTTGCACCATCCATTTCAAAGCAATATGCTGTTTACAGTCATTTTGTAGAGATATGTGTGTTAAAATTATCATCATCATCACGTCATGTTGAGTCGGAAGAATTATTCTGATCCTAAATCAATGGGAATAGCTGTCATTTTCAAATTCTGTGTGTGTTGTGCTATTTTTTTTATATAAAAAAAAAGCTTTCAGTTCTGCTCTGAAGATTATTTTATTTGAACACTATTAGGATTTTTACCCACCTCCCGCCCAACTCAAAATGTCTGACTGTAACTACTAGATATATTGTACTTTTATTTTTATTTTTAAAACCTGTTTTTAAAAGTTGGGATATAAATCATTTGTGCAATCCCATTGTCTGACTTGGGCCTGCTTTGCCTCTCTCTCTCTCTCCCCCGCACAACACAACATTATTATATTTATAACGTGCATTTTTCCGTTAATGTGAATATTTTTGTGTCTTTGAGATGAATGCAAAGAAATGGTAGATGTAATATGTTCCGAGAACCTTGCGTGAAAATTCTTTTATTTTTTATTCATAAACAAAAGCGAATTGTAAAACTTTCTTAATTATTTTTTCATTTCTTTTTCCTGTAAATTGTTATTTTTTACATTGCTCTTCCAAAAAAAAAAAACATTTGTGTCTCTTATTAAAACGATCGGACTAGTCCCATCAGTGTTATAAACCATATCGTGGTGATGAAGGTAATTTTAATTTTTAATTAAAAGATTTAAAAAAAAACTGAAAGCTATGCTAAAGAATGAATGTAAAAAAAATGTACATAGTTGTAAAAATGTTTCTAAACGTTATTTTCTATGCACTTTTTTATTTAAGTGATAGTTTAATTAATAAACATGTCCCGTTTATCCTTGGCGACACTTTCTGAGCAGGTTCTGTGTGATTTTTAAACCCCAATTCGACTCCCTGCAGGATAATGAGCCGTGAAACTCTGGAACACCCCCCCTCGGTCCCTCTGCCTTGCCCCCTTCTCCCAATCTTCAAGTCGCGACTAAAGACCTTCCTTCGACTGTGGTTAATGATCACCTCCCCCGGCTCAGCTCCGCCACTGTGGAGCGCTCTGGGACACTGCCCTGCGTGATGGGCGTTGTGTAAATGCGGGTTGTTGTGGAAAATGCTTTACTTTTGAAACTCTTTGGTTTTGGTCTCATTGCCTCTTCCTTGCAGCATTTAACTCCATGCTAGGAGAGAATATAATAATAATAATAATAATCCTTGCATTTGATATAGCGCCTTATCAGCCACTTGGGCACATCAGTGTCCTACCAACAGTAGTGGATTGAGTGATCTATATATGTGTGTGTATATATATAATATATATTTTTGGGGTAGTGATTATTACCCCCGGAAGAACGATCCACCAATCTGGGTTCCTGCTTACTGCTAGGCTAAACAAGCGTGTGGAGTAAGGAAACTTGCTCAATGTTTTGTACTGCCTGGGAATCTAACTCAGATCCTCTCGCGAGGCGAGTGCTCTTCAACCACTATGCTACAGGACTCCACAATGGAAATACTAGTGTTCTTTAACCCACCACCCCCTTACTCCACGTGGGCGTACGTACATCACAGCGAGCCTAGATGGGGGCGAGTTGACAGAATATTCGTTATTTATCTCCCCTCTGTCCTCATTTCTTTCATGTCCCCAACAGAGGGCACCGTTTAACAGCTTTCACAAAGGAAAGGACTAGAACAATTATTATTATTATGCCAGAGTGTCTCAAAATGTTTTGGAGGTCCTCGTTGTCGCTGTAATGACTGCCTTAACATTAATAATCTTTGTATTTGACGCACTGCCTTATCACATCTTCGAGACGTCTCAAAGGGCTTCACAGAATATACTGTAAAGTGACTATTTTGTGGGCGAAACACGGCAGCCAATTGCGCATAGCAGCGTTCCACAAACAGTCGCGGATTGAGTGACCGAATTATTATTTTTTTAAGGGATTTATTACCCCTGGAAAAGCGATCCAGTCGGGTTCCTACTTACTGCTGGGTAAACAGGGTCGTGTGGAGTAAGGAAACTTGCCTAAGGTTTTGCCACGTCAGGGAATCAAGCCCAGGTTCTCTCACTTGCAAGGCGAGCGCTCTAACCAATGAGCTACATGGTCTTTGTAGGCAAACGCTTCATCAAGGTCTCACACAGCCATGTGGTGAAAGGTAAATGACCTTTTTTTTAAATATATATCTCTCTTGACGGTAGTTGGCCAGGACACACGGAGGGAGACGCTCCCTTCTCTTCTCCAATAGTGTTGCTATTGCCCAGTGTTAGTATCTGAAGCCATTTACATAGAGTGAGGCAGGTCTCTGGTTTGTAGCCAAGTTAGTGTTGATTCGTGCCTCCACTCTCGTTGGCTTGAGCGCAGTGTAGGGGCAGTCTCAGTTTGCTGGAGGTCGTGGTACAAGCTCTGCCAAAGGCTGTGTGCTCCTTACCTTTGTACCTCGCATGGCTTCCCTCAATGACCAGGCTGTTTTACAGGCCATCTTCAATCCGAATGCCCCATTTGGGGATGTTGCTGGGCTGAATCTGAAGGCAGAGCAGACGGACGACGGTGAGTGAAACTCTGGAATACACTCCCACTATCCCTCCGTCTTGTCCCTTTCTTCCCCATCTTCAGGTTGCGCCTGAAGACCTTCCTGTGTAAATGCAAATTGTTGAGTATTTGCCATTTTAGCTGATTTTCTATTTGGGACGTTTCACCGCCTTCACAAGAACCCGCTTGTTACATACTATAGACCTTTGGTCAAAACATCTCCACCGAGCTCCGTGTTTAAATACTGGCTCTCTTAATGCACACTCACACGCACACACAAACACACACACTTTCTCTTGCGCTCACACACACACACACATACATACTACACTCACGCACATACACTTTCACACACGCATACTACACTCGCATACTTCACTCAGACATACACTTCTTATGGTCGCACCCATACTTCACTCACACATACGCACGTACACTTTTACACACACACGCGCTTTCTTGCGTTCTCACACACACACACACACACACATATTTCACTCACATATGCACATACACTTTCTCACACATACACCCACACATTGTGACTGACGACGTTGAGCAACCAGATGGAAATTCTGCCAATTCTGACGTTTTAAACCGATCCAAGGTTGAGGACTTGTTTGAACTTTGTTTCAAATTTAGCAACAACAAACCGTGCGCATGGGCCTGTCCCTGCTCTAGTCTAAAGGGGGTCGTGCGGAGCAGAGATGATAATTCTCCCCAGTTAGCTGCTGCCTAAGTTGGAAGTACCTTGCCCTTCGGTGGACTTTGTTTCGTTCTGTGCTGATAGCATACTGACATTGTGTGTGAGGCTCGACAGTGAGCGTCAACAAGCACAGGGGAGCGCAGTCACACACTGCCTTTATAGCTGGGGAATTAGGAGCACAAATCCAGGCTGATTATCTATCTCCCTTTCAAGCCAAAGCCTTCCATCCATCCCATGAGCAGTCTGGTCCTCTTGGAAGCTGAGTGACTGGGTTGGGGTATTATTGGGTGGGAGGGAGGCAGGAAGGGGGTCAGTATTAGATCTGCCTTTGCTGTATGAAAATAAATTGATGCATTCAGTTTCCATTGCATCCCTCTACAAATGCACAGTCACTACCCTTCACCCTATATAGGGATTTGCTGGATGAAAGACCAAAGTCCACCCAGTTTGCCTTCCTGGCAGTTGTTTTGACATGTGTGCCAAACCATATACTGTACCCCAGATATTATTCCCTAACAAAAATCTTATCTAAAGCGTTTTGATTGTGTAGCATTCCTGACGGTGTGTTTGAAAGCCCTCCGGGGTCTTCCTCCTTCCTGCCTCTGTAACCTGCTAACACCGTATCACCGTCTGCTCCCTCCGCTCAGTGGGCTCCGGTCTGTGCCACATCCCCCGCCTGGCCTGGCCCACCATCGGTGGTCAGGCCTTTAGCCTCTCTGCCCCCATCCTTTGGAACTCCTTCCCACAGTCACCTCCCTCCCTCCCTCGCTTCCTTCGAGGCACGTCTCTAGACCCTCCTCTTCGACCTCGCTTTGGACACCCTCCTATTCCTACCCTCCATCCCGCCTGATCCCAACCCCCAGCTCAGGTCCAAACCCCTGACTGTCCAGCGCCTTGGGACGTCCTCCCGACGTGAGTGAAAGGTTTATGCAAATGTAATTCGTAGGTGGTGTTTTCTCTCTTCAGACAGCAGGTTCGAGCCACAGCTGGTGGCACAAGTGAAGGCGTTGGAGGTTGAGGGGGTTTCTCTGGCTGAGGCGGGGAATGTGGACGGGGCCCTGGAGAGTTTTACTCGGGCCGTGGGAATCCTCCCGGAGAGACCGTCCGGCTACAACAACCGAGCACAGGTCCTCCGGTTAAAGGGCGACACGGCAGGTAACTACTCCTAATGTGACAGCCAGAGACACAAGTATTGAGAGAGAGACAGAGAGAAGATACAGCTCAATGTGATGTCCTTCCCCTCTCTTCGCTGAGCTATTCTGCGGCATCCCCTGTGGGTGGGTGTGGGTGTAAGAGGTGAGCCACCCCGCCCCATTCCCCCCCCCACCCTTCCACCCGCATCCGTGGAAGGATCCAAAACAAACTGAGTCCCGATCTTCAGTCCACGACTGTTTGTGGAACTGTGTGCAATTGGCTGCAATGTTTCGCCCACAAATATGCAGCAATTTAACTTTACGGCATGTCCCGTGAAGCTCTTTGAGGCGTCTCAAAAAGACGTGATGAGTCGCTATTATTTTTATTATTTTATTTCAGGAGCCCTGAAGGACCTGGATAAAGCAGTGGAGCTGAGCGGGGAGCGGGGTTTGAGCGCAGCACAGGCACTGGTACAGAGGGCTCTGCTTCACCGACTGGCTGGCCGGGAGCCAGAGGCAGAGAGCGATTTCCGAAGGGCGGCCGAGCTGGGCAGCACGTTTGCCAGGCACCAAGTGACTTTACTGAACCCCTTTGCGGCCCTGTGCAACCACATGCTGCACAAGATGATGTCCCAGCTCAGGCAGCCTGAGCCAGACTCCCAGTGAGGAGGGAGCTCAGCGCGGGGTGGGGGAATAACTTCTGGAACTCAATCCCACAGTCCCTCTGCCTCGATCCCTCCCTTGCCTCCTTCAAGGCACATCTCAAGACCCTCCTCTTCGACCGCACCTTTGGTCGCCCTCCTACCCCTACGCTCCCTGCCCTCCACCCCGTCCTGATCCCAACTCCCCAACTCGGGTCCAAATCCCTGACTGCCCAGCTCCTCGGGACGTCCTTCTGACGTGAAAGGTGCTGTTGTTGTTGTTGGCTCGACCTTGCCCTGTGATGCTCTGGAAAGTGGGATTAGAATAATAATATTTCTTCTACATAATACACTTTACAGTGTATCCCGTGAAGCACTTTGAGACATCTCAACGACGTGATAAGGCGCTGTATCAAATGCAAGTGCAGAAAAAATAAAATGGGTTAAATTCATTGTGTGCAACTTTGTGTAAAGAAATCATTCCTCATATCTACCCTAAGTGCGAAACACTGGACAAGTTTCCTTACTCCATATGCCTGTGTTTACCGAGTAGTAAGTAGGAACTCGTTGTTAGTTACTTGGTGGATCGCTTTCCAGGGGTAATAATTGCCTCATATAACAAAAATAATTTGGTCATTCAATCCACGACGGTTTGTGGGACGTCGCTGTGCGCAATTGGCCTCCGCTTTTCGCCCACAAAATATACAGTCAATTGACTTTACAGTGTATCCTGTGAAGCGCTTTGAGACGTCTCAACGGCGTGATGAGGCGCTGTGTCAAATGCGAGGATAATTATTATTATTAGCAGCAATTCTCTCTGTTTTTTGGGTCCATACTGCAAAGTAAAAGTGCCTATTCTCACTCATGCGCCACTAAGATCAAATTGCGTCCCCTGATGCCACCGGTCTGCTACTACAACAAAAACACCTGTCCTAAATTAGATGTTGTTTAGACGGAAAGATATTTATTGCAGTTTCCACAAACAGCCACAATTGTCAGCCAAGACACAGTGGGTGTGAGAGGGGAGGAGGGGGGAGAGAGAGAGAGAGAAATTCCCTCCTCTTAGAATCATTAAAAGTCCTGAACAGGCACAGACGGGACTTGGTCTGTTAAACTTGGTTTAACGTCTCACCCAAAAGGATGGATTTTGTACACGTTGAAGAATGCATCACCACTTAGCTTAGGATGACGCAACGCTATGTACAGTGTAGATTTAGGCGAACAGTATTTTGCCTCTGGTAAACGCTGCCCTCGGTTTAGCGCCAGACCCTGGAACGATACCTTGTGCAAAATGAGGCAGATATTTTGTGGGAATGTTAAATCGAGGGTTGATTGAGAGTGCCTGATGGACGCTGGGGCAGGACAGCAGTGCAGCAAAGGATCAGATCAGAGCAGCCAGCAGCTGCCGACAGAGTCTCCCACTCCTCACACAGGCAGTGCGGTAAGGATAGGGGGAGGGAGGTGGGTATCTGTTTCTTTGGGTGTAAAGAACACGCCTGGTTGTCCTGCCCTGACTGACGCCAAATACCATATCTATCAGTGAGCAGCCTGTGTGCAATGTCACTCAGAGGTGAGCGTTGCACTTGCTGATCTCGGGAATTAATGACTGTGTGATTCCCTCTCCCGTCATACGGGGGACTGTGTGCTTTCTTGAGTCAATCATTTCTGAATTTTAGCAGCGCTGTGTGTGTTTGTGTGTGTGTGTGTGTACGTACGTGTGCCCCTATCTGTCTGTCTGTATCCCTACCCCTGTGTCTGTGTGTGTCTGGGTGTATGGGCCTGTGAGTGTGTGTCTATCTCTGCGTATTGAGACGTCACAATGATGGGATAAGGCATTATATCAAATGCAAGGATTATTATTGTGTATGTACGTGTGTGCGCATGTGTGTGTCTTCTCTATGTGGGTCTCTGTATGTATGTGCCTATGAGTGTGCGTGTGCGTGTATATACCTATCTTAAGTAAGGACGGTCTGAGGTGCAATTTGAAGAGTTGCAGCATTTATTGACGTTCAGTCTGTATGTGGGGATGTAAACCGGGAGTGTTGGCAGATGTGTGGCCATTGAGGATTGCGCTGCGCACGTGTGAGATAAAGGGAACTAGAGGCAGATGATGGTGAGGAGACTGGTGGGAGCTCAGGCTGCACATCTAACGACCAAACCTGGTGCCTGTGGTCCTGTGCCGGGCTGAACGATGCCACAGTGGCGCACTCGCTGGCACACTCGCTGGCACACTTCATCACGTGCTCACACCACACTCTTCATGTGTGACCTGGACAGTGAGTGTGATCTGAGATTTAACCTCATCCGAGTTCCATACACAGGATACGAGGAGGAGGGGACCTGAATAATGATCAGGAGTGGGGAACCTTGTCTTTCTCACATCTTCCCCACCCCCCTCAGAACTGGGGCCCGTTATGGCCACGGCTGAGATCAGTGACAGAGCTGGGATCGTCAATTCACTTTATTGTAGAAGCTGTGGAGCGCTTTGAGACGTCTCAAAGACTTGATGAGGCGCTGTATAAAATGCAATGATTATTATTATTATTGGTCTGAATACAGGAGCTCAGTTCGGCACAAGGTGGAGAAAAGGCTGGAAGGGTGGGGGGAGCCGGGGTGGGGGGGTGGGTGGGGGGGAAGAGAGGGAATAACCACCAACATCTTATGTTTTCTACAACTGAGACATATCAGTGCAGAGTCCGAGAGTCGACGGGAGTTCGAGACTGAGGCGGTGAGAGAGAGAGAGAGAGAGAGACCTCGTGTCCGGGATAAGGAACGGACGGACGGCTTTGTGTGGCTCAGCGTCAGGGGAGGATGTGAGACATCGACAATATGAGCCTGTGGGCGCGCGAGTGCGTACTGACCGCCTTCCTGTTCCTCCAGCTGCCGACCTGCATCCTCTCAGGTACCTACCCCCGGCCCCACACCCCCTCCACACAGACACGCGCGCGTGCGTGCGCACAGTCACTACACGTCACAGCATATCTGGTGAAGCATTTCACCCACAAAATATACAATCCATTCACTTCACAGTATATTCTGTGAAACACTTTGATTCGAATGGAAGACCTGATAAGGCGCTGTATCAAATGCAAAGATTATTATTATTATTACTACACACACAGTCACTACACTTCACAGCTAATCCTGTGAAGGCTACAAATCTTAGGCAATGAATAAAGAGGAAGCGAGCGGTAAAATGTGTGACTTTCAGAGACCGACGGTTCCACTCCGACTGTGTCCGCCGTCTCCCGGGCAGTGGTGCCGGTGGAGGAGAACGCGGTCAGCGAGTTTACCTGCCGGGTGCACGGTTGGAAGTCGGAGCCGGTGGTCACCTGGTACCTGGACGGTGTGAAGCAGGAGAGTGACGGGGCTGTGATGGTGCCAGACGCCACCAACCATAGCCGCAACACCTTCGTAGTGACCGCACGACGGAGGGACAAGGAGCTGAACTGCTCGGCCACCGACCCCGAGACCGGGATAACACACAACGCCAGCCTCATCCTGGATGTGCAGTGTGAGTCTCCCGACCTCCCCCCCCACCACCCACACCCCCAAAAAATAAACATTGGCCACTCAATCCACGGCTGTTTGTGGGGACGTCGCTCTGTGCAGTTGGCTGCCGTGTTTCGCCCAGAAAATACACAGTCACTACACTTTACAGCCAATTCTGTGAAGCGCTTTAAGACGTCCTGACGACGTGATAAGGCGCAATATCAAATGCAAGGATTATTATTAGTCCAATGAAGTCCGTGTCGCTCTCTCTCTATCCCTCACAGTTAAGCCTGAGGTGGTTGAGATGAACGCTGAGTACAGAGAGGACAACTCCTCGGGTCTGTTCCTCGTCCTCTTTGTCCTGGTCAGAGCCAACCCCCCCGCCAACATCACCTGGGCAGACGAGAGCGGCCATGTGGTCGTCAACACCTCCAACTTCATGATCATGGACACCAAGAGCTACCCCTGGCTGACCAACCACACTGTCCACGTCCAGCTGTCCAGCCAGCCTCGGAACTACTCCTTCACCGCCGGCAACGATTTTGGGGTCACCCACTCCTCCATCCCCTCGCCTGGTGAGTGAGACGGGGGGAGAGAGAGCGAGGGGGACAGGGGAGGATTTCATTTGGACGCTGTTACGAAGCTCAATCGTCTATTGAGTCTGGCTGTGAGCTGAAATGTTAGCCTCTGGGTGTGCAGCAAGACCCTGGACATCCACAGCCTTCACTCAAGTCAAAAATTCAGACCCACTTGGGTCAACCGTCATTCCAGTTGCTTATGTTCTATCCTTTCTCTCCCTCTCCCCACACTCCTCCCTCCCCCCATCCCATCCCAGGCTTCCTGGAGGCCAGTGTCGAGGTGCCTCTGATGGTCATCCTGGTCGGGGGGGTGCTGGGGCTCCTCACCATCCTCTTCCTCAACGTCCTCGTGCTCTGCGTCGTCAACAGGAGACAGAAGCCTCTCGGTAAGGCCTGTGGGCAGCTGGGAAAGGTGGGGCTGGGGGCCAGGGAGTTGGGTTGAGGTCAGGACACTGGGCCCCGTTTAAATAGTAGAGAAGATTAATTAACGGGAACAAATCGTGAAGGGAATTGAGAGTGGGTCGAGCCCTCTGGGATGCAATCCTGCGTGAGGGGCTATATAAGTGCAAGTTGTTGTTGTTGTTGTTGGATTCCAGTCGTTGGTCCCCAACACTTTGCAGAAGCAGCTGGATGGATGCTGTGATGGGAGGAGGCAGGTTGAGATCGGAAGTGGCCAAAAGCACTTCCTCATCCAAACAATCTTCTTCCGTGCCTCATGGCAGGAGACATCACAGGGTTCTGCACGTCAGATGTGTGTGTCATCACGGCAAGACTGACTCCCCCTTCTCTCTCTCTCTTTACCCTGTTTCAGACTTAAAACCAGCTGCTAACTCGCTGCTTCTAAGGTAAATCCTCCCTTTCCTCTTCCTCGTGTTTGCTTTACCAAAGACTGTACTTTCCAAGTCAACCCACACCGAACCTTCCCTCCCCTGCCTGGCCCCAAGTCGCCAGTGAAACGTTTAGAATACGGGCTCCTTATCCACGGAAATTACTCCATCTACTCCTTTAAGATATCTGTGCGCCCTTCGCCCCCTCTGCTCAGTGAGCTCTGGCCTTCCCCACGTCCCCCTGCCCTGCCTGCCCCATCATCAGCGGTCGGGCCTTCAGCCTCTCTGCCCTCACCCTTTGGAAATCCATCCCGGAGCTCCTCCACATCGCCCCTTCCCTTGCCTCCTTCAAGGCACGTCTCAAGACCCTCCTCTTCGACCGTGCCATCGGTCATCCACTCCCCCCGCCCCCCTACTTTGCACCCACACCCCCCACTACCTCTCTTGACTCCAACTCCCAGCTCGGGTGCAAACCCTTTACTGTCCAGGGACTTGGGCATTGGGACGTCCTCCTGACATGAGAACTGCTGTGTAAATGTTGTTGATGTTGTAAATGTAATTTGTTGTTGCTGTTGTCTGTGCCTTTGCTCTGATGTAGAGACCCCGTGAGCGTTAAGTGTGAGGACAGGCGGTTCCCGAGAGACTACCTCTCACTCCCGTCACACCTTCACCTCCAGCAGAGCCTGGACACCAACTGCCCCCCACTCCCGGGTAAGTGAGCGCTGGGTGTGGGGTGGGGTGGGGGGGGGGGAGCAACTCTCATTTCTATTTGAACTGAAACAAACAGCACCTCAGGACGTCCTCCGATGTGAAAGATACTGTATTCAAATGTAATGTGTTGTTATACCCCGTTATTTCCTATACTCACGTGTAGGTGTGTGTGTACAGGTGTGTGTGTATGTGTATGCAGGTGTGTGTGTGTTTGTAGGGGAGAGTGTATGTGTGTAGGTGTGTAGGTGTGTGTGTGTGTGTTTGTAGGGGTGAGTGTAGGTGTGTGTGTGTAGACGTATATATGTGTGTGTGTGTGCAGGTGCGTGTGTGAGCAGATTAACCCCGGAGTGAGTGAGCGTGTGTGTGTAACGGTGCGTGTGTCTGGTTTACCTTAGAGGTCAGGGTGGTGGCCTGGCCAGAGAGAGACCCTCCATCCGATCAGGACAGCTCCATCAGCATCGAGTCTAAAGGTAAGGTTCGCAGTGTCCGTCCATCTCCGTCCGTCTTGCTCGTTCCCTGCAGGGACATTGCCCGTTCCCCCAGGACCAGCACGGCACCACCGCATTGCCCACCTCCAACCGTACCCCGAACCCAGCCCACACCCGCGTCCCGTGAGTTTGCCCGGACGAGACCTTCACGCTTGTCTTCAAATCCCTTCAGCCCCTGGCGCTTCCCAACCTCTCCTTCCTGCTGATTCCCGAACCAACTACCCGCTGCCTCCGCTCGACTGGCTCTGACCTCCTGCTTTTGCTTGTATCTCGGGCCCTTTTAGCTACTAAATCCCCAAACTCTGCACCTCTCGCCCTCAATCCCTCTCCGCCTTGGCCCCCCCCTCCTTCCCCAGGCTGTGCCTGAAGACCCTTCCTCTTCGACCGTGTTTACCGTACGCTCCCGCCCCACCCGCCCACACCCCCCCCAACTATTGGGCATGGTGTCGCGCTCTACCGCTGTCAAGCGCTCTTGGACGCTAACCTGCGTGAGGGGTGCTGGGTGAATGACCAGTGAGGGGGGGTTGGGTGACAATCTCTCTGTTCCTCTCTCCAGGTTTTGTTCGTTTCCCGATGTACGGATTTATCTACAAAGTCTCCAGCCTGAGTAGTGATGAGATCTGGCTCTGAGCTCCCCCGCCACCCCCCCACCCCAGCCCCGACCCACTGGACTAACCTCGGCGTTCGGAGGGGTGGGGGGGGGGAGGGTGGGGAGGAGGGAGCTTCTGGTAACACAGAGCGCACCACAACCCTACCCCCACCCCACCCCATTGACACGATTATAACACAATCCACACGACAAGGTGCGCAACGACTAATTTAAAAATCTCGTCCTGTGGGGTGGGGGTTGGGGTGTGGCTGGGGAGGGGGCTTATTGTATGAGATATGCCCCCACCCATCCCTGAAATTCGCCTCCCAAAATCCCCCGCCCGACCGTGCACCTTCTCTCCCCGACTTCTCAACCTGCTTTGCTATGAAGCTGTCTCTTTGACCCCCGGCCCCCCTTGCCCCCACCTCCCCCCTCCCCGCTCCCTCTCCCCCAGGACCCTCGCGTCCTCCATGGACTTTGTGAAGCGCCGAGTTGCGCGACGTCGCTGTGTTTGCTGTCTGTGCGGCTCCTATAAGCGTGGCCGGTTTGCTTGTTTTCGAGCATGTGGCTCTCTCGCCAACCTGCGTCTAGTACTCTCCGGAATTAGGTAACCAGCGCGGGGGCCCGTCCCTCCAGGGAGAGAGAGAGAGCGAGAGAGGGGGAGAGAGAGAGAGAGAGAGCGCATTCCATTCCAACAAACTGTCTCTCGGATTTCCACGTGGAGTTGGGTGGGAGGCCTGGAATTCTCAGCTCGGCTTCCGACACTCTTAAGCAATGGTGACGGGTTTCCGTGTGTGTCAGACCCCGGCCGGTCACGGTGACGGGTTTCCGTGTGTGTCAGACACCCGGCCGGTCACGGTGACGGGTTTCCCTGTGTGTGTGTGTCAGACGCCCGGCCGGTCACGGTGACGGGCTTCCGTGTGTGTCAGACGACCGGCCGGTCACGGTGACGGGTTTCCGTGTGTGTCAGACACCCGACCGGTCACGGTGACGGGTTTCCGTGTGTGTCAGACACCCGACCGGTCACGGTGACGGGTTTCCGTGTGTGTCAGACACCCGGCCGGTCACGGTGACGGGTTTCCGTGTGTGTCAGACACCCGGCTGACCGACAAAATAATGTGGAGCACATGTGTCTGACAATCTCAGAATTTTAATTCTTCTTATTCATATTGTTGTCCACGTCTCTCTCTCTCTCTCTCCCTCTGTCTCTCGCTCTCTCCCGGTGTGCATTGTATCTAGATTTCTACCTTGCTTTGATCTTCGGGTGGGGGGGGGGGGGGGTGGGCGGTGGGGGGGTCGGGGTGCGTGGACTGAGAATTCCGGGATTGTAAGGAATTCCGAGGACCCGGAGAGTTTCCCAGGGAAGGAATTGATCGAGGGAGACGTGAGCGATGGAGTAGCTGGGAACGTTCTCTCTTGTTAATGAACGGCTCGTCTCGGCGTTGAGAGGTTTGTGTATAGGAGGGTGTGGGGGCGGCCACGCGGTAGTAATGGGTGGACATTAAAGTGTACACCACGCTCTTAGGAAAGGGAAGAGATTTTCTCACTCTCCCGCTGTCCTGTCCTGTCCTACAATCCAATCCTCCAGATCAACCATTCACCATTTGCTTTCATGGCTGTTTGTGGGAACGTCGCTATGAGCTAAGTGGCTGCCGCTGTTTTTGACAACCGACTAATAACCGCAGCAAAAAAAAAAAAATACAATTTAAAATCGCGTGTGAAGCGCTTAAGGATAAATGAGATGCTGTAAAAATTGGCTGACGTTCTCTCCTCTTCCCGTTACTTTCACCCCCACGGACCACAGGCTCCGCACTGGGAATCTCCACATCTGGAATTCCTCTCCGAGTTGTCAGGAAGGAGGGGGGTGATGGAGGGGGAGAGGGGAGGCAGCGAGGGAGGGGGTGGGCGGTGATCTCGCTGCAGAGTAAATTAACAAACCCTGTTTCTTTTAAAGAGCTGCTAATTATTATATGTAACCTGTCGTTGTGATCGTGTATCTCCTTATTTTATATATGAAAAGATTATATATAGAGAGAGAGACTTTGTCTGTGTTTCACTGTATATGTCTGTGTGTGTGTGTGGGGGGGGATGTGTGTGGGTGTGTGTGTGTGGGGATGTGTGTGGGTGGGTATGTGTATGGGGATGTGTGTGTGGGTGTGTGTGGGTGGGTGTGTGTGGGTGGGTGTGTGGATGTGTGGGTGTGTGTGGGGATGTGTGTGGGTGTGTGGGGATGTGTGTGGTGGGGATGTGTGTGTGGGTGTGTGTGGGGATGTGTGTGTGTGGGGATGTGTGTGTGTGGGTGTGTGTGGGGATGTGTGGGGATGTGTGTGTGTGTGTGGGGATGTGTGTGTAGGTGTGTGTGGGGATGTGTGTGGGGATGTGTGTAGGGATGTGTGTGGGTGGATGTATGAATGGGGTGAGATGTGAGGGTTGAGGGGGGGGTGAGGAGCTCCATTTGCATCCGCAGGGCTCAGTCTTGAGTCCGGGAAGTTGTGGGGTTCGAACTCCCAGTAACTCTGAGCTCACAGTCCAGCATAGTGGTGGGGGTGTGGGAGGGGGGAGAGCACTGCATTGTCAGAGGCGCTGTGCTCCAGTTGAGACGTTAAACCACACTCCCCGTCTGTACCCTATTCCGGTGATCGTTAAAGGTAAGGTCTCCCGAGGGGCTGTCAGGGAGGGGGAGGAGGGAGGTGGGGGAGAGAGAGAGGAGTTTCTCCCACAAACAAAGGAATGGTTTCTATCTGGTGACAAATGCACAGTCACTACACTCCAGCCGTTTCCCCCTGTGAAAGCGCCGCCCACAAAATATACAGCCAATTCGCTTTACAGTGTATCCCGTGAAGCGCTTTGAGACGTCTCGAAGACGTGAAAAGGCGCTGTATCAAATGCCAGGACTGTTAGTAGTAGTAGTAGTATATAGTCTTTATTTACTGCCCTCCTCCAGCGCGAGAAACCCACCGACTCCCAACTCCAGTCCAGCGGGAACGAGCCAAGGCTCGCCATGTTTTACACCTTCGCATCTAGGGGTGACCTGAGGAGAGATGGCAGACAGACAGACAGACAGACCGTTAGCCCCGGTCAACAATCTCTGATAAACACGGCAACACGACTGCCGGACAAAGTTGTTCAGGTCGGGCTCTCTCTCACCCACCTTGCCGCTGGTTTGCCTCCACATCGAAGCTTCTTACCTGTGGGAAAGAATCCGTTTGGTTCAGTGTATCGGTCACTGATGGATATTGTTGCCCCACTTACTCCCCTCCGAAACGCTTGGATCTCCCTCCTCCCTCAATCCAGCCCCTCTGCTTCGTCTCCCGGCCCCACTCCCCCACAGCAGAGCGTAAGCATTTGTTTGGTGAGAGAGGACCAAGGTCCATCTCGTTTGCCTTCCACCATCCTGGCAGTCGCTTGACCCGTCGTGTCCCAAACTGTACTATGCTACACCCCTCATTTTAGACCACGGCTGAAGACCTTCCACGTCAACGTTCTCGTCGTTTGTCTCTTCGAAAGCGAGAGCGAGTGTGAGTGGTGCGTGAGTCCCTCAATCACTCCCTCGCTCTCTCTCTCTCTCTCTCTCTCTCTCCCCCACGCTTGGCCTCCTTTGCGTTCTCCTTCCCTTCTTCGCTTCCCCTGTCTCCCTTCCCCCTCCCTCGCTCGATCCTCCTCCTCTCCCTCCCTCGATCCTCCTCCTCTCCTCTCCCTCCCTCGCTCGATCCTCCCCCCCGTCTCTCTCCCTCTCTCGCTCGCGCCCCCACCTCTCTCGCCCTCTCTCTCTCTCGCTCGCTCGCACACTCACTCATGATGATGAAGACGCCGATGCAGAAAGCCACCGCAGCGAAGATCAGTCCGGCCTTCCTGATCGTCTCATAGTCTTCGACCGAAGACGAGGAAGGAGGAAAAAACACACCCATCGGTTTCTGTGACGACTCAGCCTGTGTGAGGGTTCTCCCATCCCCGTGGCAACCAAGTAACACTGGCGCGTGCGTTATATGTGGGTGTGCGTGTACACGCGTGTGTGAGTGTGTGTGAGTGTGTGTGCGTGTGTTTGTGTGCCTGTTGTACCGGGATAAGCACGTGCGTAGCGAAGGATAAAATGTGTACAGTTGGGTCGGGACCCGAGCAGGGGGGAAATGGTCAGGGTGAGGGAAGGGAGGGAGCGAGGAGGGGGTAGAGAGTCGAGAGGGGAGCTGAAGGCTCGGTCAAAGAGAAAGGTCTTGAGACCGGCCTTGAAGGAGGAAAGGGAGGAAGCGGCGAAGGCACTGGGGGATGGAGTTCCAGAGCCTCGGGGCTGAGAGGCTGAAGGCCCGGCCACCGATGGTAGGGCGGTTGGGGCGGGGGATGTGGAGCAGACCGGAGCCAGAGGAACGGAGGGTATGGGCAAGTAGGTAGGGGGATAGTAGGTCGGAGAGGTAGGAGGGAGCGAGGCCGTGAATGGCCTTGTAGGTGAGGATGAGAGACAGCCTAATAATAATCCCACCAAAAACAATAATAAATTGGTCATTTTCAATCTACGACTGTTTGTGGGACATTGCTGTGCGCAATTGGCTGCCGCGTACCCCCACAAATATACAGTCAATTCACTTTACAGTGTGTTCTGTGAAGCGCTTTGGGACGTCCTCCCGACGTGAAAAGCGCTATATCAAATGCAAGAATTATTATTATTATTATTATTATTATTATGTCTGACTGTGCGAGCGCCTGATGGTATGAAGTGAAATGTCAGTGGGGGGGGGGGGGGGCGGGGGGTAGCGATCCCTTGCCCCCCCCCCCCTCTTTACTCAGCTCTGGGGGGGGGGTGGTGGTGGGAGAGAGGGTGGAAGCTGGTGGGGCGGAATATATCGTGGGAATAATGTCAATAATAATCCTTGCGTTTGACACAGCGCCTCGTTACGTCTTCAAAACCGTTCTCAGAGCGCTTCGCAGGATGCACTGTGAAGCGGAGTGACTGTGTATTTTGCGGGCGAAACGCGGCAGCCAATTGCGCACAGCGGCGTTCGAGTGACCGGATTTATTACCCCCGTGGGGTGGGGTGGGGGGGGGGGGGAAAACGATCTGCTAATCGACTAACAACCGGGTTAATCTTACTGATAAGTAATCAGAGGCGCGTGTGTGGAGTAAGGAAACCTGTCCAACCTTTCCCCCCGGCCCGGGGATCGAACCCAGGTCCTCTCGCTTGCGAGGCGAGCGCTCTACCCGCTGAGCTACAGGACTCCCCAAGTCCCTTAAATTCTCCTCCCTGCGATCTCCCGTCGAGGTGAAGCGCTTCGCTTGTCCGGGAGTCGTTGCTGCGAGACGCTGTGTGTGCGTATATAAACCCAAGTTGTCGTGGCTGTTCTGTTGACTTTCTTTCTCCTCAGATCCCGGCAACTCGTCGCCGCGCACTCACCGTACGTGAAGTCACCGCCGTTCTCGGGAAAGCCGACTGCGGAGGGAACACATCGGGGAGGAGTCAGGCAACCCCGAATTGCGCATGGTCTCAGCTCGCAGACCGTTACGTCTTAAAGTTTTAACCCGGTGCAGCACTGTGGGCAAATCTGAAATCCGGACTTCGTTCGGAAGATAGTTTTCTGCAGCTGTTTAAAGACGTTCTGACCGACCACAACCAACTCGAGTGTGTCAGACTGGCTGCGAGTGTGTCAGACTGGCTGCGAGTGTGTCAGACTGACTGCGAGTGTGTCAGAGCAGTGCAATATATCTCACCGAGTTCTTGCATGGTCACCGAGCGTGAATGTGGTTGAGTTGAATTCCTCCCGTGACCGAACCTGACTCAAACCCCCCCCCCCCCACCCGCTGTCCTCCTGTTTGACTGACCGGCTTCACGGTGTTTCTCTTTAAAAATTTCCGACTTTGTCTACAAACCCGGGACGGTGCAAGCGACCGACTTGAGACTCACCGTCGGACATGCTGCGGGAGAGCGAGAGAGGCAGAGAGAGAGAGAGAGAGAGAGAGCGCGAGCGAGTTGAATGTTCTGCTCAAATCCTATCTGATCCACGGTTTCCAGGACAAAGTGAAAAAATGTACACGTCTGTCAATGTTTATCCTGATCACAAGGCAGTGAGAGCGCGAGCGGGAACATGTGCATTTAAAACAGTCACTCAGGGAGAACGGCGAGGGCGGGCGGGGGGTGGGGGTGGGGGAGGTGTACGGGGAGGAGAGGGGGAGGAGAACCGAGCTCAGCATGAATCACGAGGTGGTTAGAAATTAAGAATAAATTGGTCATTGCAATCCACGGCTGTTTGTGGGGACGCCGCTGTGCGCAATTGGCCGCCTCGTTCCGCCCACAAAATATACAGTCAACTCACTTTACGGTGTATTCCATGAAGCGCTTTGGGACGTCTCGAAGAATATACTGTGACGTGAACTGACTGTACAGTTCGGGGGCGAAACGCGGCAGCACAGTTGCGCACGGAGGCGTCCCCACAAACGGCCGTGGGTTGAGTGACCAAATTATTATTTTTATTTATTTTTTTGAAGGGATTAGTACCCCCAGAAAAGCGATCCGCCACTCGACCAACAACCGGGTTCCTACTTACTCCCGGCTGAACAGAGGCGCGCGTGTGTGCGTGTGTGCGTGCGTGTGCGTGCGTGTGCGTGCGGAGTAAAGGAAACTTGTTCAAACGCAGACCGAGGCGTGATTGAAAGTGAAGGGAGTGAGACTGGTCACCATTTTAATCCTTTTCTTTATTTCACTGTTTTTTTTAATGGACAGTTTTCTCTCTCTCTCTCTCTCGCTCGCTCGCTCGCGCGCTCTCACTCTTGCGTATTCTTTTTTATTCCTTCGTTTTGCCTCTGGTACATCATCACCTGCGATAGGAAGCGAACTTCACAACAAAGCAATAGCGGACACAGGAACCGGTCAGTGGAATACAATAAATATTAGACACCCCATAACTCCAGCCCCAGACTCACTCTTCTCTCTCTCTCACACACACTCACTCTCGCACTCTCGCACACCCACTCCAAACACAACACCGCGAGATTACCACAGCGAAGGCAAAACTGAACGACGAGATCCTCACCGATCCTCCCCTCGGCTGAATCTCTCTCTCGAGCAAGCACCCCCCCCCCCACACACACCCCCACACACACACACGTGTACATACGCGCACACAGCTTACACGAACGCACGTGAACAGGCAAACACCCACGCGCACATTACACGGGACACGGTCCAGCGAAACTAGAGAGGACTCGACAGACACGTAGTGAGCTACTATCGAAGGAGCGGGGAGATTCACAGTGACGTTTCACAGTGAGTGACGGACAACAGCGGCAGCAGCAACAGCTCACAACACAGGACACGACGGGCACATTGATTGATTGATTGATTGATTGATTGACTGGCGTTTGGTTATGGAGTTGGAGATCGGTGAAGCAGATGGACGAGAACGCACTCTGTGGTGAGTGGTCGGGTGTTGGTGGGGCTCACTCCCCACTGAGCCGGGTACGGTCTGGGCGGTTCAGGAAATGTCTTCTCCCTGCGCCGCCGGGCGGTGGCGGGGAAGCAAAGAGTAAATGACTTTGTATTGCATTGCATTTGATACAGCGCATAATCTCTTCATCTTCGAGACGTCTCAAAGCGCTTCCCGGGACACACTGTCACTAACAACAACAAAATTACACTTGCAAAGCGCCTTTCACGTCGGGAGGACGTCCCGAGGGGCTGAACAGTCGGGGATCAGGACCTGAGCGTGTGGGTGGGGGGAAACAGGGTGAGGGTGAGGGAGGGCAGATGGGGTGGGGAGGGTCTTGAGTTGTACCTTGAAGGAGGCGAGGGAGGAAGCGAGGCGAAGGGACCGTGGGATGGAGTGCTAGAATGCGGGGGCAGAGAGGCTGAAAGCCCGGCCACCGATGGTAGGGTGGGTCGGGCGGGAGGCCGGAGCCCGCTGAACGGAGGGAGAGGGCAGGTTGGTAAGGAGTCAGCAGGTCAGAGAGGTAGGAGGGGGCGAGGCCATGGAGGGCCTCGAAGGTGAGGACGAGGATCTTGAACTCGATCCTCTGAGGGATGGGGAGCCGGTGGTGCCGGGCGAGGGCGGGAGTGATGGGGTCACGGAGCCTGGTGCGGGAGAGGATTTTGTGGGTGACGGCCACGGAGTGAGCGAGTGACCCATTCTATTTTGGAGGTATTTTCGGCCAGGACACCGGGAGAGAGAAACCCCCTTCTCTTTTCGAACAGCGCCGCGGAATCGTTAACATCTCACCTGAAGGAACGACACCTCCGACAATGCAACACACACACCCCCCCCACACACCCCCACACCCCCCCAGCGCTGCATTAGAACGTCAGCTTAGACTGTGTGGTGCGTGTGATGTGTGTGACAGTAACACAGTGGAAGTGGGAGGGTGTCAGTAACAGACAGAGTTGAGGCTTACATTATGGTGTCTTGTTACTTCTCTGCTTTGGCTGCGGTTTCCGTTGCTGTCGCTGAGATTAAAGACACACAGTTTAAAGGGCAGGACGAGCGGTCGGTCGCGCTCTCGGACCGAGTTCTCGCCTTTTTAACCGTTTTCTCCGCAGACGGGGATTCTCACTCACCCTTGTTGGTGATCAGTGTCTCTGCCTGAGCTTCTTCATCGCCCTGAGGTCTGCAGTCAGAGAAATCAACACGTCAAACACACAGCATCTCGTTTCCCGTTAAAGCCTTTACACTGTCCGGCCACGCTCCCAGGTCAGTGAACGCGCGGGTTAGAGACGGGGTAAAGTCTCCCTCTGCACTGTGCGTCCACACTCCCAGGTCAGGGTTAGAGAAACAGTACAGTAACAACAATAAATTGCATTTAAACAGCTCCTTTAACGTCAGGAGGACATTCCAAACCGCTAATGAAGGCTTTGGACCCGAGCTGGGGGCTGGGATCAGGAGGGTTGGAGGGCAGGGAGGGTGGGGGTTGGGGGGGTAGGAGGGTGACTAAAGACATGGTGAAAGAGGAAAGTCTTGAGACGGGTCTTGAAGAGAGGGAGCGAGGCGAAGGGACAGTGGGATGGGAGTTCCGGAGGTTTCGGGAGACAGAAAGGCTAGAGGTCTGACCGCCGATGGTGGGGAACATGGAACAGGCCAGGTCGGTAAAGATTTAATAGGTCGCTGAGATAATAATAATAATAATAATAATATTAGTAATAGTAATCCTTGCATTTGATATACAGCTTCATCGAGTCTTCTAGACGTCTCGAAGCGCTTCGCAGAGAATACCGCAAAGTGAATTGACCGTGCGGTGTGGGCGAAAAGTTTGGAGGAGCAACAGCAACAAGAACAGATTGCTCTTGTGCAGCGCCTTTCACGTCCCGAGGGGTTCAACGGCGAGGGTGAGGATGTTGAGATGGATGCTTTGGGGGAATAGGGAGGGAGGGAGGGAGGGGGGGAGGGAGGGTGCGAGGGGATCCCGGGTGCGAGGCGGAGTCTCGTGGTCAGGTGAGGTCTCACCTGGCTTTCTGGTTGAAGTTGCACCGACATTTGCGACCTGTCAGGGAGAGACGAGAGGGAGTCACACTCTGGTCCGAACCCCACCCCTGCCATTGCCCCACCCCTGACACAGTGACAGCCCCGCGCGGCACTGTGAGAACCACAAGTCGCCATCACCGTTTGGTGACATATCTCTCTGTCTCTGACGTAGGGTCGGCTCGGAGTCCCCGGTGTAGCTGATCGGGAATCGCGCCACCCCCACCCCCTCCCCCACCCTCCCCCGGGGAATGCCACAGTTACTCACTCAGGATGAGCAGGATTCCCAGAGCGAAGAGCACGACAGCAAAGACCAGCCCCCCGATCCGCAGCGTCTTGTAATCTGGAAATCAGATCAGTACAGAGGCTCCCGTCACCGTCTCAGCCCAGTGTCCGAAACCCCAGCCTCACCGCACACACCTGACACCGCACACACCTGACACCGCACACACCTGACACCGCACACACCTGACACCGCACACACCTGACACCGCACACACCTGAGACCGCACACACCTGAGACCGCACACACCTGAGACCGCACACACCTGAGACCGCACCACCGCACACACCTGAGACCGCACACACCTGAGACCGCACACACCTGACACCGCACACACCTGACACCGCACACACCTGACACCGCACACACCTGACACCGCACACACCTGACACCGCACACACCTGACACCGCACACACCTGAGACCGCACACACCTGAGACCGCACACACCTGACACCGCACACACCTGACACCGCACACACCTGACACCGCACACACCTGACACCGCACACACCTGACACACACCTGACACCGCACACACCTGACACCGCACACACCTGAGACCGCACACACCTGAGACCGCACACACCTGAGACCGCACACACCTGAGACCGCACACACCTGAGACCGCACACACCTGAGACCGCACACACCTGAGACCGCACACACCTGAGACCGCACACACCTGACACCGCACACACCTGACACCGCACACACCTGACACCGCACACACCTGACACCGCACACACCTGACACCGCACACACCTGAGCACCGCACACACCTGACACCGCACACACCTGAGACCGCACACACCTGAGACCGCACACACCTGAGACCGCACACACCTGAGACCGCACACACCTGAGACCGCACACACCTGACACCGCACACACCTGACACCGCACACACCTGACACCGCACACACCTTACACCGCAGCCACTTCACCAACAGCAACGCCCCACAGACAGCCACCCAGAGAGTGACTCACTTTATATATAAACATAATAATAACCCTCGCATTCGATACAGCGACTTATCACGTCTTCGAGACGTCTGAAAGCGCTTCACAGGATACACTGTAAAGTGAATTGACTGTATAGTTTGAAGCAGAACCGTTAGCTTAACTTAAACTATAATTTGACTCATTTTATATGGACAACGACACCGGGAGAAAGTCCCGTTCTCTTTTCCCATCGCGCCGCAGGATCATTAGCGTCCGCCTGAAACGGACTAACTACAGCTCCAGGAAAAATATCGGCGGAGGGGGAAATTTTAGATATTTCGTAACTCATTCCTTGTGATAGTTGTATCACGAGAGTTATTAGACATTTACTTCCCGCAACCGCCCTCGCAGAGCGACAACACGAGGAGACAGGACGTCACTCACCGTAGTAAAATGGGTCGTCGTCTTCGGGGAGAGAAGGGAACAGTGGGTTAATTTTCTGCTGTTCTGGTTTCTGCCTCATTTCTGCCGCTGACTAATTCTCGACACCCAACTGAGGTCAGCGAGAGAGCGAGAGCCATAGATGTCAAACCCTGGGGCCACAGCTCTTAGGGGCAGGGTCCAGGTTTAAGGATTCAGTAACTGACCAATTCTTGTGAGTAAATTAGTTGCAGAATTCCGCAAATAATTCTTCTTCACTCAGAAAAGTCACTGCCCCCAAAACACCGCCACAATCTCACAGTCAAAACGTTCCCAATCCCCAAACATTCTCAATCCCAAAATGCAAAGACCATAATAATAATCCCTGCATTTGATACAGCGCCTGATTCCGTCGACGAAACGGCGCAAAGCGCGTCAAAGAATATACCTTGGAGTGGAGTGACTGTGTGTTTTGTGCGCCAAACAACTGAGCAGAAGGTGACCCAATTTTGAGAGACTTTAATAGGAATAATCTAATTGCGTGGCATACGGCTGGTGTGTTGCCACGGAAGCGAGGCGGGAGATGTTGGCGCTTATTGTGTCACCTTTTGTGAAGGGGGAGAGGGGGGCGGCGGGTGGGGAGAAAGGTGTTTCTGCGAGGGGAGTAGGGGGGGGAGAGGTGCTTGTGTGAGGGGTGGGTGGCTGGGAGGGGGTGGGGGTGTGCGCGTGGGGGTGTGTGGGGTGTCTGTGTGAGTCGGAGGTGTGTTTATGGGGGGTGGGGGGTGGGTTGGGGGCAGGTGTGTGCGGGGGGGTGGGGGGGGGAGTTTTTTGGCTAAAGCTTACCTATTCTGGTGGAATTTCCAGCAACTGTAAAAGCAAAGGAATCAGCAAATGAGAGTCAGAGACAGTCTCACAAAGTCCCTAAATTCTGTCTATTTGCTTTCGAACGAGGCCCCAACCCATCCGAGCCCAGACCCTCAGTCCCGCGCGTCATTCAACGCGACATAGAGAGAGAGAGAGACGCACTTACATTGCCGTTACTCGGGCATGGAGTCTCCCAGAGACCAGGACCTCGTAACTCAGTGAAGAGACAACGCACACGGGAAAACACAGACACAAAGAGAGGGAGAGAGAGAGAGAGACACACACACACACACACACATAGAGATACTGTACAACACTTTACAACACCGATACACCACACGCGTGCACAGATAAACGTCTTCGTGCATTCTTATTCTATTCCATTCAGTGTGCAGAGATACGTACGTTTCTCTTAAGTGTCCCGACGGCAGACACGGTTGGTGAACGGCGCACGTATCCCGAGAGAAAAGTACAGGCGTGCGCGCACACACACACAAATAGAGATACACACACACACGGGCGCGTGCAAAAACACCACGATAACAACTTGCATTTATACAGCGCCCTTCATGCGTCTCGGAGCACTTAACATAGCGTCAGGTGACTGTCAATGCATTCTTCAGGACATGTGATGGTTGCACGTTTCTTATTAAGAAACGCGAGTCGGATTTCAGAGTCAGGGAGACGCAGAGCGAGATAGACAGAGACAATCACACAGAGACAGCGTCGATCAATGTCTGGGCACTAAAAATATACGGTCAATTTCACTTTACAGTCTATTCTGGGAAGCGCTTTGAGACGTCGAGAAGACGTGAAAAGCGCTATATCAAATGCAAGAATTATTCTTATATAAATAATGATTTTGATGTTCTATAACAGTTGTGAATGTGAAGGCCATCGTATGTAGCAGTCAGCAAATGAGGAACATAGGGGTACATGCAGAGATACAAGCAGAGGTACACGCAGAGATAGACAGGGTCATACAGAGCGACAGAGCGTCACACAGAGATTCGCATCAGAAAGACACCGTCACAGATCTCAGGCGCCTCCCACCCTCATGCGGACCTTCAGGAACTTTAATTTCTTCCCGAGTCAATAGTGCCCCCCCGCCACCCATTCCCCAAACCTTCCCTGGCCCAGTGCCCGGACCGCAGCGAAGCCAGGTAGCCACCTACCTGCCAGGTGAACCATCAAGGAGCACAGCACCAACCTGCGGCTTTCCATGGTCACTGGAAACAATAAAACGGTGGATTTTATACTCAAACTGTCCCTGAGACACAACAGATAACAACGGGAAATTCACCCACACCCAATACAGCTTTGGATTGAGAGAGGGAGACAGGGGGTGGGGGGGGGGAGGGGGAAGAGCGAGGTAGGGAGGGAGAGGGAGAGAGGAAATGGGGAGGGGATGCATTTCCAGAGGTGCCGTCCTTCGGATGAGATGTTAAACCAAAGTCGCTCACTCCACGACTGTTTGTGAGACACAGCTGTGAGCAATTGGCTGCCAGGTTATTCCCACAAGATCTACCGTCGCTCCACCTTACAATATATCCTGCGAAGCGCTTTGAGACGTCTCGAAGACTTGACGAGGCGCTGTATCAAACACAAGGATTGCTATTAAGAGTAGAAAGCTCTGGTGGGGGAGCTTGTAACTTCATTCCTCTCTCTCTCTCGTTCCCTTGCTTTCTCTTTCCCTTTCTCCCGACCATAAGATCACTGTTATGGTCCGATAAAGACCGACGAGCACCATGTCATATTGTATCGTGATTTTTTCTCTGGAACCTAATTCTGGGTGAGATCAGGCTGTCAGAAACTTCTCTGAGGCACAGTGAACACGCCCCAGATAGCTCAGTGGTTAGAGAGCTCGCCTCGCCAGCGAGAAACCTGGGTTCGATTCCCGGGGAGGCGAGACATTGGCCAAGTTTCCTTGCTCCACTCGCCTCTGTTTACCTCGCAGTCAGTAGGAACCCAGCGGTTGGTTGATCTGCGGAGCGCTTTATCCAGCGATAATAATCCCTTAAAAAATATATATTTCCAAGAAATCGGTCGCTCAATCCACCACTGTTTGTGGGACGTCGCTGTAAGCAATCGGCTGCTCGGTTTTGCCCACAAATAATACAGTTAATTCACTCTACAGTATAATCTGTGAAGCGCTTTGAGACGTCTCAGTGATGTGATAAGGCGCCGTGTCAAATGCAAGGATTATTATTATTATTATTATTATTACTCTTGAAACCTGATCGACGATCGCGTTAGTGTCTGACATCTCAGTGAAAGGAAAAGATGTGAAAACGACTCTAGGAAATGGAGACGTGGGGAATGTTGGTCGACGGTGGAAATAATATCCAGTGGATATGTGACTGACTGACAGCTGCCCATCATATTAGGTCAGATTGGTTTGGACTTTTCAATAATGTCGGCGTCAGTTTGCTGACGTGTGTTGCCTCACCGGCATGTCAGAGCACATCTCGACTCGCCTGTGTGCAAGCATGTGTGTGTGTATATGTATGCGCGTGTATATGTGTGTGTGTGTGTGGGGTGAGGGCTCGCTCCCCACAGGAGTGACCGACAATCCCTGCTCTTTCCAAAGACAACGCATCAGGTGTTCAGCTTTGTGTCTCCCTTTCTTGCTGTGTGCGCGTGTGTAGGTTTCTCTCTCTGTCTGCCTTGGCCTCTCCCTCACTGTCTCTTTCTGTGTGTGTGTGTGTGTGTGTACGTGTGCTCGCCTTTCTCTCGCAGTTTGTGCGTGTGTGTGTATCTGTGTGTGCGTGTGGATCTGTGTGTGTGTAACTGTGTGTGTGTATATCTGTGCGGGTTTGTGTGTGCATCTGTATGTGTGTGTGGATCTATGTGTGTATCTGCGTGTGTGTGTGGATCTGTGTGTGTAACTGTGTGTGTGTCTGTGTGTGCCTCTGCATCTCTCTGTCGCTGATGATAGACATTGGGGAGAAAAATCAGGCATCTTGAGACTTGGCTGTTGGAATCGAATGACAGAGCTGAAAGGGGTCGGTTCCGCTCACTCAGTCGAGATCAATTACGATAAGATTTCAAACGACCTAACGGTTCGCCTTAATTTACAGAAAACATTTGGATTATACAGTATAAAGGAGGAGAGGATGTGCGTGTGTGTGTGTGGACGGGCGCTGGTGACCTTGATTAGAGGACGCACACACACACACACACACACACTGGAGACGGAGTGCGTTTCCAGCTCTGGTGTCGTGTCTGTGGGAGGGGGAGGCTTACAGACACTGCGGAGAAGAGAGAGGAACTGTCTGGTTTGACTGTATAACAATAATCTTTGCATTTGATACAACGCCTTCGAGACGTCTCAAGGCGCTTCACAGAATATACTGTAAAGTGTAGTGGCTGTATGTATTGTGGGCGAAACACGGCAGCCAACTGCAGCAACAACAACAACAACAGTGTCCGAACTCCTAACCCCCTACCATCTTGCTCGCTCCCTCCGTTCCGTGGGCAACTGCCCGCTTCACCTCCTTCCCCTTGCTGTGGTGGTTGCCATTATTATTTTGGTCTCCTCTTGTGCTGCAAACACCCCCCCCCCCACCCCCCTCCTACCGGTTGGAGACTGTGTCTCTCACTGGGCAGAGGGTGGACAGAGCGTTTGAGTCGGGGAGTGTTTTAATCAGTTTGGGGGGTGGGGTGGCGGTGGGAGAGAGAGAGAGAGAGAGAGAGAAGGGGGGATGGAGAGAAGAATAGAGGCAATGACAAGGTCAGAACCTTACAAACTGCTTCTTTTGAAGATTTTCCTTGGGTTAAAAACCCTGAATTCAGGACCAAACGGTTTCTAAGCAACAGAGGACCAAAGGGAGGAAGGGGGGAGAGAGAGAGAGAGAGAGAGAGGTTTCCTAATGAACAGGTTGTCATGGGGAAAAGATTTTTTGGGAGAAATCATGTGAGAACCATAGAGCCAACAAAGCCAGATCCCAATTATATACACGTGAATATATGTGTAAAGAAATTCCCAAATTAACCAGGCAAATGAACGAGGCAGAGGTGAAGCTTTGCCTCATGTGCTTTAATCTCGCTCACATGTCAATCGTTCGACATCGTCTGTCGTCAAATCGCATACGTGAACACACAGGAACCTCCGAATACGTGTGTGTGCGTCTCTCTCTCTCTCTCTCTCTCTCCTTCCCCTCCCCAACCCAAACGGCAGACAGGGAGGGGAGAGGGAAAGAAATAGACGTGAGACAAATACAGTAATAAAGCATGTACATGGTTAGGCTGGGTGTCTGGGCTGAGCGTCTGGGCTGAGCGTCTGGGTGTCTGGGCTGAGCAGCCGGGGAGTACAGACGAGGATATCATTTGTCCCACATCCATTTATTTCCTTCCCGTCCGCCTCCTTTGTTTTTTGCTTCGCCCACAAAATATACAGTCACTACGCTTGTACGGTACACGCTGTGAAGCGCTTCAGACGTCTGGACGACGTGATAAGGCACTATATGGAACGCGAGGATGAAATACTGTAATGATTATAAGAGGAATGTGCCTGAAAGCTCTTCGGGTTTCACTGCCAGTGACAGAGCCACACCCTGATATGGGGTACGGGAGATATGAGTACAAAACTGGAATAGCCCCCCCCCATACACACACATCCCTTCCCCCCAATCCCCCGCCCCTCTCCCCCCCACCCACAGTATTGAAAGCAAGACACGAATGAGGGGGGGGGGGGCAAGAAAATCAAGTCCGTAAAAAAAACAATATTAAGATTCAGGCATCGTTTGGCTTTTCAATCAACTATTTTTTTCATTAATATATCTTTTAATATGATACTTATTTTGATCCCCCCCCCCACCACCCCACCCCCCCGTCGCCCCGTGCCACTCCCACCTCCCCCCCTCCCCACCCCTCCGCACCGCAAAAAAATTCATCAAAAGAAAAAAAATCCTCTTAGAAATAAATTTATTCCGAGAAAAACATTTTTATGGAAAGAAAAAAGGATCGGGACCTTGAAGAGAATATTTTGCTTTTGAAGAATCAATCGTGTGTGTGTGGGGATTTTTTTTTCGGGAGGGGGTGCAGGGGGTGGGTGGGGGGGGTTGATCAAAATAAGTCTCGTTTTTTTTTTGTGATGCGCCTCCAAAGCAACGAGTCAATGAAGCAAAAAGATCCCATTTAACTTTGACGTTTAAAAAGATTTTCTGCTTTGTTAATAATAATGATAATAATCCTTGCAATTGACGTAGCGCCTTATCAAGCGGTGATGCAAAGAGACAAAGGAAAACAGGGCTGCTTAACTGACGGACATCAAAAACCCTTCAGTCCATCGATACAAAGCTGAAATTGACATGATTTCTGCACGCAGGGAAATCACACGTTTATTCATGCATTGATTGATTGATTCATTCATTCATTCATTCATTCATTCACGGTTCGTTTGTTTGTTAAATAGACTGAATGCAAAGCTTCCCATTTCTGCCTCACTCTCTCTCTCTCTCTCTCGCTCTCTCTCTCTCGCTCTCTCATCCAGAAATTATCCAGAAAACACAAAACACGTTTCAGCATCATCAACACCATCAAAAAAAAACCTCTTACCTTTTTTTTTCCCCCCTTTGTTGAAATTTGAAGAGAGAGATTTTGTCACCCCCTTTTTTTCCCAAATGTGGAAAGATGGAGAGGAGGGGGGACGTGCGTGGGTGTTTGTGGGGGTGTCTGTGGGGGTGTTTGTGGGGTTGGGATGGGTGGTGGGGTGGGTGGTGGTGGTGGTGGTCGGTCGAGAGAGAGAAAGACGTGAAGCTGAGAAGCAAAAACCTGGGTTCTTTCTTCTGCGGTTTGTCTGGGGGGGGGGGGGGGTGGGGGGGGAGAGGGGGTGCAGGTGATGGAGGAGAAAGCTCTCTTACTCTGCCGGTCTGGACGCCTCGGATGTGTGTTGTTGCTGATCAGGTTTATAGTACCATATTCCACACAGAAGCAGAGCGAGAGACACACGCACACACACGACAAGGAGCAACAGCTACTCAAAGTGAAGCAACAGTCAGTCGGTTCCAGCTGTTGCTTTCTTAGAGGGAAGGAGGGAGAGAGAGAGCGAGGGAGGGAGGGAGGGAGGGAGGGATGGAGAGAAGGACCCGAGAACTGTGCAAATGAGATCTGCTCCTCTTTTTACACACCCACATTTCTTTTCTCCGGTAAGAATGACCGGTCTGTTACTGCCCTTCTCTCTCTGTCTCTCTCTCTCTCTCTCTCTCTCTCGTTTACTTTCCCATTCCTCTCTTTTAAATGCAGCTTCAAAAATCCTTTCTTGTTCCTTTACAAAACAGAAGGAGATAGATGTTCGTTAGGTCAGGGTATTAAGGGATATGGGGCGTAAAGGTGGGTAAGTAGATTTGAGGTACAGATCAGACTCAAGGGGTTGAATAACCTTCTTCCCGACTCCGGTTTCTGTGTTTAAATGGAGATTCCCTCTCTCCTTCAGCCAAAAGGCAATCAGAACAGTTTCTGGTCAGAGACAGATTTTTGTTCCAGGGATTTCTACCATCAATCAGGACATCTAATTCCGTATTTACTGCCGGAAAAANTGATGCTAATTTACCTTTCTTTAATGGGGGAAAAAAATTCCAGTATCTTTTCGATGCTGTAAAACAGATTTTTCCCTCCAAAGAGATCAAGAGTTTTCCAACACAATGCAACTTATTTCCTGGGGAGAGCCTTCGGTTTATTTCCGGAGATTGGACAGTCTTTTTAATAATAATCCTTGCAATTGATGTAGCGCCTTATCACGTCGTCAAGGCATCGCAAAGCGCTTCATGGAGTCCTGGAGCTCTCAGTGGTTAGAGCACTCGCTTTGCAAGTGAGAGACCTGAGTTCAATTCCAGGCAGAGGGCGAAACCTTGGGCAAGTTTCCTTACTCCACACAGAGCCTAATAATAATCCTCCAAAAAACCCAAAACAATAATAAATTGGTCATTTTCAATCTACGACTGTTTGTGGGACATTGCTGTGCGCAATTGGCTGCCGCGTTCGCCCACAAATATACAGTCAATTCACTTTACAGTGTGTTCTGTGAAGCGCTTTGGGACGTCCTCCCGACGTGAAAAGCGCTATATCAAATGCAAGGATTATTATTATTATTATATAGTTACTGTAAAGTGTAGTGACTGCATATTTTGTGGGCGAAACGTGGCAGCCAGTTTGCGCGCAGCAGTGTCCCACAAACAGTCGTGGGTTGAGTGAGCAAATTTTATTCGGTGTGATTTGTTGACCAGGACTGTGGTGAATGGGTTCAATCCCCCTTTCGGGGGGAGTTTGCTGGTGCGATTTGTCAATAAAAACACTTGTTGACATGAATTGCTTTGAGGTATTCTAACACGATAAAAAGGGCTAAAAACATACGTCCTTGGACTTTCAGGAGGTAATCGCCCCTTTGCTCCTCCAAAGACATTTCTATGTTGAAGAAACATAAACATAAGCACATAAGTGGAACCGTTGTTTCATAGAATCTAACCTTTCACATACTCTTCAAATAAGTTGACATCCCATATGATATGAAGGAAAAAGGATGATTATTTCACAAGAAGAGGGGGGGGGCAAGAAAATCGATCCATAGAATTCCAACAAATAATATTTATTTTTAGATTGAATGTTGATTACAAAATCTTTCATTACCCAACAATCGCTCGGAACAGAATCACGAAATTGTTTCACCACAAATATAAGGAGTGCAATTGTTACAGTTCTCCACAAGGAGAGAACAACTGATAATCACACACACACACACACACACACACATATATATATATATATATACTTCATATATTGGACAGATAAAAGGAATAATAATCCTTGCATTCAATACATTGTCAAGACAACTCAATGCACTTCTACTGTAAAGTAAATTGACTGTATATTTTGTGGGTGAATCGTGGCACTCCAGTTGCACACAGCAGCGTCCCACAAACAGTCGTGGATTAAATAGATAAAAGATCAGGCTGAGTTATTGTCTGAATTGTCAAGTTGCTGGTTTGTGACTGCAATTATGCAGTTAATTACCAAACTCGTGTCTTACAAAAAAAATGGAGGGAGTAGGGGACGAGAAATTGCTACCATGAGGTGACCTGAGGTGTTTTGCTCTTCCAACCCGTTGTCCGGCTTTGAGAAACAGCGTGAAATCACACCGCTGGCTGTCAATGATCATTATTATTATTATTATTATTATTATTATTATTTGAGCATTTTCTCTGGTAATTGACGGAAAAAGTTGACCCGAGAACAAAGCAACAGCAGTGCTTCAATCAGTGCAGCAAACTTTTCCCGGTGAGTCGGTTACTAGCTGTTCGCCTATAAAACACAAACAAGGACAAGGTTTTAGCATGGGAAGTCAACGGACAGCACTTTTGATTGAAATCCCCCCCACCCAGCTTCCCCCCCACAAAAATTTGGTCACTCAATCCACGACTGTTCGTGGGAGACACTGCTGTGCGCAATTGGACGCCGCGTTTCGCCCACAAAATCCACGGGCAAAATCCACTTTGCAATATATTCTGCGAAGCCCTTTGAGACGTCGCGACGACGTGATAATATTAGTAATTTCTTACATTTGATACAGCGCCTTATCAAGTCTTCGAGACGTCTCAAAGCGCTTCGCAGGATAGACTGTAAAGTGTAGTGCCTGTATATTTTGGGTGTGAAATGCAGAGGCCATTTAAGCACAGCTGCGTCCCACAACAGTCGTAGGTTGAGTGACCAAATGTTTTTTTTGGGATGGGGGAGCATAAGGTGCTATATCAAAGGCAAGGAATATCCTTATTACTTTTATTATAAATCATAACACCCAACTTCTAGAAATCCAGAAGATATGGCAGCAAATTTCCCCTCCATCTCCCGCTCCCAACACCGTTCTTACCTCCATTTGGGTGTAGATCCAGTTGGTGAATTCTGTCACTCGAGCATAAACCCCTGGTTTATTTTTCTGGCCGCAGCCAATGCCCCAGCTGGTAACACCTGCCAAGTACCAGGTCCCCGACACTTCACACACCAATGGCCCTCCACTGTCACCCTGAGGTTTATAAACACACGATGATCTGAGACGAGCTAAGCTGAGGACACACACTCTCCATTGCAAACTATTGTGTTCCTGTGAACTATACTGTCCGCTCCCTCTGTTCAGTGGGCTCCGACCTGCTTCATGTCCCCCGACCAGCCCTCCCCACCATCAACGGTCAGACCTTCAGCCTCTCTTCCCCCACCTCCCCTTTGGAACACCATCCCGCAGTCCCTTCACCTCGCCCCTCCTTGCCCTCTTCAAAGCCCATCTCAAGACCCTCCTCTTCGACCAGCCATGTCTTCGGCCACCCTCCTATCTCCAATCTCCCTCCCCGCCCTACACCCCTCTCTAATCCCAACCCACAGCTCAGATCCAAATCCCTGACTGTTCAGCGCCTTGGGATGTCCTCCCGACTTGAAAGGCGCCGTGTAAATGTCATTTATTGTTGGAAAAAAAAAGGCCCAATCTTTCTCACAAGTCTCTCTTTGCAAATGGAAGCCTTCCTCCCCGGCAAATACAACAACAACAACAACAAATGACATTGTATGGTGGCCTTCGCGTTGGAAAGATGTCCCAGGGTGCTGGACAATCAGGAGTTTTTGGACCTGAGCTACGAGTTGTGGTCAGGAGGGGTGGAGGGCATACCCTGGAGAATATGGGATTGTGTGGAGCGATGTCTCATGTGTGGCACTAACCTGGCAGGAATCCACACCTCCATTTACCGAGCCTGCGCACACCATCCTCTTGGTGATGGCTCCATTATACATTCTTGTACTGTTACATAAAATGCTGCTGATTATCCCAATGGAGACTTGCTGGAGCGATTCTGAAATGGAAGCTGAAACAGAGAGGGTCGAGAGTTAAGGTCAGGTCTGTGTGGGGGTGGGGTTGGGGCTGCGGGGCGGTGGAGGAGGTTGGGGACATCAGCACGGAGATATCCTGAATGGCCCCTGTCCATAGTGTAACGTTCTGATCTCCAGAGGGTGGAGTGAGACTCTGATGTGCTATACATTCGTCAGACAGAGCTACTTACAGGCACCATCTTGCAGGTGTCCGAATCCGGTTGTCCAACACCTGCTGTTTTCTGGGAACTGCTGGTTATAGGCTGGCAGACAGGCAGGCTGTACTCTATCTACAGGGAATAATAATAGTATTAATAATAATCCTTGCATCCTTCCATATCAACCTGTCCGCTCCCTCCACTCAACTGGCTCTGGCCTGCACGTTCATCCACTCTGCCCGCCCCAGTATCGGCGGTCAGGCCTTCAGCCTCTCTGCCCTCACCCTTTGGATGTCCATCCCACAGTCCCTACACCTCACTCCCTCCCTGCCCTCCTTCAAGACCCATCCCAAGAGCCTCCTCTTCGACCGCGTCTTCGGTCACCCTCCTACCCCCACCCTCCCTGCCCCTCTGCCCCTCCTGATCCCAACCCCCAGCTCGGGTCCACACCATATTCCTGACTGTCCAGCGCCTTGGGACGTTCTCCTGACATGAAAAGAGTGTGTAAATATCATTTACTGTTGTTTCAGCTTCAACTAGCCTAGAGGTTTTGAATTAATCGCTAATATCACTACCCTCTGAGCTGCAAAGTCTTATTATCCTAAACATTCTATTATAATAATCCTTGCATTTGATGTAGCGCCGTTTCGCGTCGTCGAAGTGTTCTCAAAGCTCTTACGACAGGATGTACTGTAAAGTGAATTGACTGCGTTTTGTGGGCGAAACCAAGACAAGGCAGAGATAATAGTGGTGACATTGGTCACGGGGAACTGACCTGTGAAAGTCAGAGGTCTACTCAGCTTTAACAAAGCCATGTCATTGTCGTTGGTGGATCTGCTGTACTGTTTGTGAGTGATGATCTGGCTGATATCTCTTAACTGACCATTGTATTTAAATCTCTGAGAGATAATGCCAGCGTACACCTTCCAGTTTGAAGGTTCCAATGCCGTGTCGCTGGAGAGAGAAAAAAAACGGTTACAAACCTGAGGCCAAACCCCAAAGCACCCACAGCAGTGTCCCCACGATGAGCCGTGGATTGAAGCGACCAAATTATTATTAATGCTGTTGTTTTTCTTCTAATGAATTAGTACGTGATTCAGCCAGTGACACAAAACAAAATAATAACCCCTTACATTTGATGTAGCGCCTGATCACGTCGTTGAGACGTCTCAAAGTGAGGTGACTGTGTATTTTGTTACAGACCAGAACTTATCCGATGGTCCCTCAACGCAGCAGTTCTCAGTGTAGTTTGAGTTGGAATCTCAGCTCATGGAGAGGTGCAGACTTACCCAAGGAAGCAATGGGCAGCAGTGAGGATCCAGTCATGAGCAATGATGGTTCCTCCGCACACATGGCTGGAGCCAAAGTGCAGACTCACTTGCCAAGGCCACTTCTGCAGCTCAGCCGCCGTCCCTCCCACTATTCTTTCTGATGGATTGACTCTTTTCCCGCAGTCTAGGGAACGAGAGGGAGGGAGAGAGAGAGAGAGAGAGAGGTTTTTTTGTGTTAATATCTCAACCTCACAGCGGAAAGTCCTTTCCCCCCACTTTTTGAATTCGTAGAGTCCTGTAACTCGGTGGTTAGAGCGCTCACCTCGCAAGCAACAAGATCTGGGTTCAATTCCCGGGCAGTGCAAGAAAAGTTAGGCAAGTTTCCTTACTCCGCACACGCACACACACACACACATAATAGTTGGGTCACTTCAATCCATGACTGTTTGTGGGGACGCTGCTGTGCGCAATTGGCTCCCGTGTCTCGCCCACAAAATATACAGTCAATTCACTGCACAGTATATTCTGTGGAGGGCTTTGAGACGTCTCGAAGACGTGATAAGGCGCGACATCAAAAGCAAGGATTATTATTATTATTACTAGGCATGATAACCGACACCAGACCAGGCTGGGACGTGGGTGAAACTCACCGATGCACTTGAGTCCAACAACCTCTCTGCTGGCACATTGGTCCCTGAAACACAAACACAGAGCATCACAGCTCAGTCAGTCAGTCGGTGACTGGAAAGCACGAGTTTGTATTTCTATAGCACCTCATCAGACAGAAATGCCTCTACTTGGTGGAGGAAACAACAACAAATGACATTTACACAGCGCCTTTCACATCGGAAGAATGTCCCAAGGTGCTGGACAGTCAGGAATTGGGCCCGAGCTGGGTGTGGGGATCAGAAGGGGGTGGAGGGCAGGGAGGAGGGGGGGGAGAGGGGGGTGTGGGAGAGTGACCGAAGAAGAGGTTGAAGAGGAGGGTCTTGAGACGTGCATTGAAAGAGGCAAGGGAGGGGACGAGGCGAAGGGACTTTGTGAGATGGAGTTCCAAAGAGTGGGGGCAGGGAGGCTGTCGAATGGTGAGGCAGAGGGAATGGACCGGTCCACATGAAGATGTTACTGCAGGAGAGAGAGATCACTGTTTGTGGGACTCCCTCACACCCACCCGCCTGCCCACTCACCACAGGGGTGTCATAAACTTACCCACTGCTTAGTATGGTTTGGATATTACTTCCTGGCTTTGCTGTGGAGTTGACCGTCAGGGTTGAGATTTGGTTGCTGCTAATTTTGCTCGATTGGAAATATCTGAAAAATGTCACACAACATCATTACGCTCAGAGGCTCAGACGTCAACAACAACAACAACAACCACCACAACAACTATTGCCACTTACGCAGCGCCTTTCATGCCTCGACGACCTGATAAGGTGCTATATCAAGTTATTATCAGTTACTTTACGTAACGTTCAAGTACGATTTTACCAGTTGTAAAAGTGCCCGTCATTCGCTGATCAGAACCAATTTGGGATGTCTTAACGATGCGATAAAGCGCTTCAGTGTTTATTTCCCTGCCCCCCCCACCCCTCTCCCCTCCCCTCACCCCTTTCCCCCCCCAGCATGTACCCAGTGAACCCTAATTGCTGGCAGGTTGTGCTTGCCAGATCGTTGCTCCAGCCGCTGTAACACACGGGCAGCCAGCTGTTCGTTTTCCACGAGAACACCTCTAGCTCGTTGGTAGTCTTTTTGAATCGCACTGTGAACCAAGCAATAGAACAATTAGTCCACCACTAGCCCTGGCACCTCCCCTCCCTACCTCTCCGACCTGCTTTCTCCCTAACCCACTACCCCCGGCCTCCGCAAGACTGGCACCGGCCTCCTGATTGTACCTCGGGCCCTCAGTACCACCATCAGTGGACGCGCTTTCGAACTCTATCCCATAGTCCCTTCACTTCACTCCCTCCCTGGCCTCCTTCAAGGAACGTCTCAAGACCCTCTCTTCGCCCGCGCCTTTGGTCACACTCCTACTCCCACCCTCCCCGCCCTCCACCCCCTCCTGATCCCAACCCCCAGCTCGGGTCCAAATCCCTGACTGGCTCTGGACATCCTCCCGATGTGAAAGACGCCGTGTAAATGTCATTTCCTGTTGTCATTGTCAATCATACCAGACGATATGTCTGGTAAAGTCAGTACCAACAGGAGCAAAAGAGACAACCCCCCCCCAAATAATAAACAAGACAATAATGTGATGACTAAATATTAGTTGAGAAATCTCACCACATCCAAATTCATCGCTTCTATCCGAGCATTCGGATTTCCCATCACAATGAACGAATTCGGATGGACATTGTGGCTCGGAACTTGGGCTGAAGTCAACATAAGTGTCTGTGGGAAGAAGGTAAGAGCACATTGGTTTGCTGGACATGGAGCACGGTGAGAATTTCACCCTCAGCTCTGGCTGCTGACCCTCTCTCTCTCTCCTCTCTCCCTATTCAGCAACGCCAACAACTTGCGCTTATATAGCGCCCACCAGGCAACAACAACAACATGATTGCATTTATAGAGCGCCTTTCACGTCGGGAGGACGTCCCAAGGCGCTGGACAGTTGGGTCAGGACACGAGCAGGGGGGAAATGGTCAGGGTGAGGGGAGGGAAGGGAGGGAGCGAGGAGGGGGGGAAATAGTCAGGGTGAGGGGAGGGAAGGGAGGGAGCGAGGAGGGGGTAGAGAGTCAAGAGGGGAGCTGAAGGCACGGTTGAAGAGAAGGCAGGGTAACTTCTCAGAGTGCTTAAAATTCATTCAGGGTACGGTCCATGTGATCGAGCTGTGAGCTTTAAGGAGATCGTTCCCGTCTTTGGAATTATGCACTTTCAAAACTGCTAAAAACTCTACTTTTATTAAAGTACAATAGAGTAACTATTGCACATATCGATCACCTGTCAATCTATCAGTCACCCACTCGTCATTCAATGAATCGCGCAAGAACAGTCAGTCAGTCAATCAACAATCATCTCTATCTATCTATCTATCTATCTATCTATCTATCTATCTATCTCTCTCTCTATCTCTCTATCTATCTTCTATCTATCTATCTCTATCTATCTATCTCTCTATCTATCTATCTATCTCATCTATCTATCTATCTATCTATCTATCTATCTATCTATCTATCTATCTATCTATCTATCTATCTATCTATCTATCTATCTATCTATCTATCTATCTATCTATCTATCTATCTATCTATCTTTCTATCTATCTGGACACAACCCCAGGTTCAATCTGTGACCAGCGCAGATGGAAGACGATTGGGAAATTTGCATTTGGTGGAACAAAAGGGTGTGAAGTAGGAAGTGAGGTAATTCCTGAAGATTAAAACTGGAGTCCTGTAGCTCAGTGGTTAGAGCACTCGCCTCGCAAGTGAGAGACCTGGGTTCGATTCCAGTCAGGGCAAAACCTTGGGTAAGTTTCCTTGTTCCACACGCCTGATTATAATCCCTCAAGAAAAAAAAAATTATAATAAATTGGTCACTTCAATCCCACGGCTGTTTGTGGAGGACGCTGCTGTGCGCAATCGACTGCCGCGTTTCGCCCACAAATATACAGTCAATTCACTTGGCAGTATATTCTGTGAAGCGCTTTGAGACGTCTCGAAGACGTGATAATGCGCTGCGTCAAATGCAAGGAAGGAAGCAAGGATTAAAAGGAACCAGAGTACCAGGGTGCTGAGATCCCAGGTCACTGTCAAAGCATTACTTACATATAAGCCAAATGCCAACGGCTACCAGACCGAAGACCAGGCTCGTAGAGCTGCCCCATCCCATACACCTCCTCTTTCGTGAGCAGGAGAAATGCTTGCAGGGTCTGACTGAGGAGAAGACATGGGTCATGTTAAACATCCACAGATAAGAAATAACCTTTAGCTCTCATTCAAAGCATCTATTATCACAAGAATAATTCCTCACATTTGATTCAGGGCCGTATCCAATTGTACACAGCGGTGTCCCACAAACAGTTGTGGATCGAGTGACCAAGTTATTATTATTTTGTTTTATTTTATTCCCCCCTACCCGGTTCGCTAATCGACTAACAACCGGGTTCCTGCTTACTGCTGGGTAAACCTTTCGCCCTACTCGGGAATTGAACCCAGGTCTCTCGCTTGCGAGGTCAGTGGTCTAACCACTGAGCTACAGGACTCAATATACCTCTAATATCTCTTTTTTTTTAACACCCATCCCCACAACCCCCCCCCCCCCCCCCCCCACTCCCGCACGTCAATCCTTTACCGCAGTAGACAGCTACACACACACAAACACAGACTATAAACCAACCTGCAGCATGGGTCACTGCTGTCGAAGACGTAACTGGGACAGACACAGGTATGTAATAGGGCTGATATTCCCCAGGTGGGTTCCCAGACGTCGGGGGTGCAGTTGGATAATGGGAACGTGGTGGTGAACTTGTGTAAGGGGGCGGTGGGTTCTGAATGCTGGTGTAAGATGGTAGATCGCCAGGCTGCACAGCGGAGTATGGCGGTGGATTCTCTCTGAAATCCGTTTGAGGATAAACATTCTGCAACACAACACAGATTGGGAATCATTCTTTTAGAAAATTGTTTTGAACTGCCTCTGCCCGCCCCAACCCCACCCCCAACAAATATTCAAAGCACTTGTTACTGTGGAAGTGATGAATGAAACGTACAATTTAGGAACAGGAGGAGGCCATTCAGCCCCTTGAGCCATTCTATTAGATCATAGCTGATCTATACCTCATCTCCAGTTGCCCCGTATCAATTGATGCCCTGACCTAACAAAACACCTATCCACCTCAGTCTTGAAAATGTGAATGGATTCGGCCATAATCCACAGCCTTTTTCTGGGAAGGAAAGAGTTACAGATTTCACTCACTTTTGGGTGAAAAACTGCCTCCTGACTTAACTCCTAAATGGCCTGGCTTTAATTTTAGGATGAAGCTCCCCTTGTTCTGGAATCGCCCCACCCACGAGAGGACATAGTTTCTCTGTGGAAACCATAGAACTAAACTGTTGTTTGTGTGATGCTCAGTCTATGAGCTCCAAGACCTTGACGGGAAGACTTACTTCATCCTTGGATCATTGCTGAAATCTCGGTGAGTCATTTCAGTTATGATATCAAATTGCTTTTTTTTTAACCCCAGAGCAAAGTTGGGCCCTGGCTGGAAAGCTGGGTTACTGCCCTCCTCGAAGATTTTGCTATTACTTGGTTGGGCCAATGCACAAACTCTGGTCCTCGTATAACGTCTTTGGGTCAGTGCAGAGCAGAGCAATGGGCAAAACATTAATGTCATCACGTTTCTTGAGAGGAAATCGTGAAGCAGAAAGTCGTTCTGAACCATAGGAGGGCGCTGTGCCATCAGGCCAGGTCTAGTCAAATCGACTCAAAACACTTTACAATTCAATATTTTACAAATGCTTTTGACAACGCGCAGTATTTGTAAAATACGTGGAGTCCTGTAGCTCAGTGGTTAGAGCACTTGCTTTGCAAGCGAGACACCTGAGTTCAATTCCCGGCAGAGGGCGAAACCTTGGGCGAGTTTCCTCACTCCACACAGAGCCTAATAATAATCCCTCCAAAACCGAAAACAATAATAAATTGGTCATTTTCAATCTACGACTGTTTGTGGGACATTGCTGTGCGCAATTGGCTGCCGCGTTCGCCCACAAATATACAGTCAATTCACTTTACAGTGTGTTCTGTGAAGCGCTTTGGGACGTTCCTCCCGACGTGAAAAGCGCTATATCAAATGCAAGGATTATTATTATTATTATTATTTTGTAGGCAAATCCAGCAGCCGTTTTGCAGGTGGCAAGTTCCTTCGAACAGCGGAGAGAGGAATACAAGTGTTATCGGAGGGATTGGTGACCAGGACAACAGGGAAAAATTCCTTCTCTTTTCCAATAGTGTCGGGACCTTTACTATAAATACGGTAGGAATTCGGCTTAACGTCTTATCTGAAGGATGGCACCTCCGATAATGCAGAGTTCTCTCAAAATGGCACTGCGCCAGCCAAGACTGTGAGCTCAGATCCTGATGTGGGTGTTAACCAATGTTCGTCATGATTGCTTTGTCATGCTGGACAAACCAGCATTGGGAAATAAATATATATATATAAATAGTTATATATACTATATATACACAAAATATACAGTCAATTCACTTTACAGTATATCCTGTGAAGTCCTTTGAGGCGTCTCGAAGACGCGATAAGGCGCTATATCAAATGCAAGGATTATTATTATTATTATTATAAGTTTGCCCCACATCCATGGTGAGATCTGTCTGTTACTTTTTTTTGTGCAATCATAGAAACTGTCGATGATGTGGTGCTTTTAGAAACACTCGGCGAACAGGAATCCCAATGCAAAGGATGTTGAAGTTACATTCATTTCCAATGCGTCACTCTCCCCAGTCACTGGGGACAAGGAATCCTGCCACTTGGCTCCTTCAGCCATAGCCCTAACAGACAGCATAATCCCAGCTGGACAAGCAGCGGGAAAGCTTTCCCAGACAGCGTTATCAATGGCAAGCTATACGGGTTTAGCTGGTTGGACTCCAGCAGTTACCCCAACGCACGCTCTGCAACAAACCGGAAATTGGTTTGGAGACTCTTTAAGCACAATTTCTGAGTGGTGAGTCAGGCACCCGGCTGACCAAAAAAAGAACATCAATGATGCTGGCAGTGACTCATGCGATTGTGTAGAATCACCCAACCCTTTACGTCCTCTCCTTTTTCACATATTTATCTGAACCTCAATTGTGAAACTTCTTTTGTATTTAATTCATTGCTTTGGCTGTTCAAGTATGTACAGTCAGTGTTATTGTACGGTGCTGAATACACCCTCAGGAAGGATACAATTTGCTCTGGAGGGGGTGCAGCGCAAATTCATCAGAATGATACCGGGGCTTAAAGGGTTAAATTACGAGGACAGGCTGTATAAACTTGGTCCGTGTTCCCTTCAGCTCAGAAGGTGGAGAAGGTGACCTGATTGAGTTTTTTTAAAAATAATAAAGGGATTCGATAGGGGAGATACAGAGAAACTATTTCCTCTGGTGGGTGGGTGGGTGGGATGGGGTGGGGGGAAGGTTGGGGTGAACAAGGCGGGGGGGCAGCATCTTAAAATTAGAGCCGGGCTATTTAGGAGTGAAATCAGGAGGCAGTTTTTCACCCAAAGGGTAGTGGGGATCTGGAACTCTCGCCCTCCCCCAAAATGCTGTGGATTATGTATAGTATGAAAATCTGGAACTCTCTCCCTCCCTTAAAAGGCTGTAGACACCGGATCCATTCACATCTTCAAGACTGGGATATGGGGCAAAGGTAGTTGATTGGAGTTGAGGTACAGAACTTATTGAATGGCAGAGCAGGATCGAGGGGCTGAATGGCCTCCTCCTGTTCCTATGTTCTGTCATTTACAAATCAATTTCGGAAATCAATGCACGTCTCAAATTTGCTGGTGGTTTTGGGCGGCTGAGAACAGGTAAAGGTGTAGTAATCCTGGAACCACTATAGAAAATAATGTATAATATAATAATAACCCTTTCGATACAGCGCCTTGTCACGTTTTCGAGACTTCTCAAAGCACTTCATATAATATTCTGTAAAGTGAACTAACTGCATATTTGTGGGCGAAACGTGACAGCCAATTGCGCACAGCAGCGTCCCACAAACAGCCGTGCGTTGAGTGACTAAATTATTTTTTTCATCTAACTGGTTTCGTCTTAATTTTTTAAGGTCAGATCCCCAGTGGGGGAGGGGAGGGGGTCACTGCTTAATTTGGCCAACTCCCTTTATAGCCTCTCTACAACTTGTCATCTTACACAGGTTACTGGGGTTTGTGTAACCAAAGTGTCCGTAGGGGTTGGAAGAGGAAGCAAGTTTGGAAGGAACAATGAGAGCACTTAATTAAATTGTTTCCTCATCATAGCCTGTGAGTGAGGACAGGTTTCTGAAGCGTATAGCAGGTAGAAACTCACCCCGTTCATCAATAAATCCAATAGCTCTTTAAATCAATCATAATCCTATGATGTGATGAGCAGGGGGTTTGTCTGGCCATAGAGCCCTCTTTGTTCCTAAATTTCTCTGCAACACCCTCGTTTTCAAGTCATTAATTTGGGTCAAATCATTATAAAACTGCAACACCCAGCTTCGCTTTCAACCTAACTACAAAGACTGTCCTACAGCGCTCACTGACTCCATTCAGCTCTCCGGCTCAGGCGCAGGGACCTTCCAAAGGGCTCCATAGCTGTACTGTGAATGTTATGCCTACACCCGCAGCGAGACTCAGCCCTGTAGAGCGCCTCGTGGTTAATCGTGGTTAACAACAACAGCAACAACTTGGATTTATATAGCGCCCTCCACGCCGGGTTAAAAGAGTAATTATCATTTAGACATTCGGTCTTGACGTGGCCACTAATTTTAAGAGCAGAGACACAATCGAACTGTTAAATTCTGTTGTGGTAATGTACAATCATCTTTGCATTTGATGTAAGCGTCGTATCATGTCGTTGAGATGCCTCAATGCGCTTGGCAGAACGTACTGCAAAGTGCAGTGACTGTGCATTTTGTGGGCGAAACGTGGCAGTCGATGGCTCACGGGAGTGTCCCACAAACACTGATGGACCGAGTGACCGCATTTTTAAAAAAGTAAATTGTATAAACTGCCAGGGGAGACATAATAACTCGCATTTTTGGGGCACCTATCGACCAAAGTATCTCAAAGTGCGTTACAGTTCTTATTGCTTAAACAGTAACTTATTTTTAGGCAAACATAGCACTCTGTGCATAGCAAATACTCACACCCACCTGGGAGGTGAATGATTAATTTATCTCGAGGATCGTTACTGCTTTCTTTTCCAATTAGTGTCAGTCCATCATTAAGCTCATCGGACATTCAGGACTTTGTTTAATGTACTGTGTTTTCCAAAGGACAAAATCTCAACAACACAGCACAGTGTTCCTCTGGCTCACTATACCCTTTCCTTAGAGGAAGTGAGAGAACCTTTTTATTTGTAGTTAAATCGTCTTTTAGACATTCAGCGAAACAACAGAACCGAACCCATCTCCGATCACAAGCTTATCACGACAAAAACTATTTAAGAAACAGCAAATTCTGCTATACATACCGGCATCGAATTCATCTCAGCCCGAACAGTGTATTCTTGTGCATATACAAAGGCAGAAGGTGTTTGAGAGGAAACAGCAACGGGAATTCGCTTCACCTCACTTCACACCTGATGTTTCACAAAGAATTCAGGAAGTTTTTTTTTACTGAAACTTAAGTATTGATTGTGTGAGAGATACCTTTGTGGAGAGCCTGAGTCTGGGTGTGTTCTGTTGTGTTGTGCTGCACTATGTTGCTGTGTGTCAATGAGGGCTCGTATGTTTTGGGTTGGGCTATTGGTTAGGAAACAAGTTTAACCAGAAACTTTTCCCAAGCTCTGGGTGTTGGATATCATGTCTGGATATTTTTAACACATAGACAAGGTGGCCAATGACAATTAGTTATAACAACGTGTTGTATTATGTACAGTTATATGTTATATAGTTATTTAAATTTTCCCCTCCCACCACCACTCCCAAGCCAGAGTCTCGATATTCCACCTCGTCTCAACAACAGCAAATCAAAATTACATCTGTAATGACAATAATAACAATCCTTGCATTTGATACGGCGCCTTATCGCGCCTGGGAGACTTCTCAAAGTGCTTCAGAGAATATACTGTAAAAATAAACTGACTGTAACATTTTCTGGGTGAAACGCGGCAGACAACCAATTGCACACAGTCGCGGTTTGGGTGACCAAATTATGATTTTTTTTAATTTTGAAGGAAAAAGCGATCCACCAATCGACTAACAACCGGGTTCCTGCTTCCTGCTAGGCAAATGGAGCCGTGTGGAGTAAGGAAATTTGTCTATGGTTTCGCATTGCCCTTGAATCGAACCCGAGAAACAGTAGTCGTTTGGATTAGGAACTGACTGAGTGACAGAACGCAGGGGGTGGTGGTTAATGGGTGTTACTCGCAATGGAAGGAGGTGTGCAGCGGTGTCCCCCAGGGATCGGTATTGGGACCACTGCTCTTTCTAATATATATTAATGATCTGGACTTGGGCATAGAGAGCACTATTTCCAAGTTTGCAGATGATACCAAGTTAGGTCGGGTAGTAAATAGTGAGGAGGACTGTAACCAACTGCAGGCAGACATACACAGAATGGTGGAATGGGCTGACATGTGGCAGATGGATTTCAATGTGGATAAGTGTGAGGTGATACACTTAGGTAGGAAAAATGATAGGAGGCAATATAGGCTTGGGAGCTCAATCTTAAGGGGGGTGAACGTACAGAGAGATCTGGGCGTTCAAGTAAGCGATTCATTGAAGGCGGCAGAGCAGGTAGATAGGGCAGTAAAAAGGGCATTTGGTGTACTGAGCTTCATTAGTAGAGTATAAGAGTAAGAGGTTATGCTTAATCTGTACAAAACACTGGTTAGGCCTCAGCTGGAGTACTGCGTCCAGTTCTGGGCACCTTACCTCAGGAAGGATATTAAGGCACTGGAAAGGGTGCAGAGGAGATTCACGAGAATGATACCAGGAATGGGGAACCTTAGCTATGAGGACAGGCTGGAGAAGTTAGGACTTTTCCCATTAGAGCAGAGAAGGTTACGTGGGGACCTGATAGAGGTCTTCAAGATCATGAAAGGTTTCGACAGGCGAGATAGGGAAAAGCTGTTTCCGCTGGTAGGTGCGTCTGTGACTCGTGGTCACAGTCTTGGGATATCTACCAAAAGAAGCAGAGGGGAGGTTAGAAGAAATTTTTTCATTCAGCGAGCTGTTCAAGTTTGGAATGATCTGCCCAAAAGGGCAGTGAAGTCCGATTCAATAACAGCTTTTAAGAGAGAACTGGATAGGTATCTGGAGAAGACAGGTTTGCAGGGTTATGGGGAGAAAGCTGGTGAGTGGGGTTAGTGAAAGTGACGCTCTGTCAAAGAGCCACACAGACTCGATGGGCCGAGCCTTTAACCACTGAGCTACAGGACTTCCACAGAAAAGAAAGAAACTGGCTTTTAAATTAAGACCGAATTCATTAATTTTCATCCAATTCTATGCAATCTTATATTTTAAGACAAAACCGTTTCCCCCACAAAATACGCAAAATACTTTGTTATGATAATAACAAACATCACTTTACATTATATTCTGTGAAGCGTTTTGAGACGTCTCATAGACGAGGTAAGGCGCTGTATCAACTGCAAGGATATTATTATTTAAAATTGCTCAGACTCGGTGTAAGTGTAAGCCTCTTCCTCTCACTGTGGGTTGAGCATCCTATAAATGCAGGCAGGTGATGTTAAGGTGTCACCGATTGAGCACTGATTGACTGGAACTGTGGAAAATGGTCACGTCACACCTTTGGGTTGGGACCTGCCTCTCTTGACCTTTTAGTTGGCACGGTTCTGTGCTTTTGTCACTTCATTCTAGCCCTCTCCTGGCACCTTCTATGTTTACACACCTCCCTGTTCAGATGAATGTCAAAGATCTCGTTCCTCTATTTGATGAGTTAAGGAAGTTTCTGTCTGACAACAACAACAACAAGAATCCATTTATAGAGCGCCTTTCATGTCGGGAGGACGTCCCAAGGCGCTGTACAGTTGGGTCAGGACCCGAGCATTGGGGGGAAATGGTCAGGGTGAGGGGAGGGAAGGGAGGGAGCGAGGAGGGGGGAAATGGTCAGGGTGAGGGGAGGGAAGGGAGGGAGCGAGGAGGGAGTAGAGAGTCGAGAGGGGAGCTGAAGACACAGTCAAAGAGAAGGGTCTTGAGACCGGCCTTGAAGGAGGAAAGGGAGGAAGCGGCGAAGGCACTGGGGTATGGAGTTCCAGAGCCTCGGGGCTGAGAGGCTGAAGGCCACCGATGGTAGGGCGGTTGGGGCGGGGGATGTGGAGCAGACCGGAGCCAGAGGAACGGAGGGTACGGGCAGGTAGGTAGGGGGATAGTAGGTCAGAGAGGTAGGAGGGAGCGAGGCCGTGAATGGCCTTGTAGGTGAGGATGAGGATCTTGAATTTGATCCTCTGGGGGATGGGGAGCCAGTGGAGGCGAGCGAGGGCGAGGGTGAGGGCGAGGGTGAGGGTGGGAGTGATGTGGTCGTGAAGCCTGGTGCGGGACAGTACATGAGCTGCAGAGTTCTGAATGACCTGCAGTGTGGAGGGAGGGCCGGGAAGGCCGGCGAGGAGAGAGTTCTCATAGTCTGGCGATGTTCCGCAGGTGATGGAAGGCGGTGCCAGTTGTGGTGCGGATATGAGGAAGAAAGGACAGCTCAGGGTCGAACAGAACCCCGAGGTTCCTGATGGCTTTGAGAGGTGGAGAGTGCAGCCTTGGATGCTGATGGTGTCAGTGCCTGAGGTGCGGAGGCGCTGACGGAGCCAATCAGGAGGGCCTCGGTTTTTCGCACGTTGAGCTGAAGAAAGTTGTCTCTCGTCCAGGACTCGATGTCGGACAGACAGCTGTCAGGACATCTGTGGTCGTGGAGTTGAGGGTAGAGGAGGAAAGGTAGAGTTGGGTGTCATCCGCATACATGTTGACGTTAACCCCATGTCTGCGGATGATATCACCACAGGGGGAGCATATAGAGGGTGAAGAGGAGGGGACCGACGACAGAGCCCTGAGGGACACCGCACGAGACAGTGCGGGGGGTGGAGGAAAAGCCGTGTGTGGAAACAAAATGAAGACGGTGGGAGAGGTACGACCTAAACCACTCAAGGACAGGGCCTTGAAAGTTGAGGTGGGAGGACAAGCGGTGGAGGAGGATAGAGTGGTCGACCGTATCGAATGCTGCCAATAGGTCGAGGAGGACGAGGAGGCAGAGGGAGCCCTGATCGCAGATGGTCAGGATGTCATTGGTGACCTTGACCAGGGCAGTTTCTGTGCTATGGGCAGCACGGAAACCCGACTCGAGGGGTTCGAATAATGCATGGGCAGAGGAGTGACACTGATTGGGTTCCAAAGAGCCGGCACAGACACAGTGGGCCAAATGGCCTCCTTCTGTGCTGTAATATTCTATGATTCTATGTACATTGAGACATCTCAGAAATGTGATAAGGCGGTATATCGAACACAAGGATTATTATTCTAATGAGTCCGATCTCCTGTTCCCCCCCATCCCTTGTCCCTATTTATTGGCAACTACAATGCAACAAAATACACTTCAAGAAAAACAATTAGCATTTATAGAGCACTATGATACACACAATCACACCTACAGTCTTCAACATTATCACTAGATGGCATACCTTGCCAAGGAAAAACCGTGGAGTCCTGTAGCTCAGTGGTTAGAGCACTCGCTTTGCAAGCGAGAGACCTGAGTTCAATTCCAGGCAGAGGGCGAAACCTCGGGCAAGTTTCCTTACTCCACACAGAGCCTAATAATAATCCCTCCAAAACCAAAAACAATAATAAATTGGTCATTTTCAATCTATGACTGTTTGTGGGACATTGCTGTGCGCAATTGGCTGCCGCGTTCGCCCACAAATATACAGTCAACTCACTTTACAGTATATTCTGTGAAGCGCTTTGGGACGTCCTCCCGACGTGAAAAGCGCTATATCAAATGCAAGGATTATTATTATTATTAAGGAAACTGGAACCCAAGTAAAACTGCCTCAAACCCGTTTATGAAGCCGGTAACTTTACAACACAGAATGTCTGTCCGCCTACACACTCATTGGCTTTTGGTTTGGGACATTGCACGTACGTGTCTCCCCCCCCCCCGGGGAAGGAAGGCTCTGTGAACAATTATTAACAGAGTAGATAGCGAACCAGATTAGCTGCAGTATCTACATTCACGACACAACATTCACTTTCATTTAAAAGCCAATTTACTTTGCAAAGCACTCTGAGGCTTTTAGGCACTAAAATAAATGGAAGCTATCAGTAAATTATAATTCAGGAGCTAATTTTCTGCAGTCTTTTTTTGAAGGCGAGTGCCATGTGGTGTTTCAGGCCTTGGAATCCTTGGTATCGTTCACTCATCTGCGTGTAATGCACTCCAGTCCATGTGTTATCCTGTGTGTAACGCACAAATTGGGTGTGCATCCAATTTTACGATTGAATTTCTAACAAAACATTTCAGTGACTGTTATTTGCCACGAGCACTGCTCATCGGCACGGTGTTAGATACTTCAAAGTTAATGAGAGAGATTTGGTTTCGTATCTCATCTTATAGAGAGGGCAGCCAGAGAGACAGTCCCATCACATCTGAGCCTGATCTCAACGTGGATAAAAGTAATATGAAAAGTTTTATTAAAGCCATATTGGAGTCCTGTAGCTCAGTGGTTGGAGCACTCGCCTCGCAAAGCGAGAGGAGCTGGACTCGATTCCCGGAAGGGCAAAACGTTGGGCAAGTTTCCTTACTCACACGTCAATAAGTAGGTACTCGGATGTTAGTCGCTTTTCCAGGGTAATAATCGCTTAAAAAAAATAATAATTTGGCCTCTCAATTCACGACTGTTTGTGGGATATTGCTGTCTGTAACGGGTTGCCACAAAATATACAAGCGATTCACTTTACAGTATATTCCGTGAAGCACTTTGAGACGTCTCGAAGGCGTGATATGGTGCTGTGTCAAATGCAAGGATTATTATTATTGTTGTAGACGGAACTATGACCAATATGGAACAAACCCAGTCATTGCACAACCTCTACCTTTAACAAGGAAGGCTTATCTCCATTATGACCAGGTATTGTACTGATTTTTTTTCCGTTTCAGCTTCGTTTTGTATCATATAATGATAATCATAAGGTCACCTTTCAGTTGTTTTCAAGACTGAAGATCTTATCTATCGTTCTATCTTTGTAGAATAGAGCACCCCAAACTATAAAGTTCAGAAGCAGCCAATGATTGGAACCATTGCAGCCCAAGTGATTAAACTGTGCTTCAATGATTCTTTGATGTGATAAGAACCTCCCTTCTGAGGGTTCACTTAAGTTGCATTTTACCACAGTGTCAAGTGACAGAGATAAGGGCTCGAGATAGAGAGGTGAGAGAGGTTGCGGACGGTGTTGGTTGCGGAGATATTGTTGGCAGTTGTGAGAAAGAAAAACTCTCGTCTCCATGGGCAACAATGGTTTCAAACATTGCCTCTGATCGCAGTTGGGGGTTATTTTAGTTGTTGCACGTGACTGTGACTGTCTGGCAGGTTTCAAATTCTGCCCGTGTCTAATTTAACCACCTGCTGCTAACCATAACTTTTTACAGCGCACTCTTCCTAAAAGAAATCTGTTTCTCCTCACCTCCCACCTGTCTTTGGGACGTGATAGTGTAGACCATGATAAGCTGTTTTAGCTTCTGCTGAGCAGTAGAACCAGAGGACATGGTCTGCGATCGAAGTGGGGGTGGGGTTTAAATTCAGGACACATCTGCGGAGACTACTACTTGAGTGAGCAAGAAGTAAACTTATGGAACAGGCTCCCAAGAGAAGATGGCGGAAGCAGAAAGTGTTATTTGTTTCAAGAACAAACTAGAAAGGTTTCTGTTGGGAAATAATACCTGGGGGATACAGTATATAGTTTGGGACACGACATGTCAGGCGACTGCCAGGACGGCGGATAGAGAACCAGATGGACCTTGGTCTTCCGTCGCTAGCAAATTCTTACGTTCTGATTACGTTGTTTCAATCACACCCATTTGTGACCACCGTTTTCTTTCTAACGTGATGTCCGAGCTCTCCCTAAATCTGGTCAGTGTCTCAGGAGATTACTCAGTTCAACACAGTTGAATGAATTCAAGGTCACGAGTTTGAAATCCCCCCCCAATGTCTGAACTGATCTCAAACCAGTTTGGGAAGGGCTCAGTTTGCTCAGCGTCCTTTGAGAGAGCGAGAGAGAGAGAGAGAGAGAGAGAGATAAAGCCAGTCAAGATTTTCGATTGCCTTGTTGCAAAGATTGTTTGTGTCCATGTGGGGATAGGGTTGAACTGAATAGTGACTTGAGGCTACAGTGTCAGACATTTAATTTCTAAGCTCATTCATGACCTTTGGCTTTGGCTTTCAGACGAGAATCGGTGAAGAATCCCAACCCTCACTGACCATGAAAATGATACGGGAACATTTGACCCAAAATAACAATGAGGTTAACCAAATATTTTATCCAATTATCAGCAGGCTTTACCGACAAATAGCAGAAGAACTTTGTTCCTTTTATAATGTTCTGCAAAGTTAGACTGAATTAGGGAGTGGTCTTGTGGACTCTACACGGGACTATTTTAATAGCTGCTGACATCTCTCAGCTTCCTTAATAAACTTAGTTTTAACCTTTCACCGGTCAATGAGAGTGCAGTGGATAATAAGAATAATAAGAATTATTGATGATAACAACTCTCTTTGCATTTCGAATTTCGCCCTCAAAGTTCACAGTCAACTCATTTTACAGTGTATCCCGTGAAGCGCTTTGAGACTTCTCAATGATGTGATAAGGCGCCGCATCAAATGCAAGGGGAGGGTTACTATGATTATTATTTGACATGTTATTAATCATTATTATTGTCAGGAAGCCACAAAGCGCTTCACAAAATTTTACTGTAAGGTGAAGTGACTGTGTATTTCGAAGATGAAATGTTGATTTGGTAGATTTGGAGTCCGTATGGGAGTAAGCGCAACGTTTTTTGTGTCACGTCAAAAGCTTTATCACAAACATTGTTTGTGACCCTCACATACTGTAACTAAGCTGGCCATTAATTGGCACTCTCTGGAAATTACTTGTTTACAGCGCTCGCCTCACAAGCGAGAAACTTGGGTTCGATTCCCGGCAGGGTGACTTTTTGGGCAAGTTTCCTTACTCCACACGCCTCTGTTTACCTAGCAGTGAGTAGGAACCCGGTTGTTAGTTGATTGGCGGATCGCTTTTCCAGGGGTAATAATTCCTTCACAATAAAATAAAATAATAAAATTGGTCACTCAATCTACGACTGTTTGTGGGGACGCTGCTGGGCGCAATTGGCTGCCGCGATTCGCCCACAAAATATACAGTCAATTCGCTTTACAGTATATTCTGTGAAGCGCTTTGAGACGTCTCAACGACGTGATAAGGCGTTATATCAAATGTAAGGATTATTATTATCACACTCTCTTAAAATATCTCTCTATTTGGTTGCTATCTATCATTATTGTGGAGCACTTTGAGTCATTTAGCCTGGGTGTCTCGCAGTGAGGTTGGGCTTAAAGACCTTAAGGATCCCAGGCTTCCTGAAAGTGATGTGCTCTGGACAACTTGAAGGAAAGAACAGAATCAGTTGAAGTAAAGTCTTTTTTTTTTGCCCAGCCGGGTGTCTGACACATGCGGAAACCCATCACTGGGCTTAAGAGTCTCCAAACTAAGCTGAGATTTCCAGGCATCCAACCTACACATGGAAATCCCAGAGATAGAATGTTGGAATGGTATGCGCTCTCTCTCTCTCTCTCTCTCTCTCGCTTCTTAACCTAATTCCGGAAGCTATTAGGCCCAAGTTGGCAAGAGCCAAGGCTTTGGGGGAGCCCAGAGCGTGCGTTGGGGTAACTGCTGGAGTCTAACCAGCGAAAACCTCATAGCTTGCCATTGATATCGCTGTCTGGCAAGCTTTCCCGCTGCTTATCTAACTGGGACCACTCTACCCGTTAGGGCTTTGGCTTGCAGGGTTTATAGGAGCTGCTTGAGATGACTCCCTGCTCCCAGTGACTGGTCTGCCTTTCCAATAAAGTCCAATAGCCCGTCAGTGTGGGCAAAACTACTGAAATAGTTTCACTGCCGTGACTGACAGGAGCAGCTAAACAATCAAGCTGTGAGCTGGCAGTTAATATTCAACCCTGAATAGAAGAAAGCCAAGAATGATTTAAAGTTTGCTCACTTGGCCAATGCATCTTAAGCTTTGGAAGGATAAAGATTTTTACAACACCAGGGCATTCTTCAACACTGAGACTTTCCTAACAGAAAATGCAACCACGTAAAATGTAGGAACAGTCAGCAAAGCCATTAAACATGATCCATTGGGGATGTGGGGGAGGATGCACAAGACAGCAACAACTGCAAAGGGTATAGAAGCCAACAGGTTCAGCTGTCACTTGCTTCCCAGAATAGCCGGGATAGATACAGGAGAGGCTCACTGCTCACAACCAGACAGCAGAAGCTCAGACGAGCAGGGAATCGACACGCCACCCTCTCTCAATCCACCGAAGCGAGAAATGTTTCAGATTGACAAGAAAAATCTGGACGACTGTTTCAGGAGAGATCCAGTTGTAAGTGTTAAAAGTGCTTATGCTGATTATATGAGTGAGACCTCTAGTGTGGTGAGTGGGTTGGATGAAACTGATTACGAGGTTCGGAAGCTCACTGCTCTAGCCTTCCGTAGCCTGGCCTGTCCTCACAATAGCTACATCGATGTCTATAGCACCAGGACCTCCAGCGATTTGTCTCTGTCGCGCTCAGAGGACAGCAACAGCATTAAAAGGTCATCTACGTATGTTGACTTGGGTTTCCCAGGCGAGGACAACACAAAGTCTAATAGCAGCGCCGTCTGCACTTTAAGCACCAGAAGTGAGGAAAGCGGCAATGCGGATTCGGAAGAGAGTTATGGCAGAGCCCAGTTTGAGTGCGTTGATGTGGCTGTGGAGACTCGAGAGGAGAGCAAAGTACGAGGTGAAAGTAGGACCGTACCAAAGAGAGAGATCCAACTGAAGAAACGCCAGCGAAGCGAACTTAAAATCTTTACGTCGAAGGATGCCACCGATTGCCGGGCCGCGACTGAGCTTGGAAGCGAGATGCATAAAACGGAGGAAGCTCCAAACTTTCCAGAAAAGCCCGAAACCGCTCCTTACAAAAAGGAGACGAAGGTGAGCGTGGAAACGAAGGAAGAAGTCAACAGGCAACTGAAGAGAGCGGAGTCAATGGAAGAATGCTCAAAAAAGGCCAAATTTGCCTCGTGTCACATATCTAACGTCATCTCGAAGAAGATGCTCTTCGAGCAAGAGCTTAAAATGGAACGTGGAGTAATTCAGGACAACCTCCCTTCTGTTCCCTCAACCCCCTCCTCTGTAAACTTGAAGGAGTTTGAGTTTCCCCAGGAACTGAGACGCCAAAACTCCAATTCCAAATCCGAGAGCGATATGTCCGAGGAGGAACTTTCCAGGAGTTTCAGAAGGAAAAGTTATGATCTCGGTGAGGCGACGCATGAAAAGAGAAGTGTTTTGCGACAGAACAGCTGGGGGTCTATATGGTGCGAGGGGGGTCTTGGTTTAGATGGGCAGCCCAGCAGAGATATCTTTAATCGTGGGGAAAACAGCGCGTTTAGAAACTGGAAGGAAAGCAACACAGACAGCATAAAGGGAATTAAATCAGGGAGAGGGATGGGGCTATGTGGAGAGCAATCTTACTTGATGTTACATGGCTTAGACAGTGTGCGAGCTGATGAGAAAAAGGCCAATGAACAAGTTGTAGTAGACAGTGATGTAGATGGCATCCCACATCTTCCCAAGGAGATCTCGCAAGTCAGTCAGTCAAAGCAAAGCAAGCTGACAGCTTATGAAGACAAGATTAGTTACAAGTGGTCAGGTAGCACTTCCGAGTTGAAGAATCAGCCAAGACGTATTTCTAGGTCACCAGAAAAAACGAAAGCTTTGCAAATGCCAATGGAGAAGTTGAATGAGCTCTTTGGAAGCATAGAGCTGTTGTCCCCAAACATTAGCTCCAGCAGTAAAGTAATTCCCCTAGACCCTAAATATCACACACTGCCAGCATCCTTTAAATATGAGACTGGTGATTGCAAGGTGAAAGAGCCCCAGTTCGAGATAAAAGACAACAGATATTTAAAACAGAAAGGAAAAGGGCCTATACATCATGTGCGAGATGTGCGTAAATTGGTCAAAAATACCTACGGGGCTTTGACATTCACTGACGTAAAACTGTACGGATCTGAACAAGTTTTTAATCCTGAAGATTCAGAAGATGCCACACCTGATCGCACTTCATCGCTAAACACTCTGCCTTTGCCCATTTTTATCAAATACCAGTCAATAAATCACAAAGGCATCAGAGACAATCATCTGTCAGTTGATAAAAAGTACTGGACGTATGCAGGGAGTACAGACACCTCAAGGATGTATTCTTCAGACATCAAGTTCTTAATTCCAACAGACATCATGAAGAACAAGGTTGGTTCCTCCAGGAAAACAGTGATTGAGAAAGAAGGAACTGAAGATTTAATCCATTTTACTGATATGAAAACGTCTAAAAAAGAGCAGGCAAAAGATGACAAGGTGCAAACCTCATCTACAGTGAAGAATGAAGATGTCAAAGCATCGGCAATGAAGGCTGGATCGAAAACAGAAGCCCAGGTTGGAGGAGAAAATTTGAACAAACACCTGACTGGTAAGATTTGTTTGAATAATGAAAGCACCAATTTGTCCTCTGAAAGAAATAAGCAGAAACAAAATGTTTCCGTGCATCCTAAGGATAAAGTGAAGACTGACAGAGAAAGTCAAATTCCTTCCAAATTCAATGCAGCCAAGGAAGATAGTAATATCTCACCCAATAAAGTTTCTCGTCAAACAGAAGGACAAGTCAAACTGCACAACCAACTTGGAAATACAACTTCAAACACAGAAGCCAATGTGATACATGGAAACAGCGAGCGTAATAGAGATGTGCGAGATCGATCAGAAGGTCAAACTAAACGCTTCAAGATTTCACCGTCAAAGAATGACGATCTCAAACTGTCGACCAAAAAGAATGAGCCTAGAACGGAGACCGAAGAAAATCCAACTGCATACACCAAAGACGACCTGCTGACTGGCAAAACTAAGAGCGGTGATCGGAACGAAGATGGTCCCGAAAATTGGCTTAATTCCCGAGATTATTGTGTCCAGAATCATGACGTTCAGTCGCTCGGCAAAAGGGAGACCAAGAACGAGTTGTCAACTGAATTGGAGAAGCAAGTGAAAAAGGGGAAAGCTGAACAGGTGCAGGCTTCAGAGAAGCCAGGGCTGAAGCCAGGGTTATTGCGGGAATCACAGCTAGTTAAAGATAGCTACGTATTGTCACTGATTTTGGAAGAAGAAAGGATGAAGGCAGATAAGAATAGCTCGGAGCCTAGTGACAGCAAAATTAGAAATAAACAACTTTCATCTGTACAGTACCAGATCCCAAATGATCCTATTCCACAGCCTTCGCCTTTAGTTAGGACAGAAGACAAAGAGGCAAGGTCCCGGCAAGATCTTCAGAAGGCTACCAGGCAGTGAAAGGCTCTTTGAAGACATCTGCTCATCCATCTGAGAGACATGATATTTCTGACACATCCACACCTGTAACGAATATCTCAAAGTCCGCAGCTAAAGCGTCACAAAGCCATTCGACTTTTACAGAGTTAAATGTGACATCAGTTCTTCCTGTTAAGTCTACTAACAGGTTGTCTATCTCTGACAGTCAGGATCAAGGGGAATCTAATTCCTCAAAGGTTAAAGTGCAGCTGTCAACTGAACAGTCCCAAAAGAACACAAAACCTGCTCTGAAACTGTAAACTATCTCGCCATTCCTATTAAGGAACAGAAGCCGCCTGTGCCTGCTCAGGTACAAACACCTACCTCTCCGTATTCCACTGGTTTTAAGTCAAGTCAGCCTACTCCATTGGCCATCCCATATTTTCAGCGCCAACAGAGTTGGGAGATTCCAAATCCTCACAGGCAAGAGAAAACGCTTTCTCAGCAAGTCTCCCAGGAATCGCAGTCTCCCGGTACATCTCTATGGAATCCATACAGTCTCTCTCAGGTCCCCAATCCATCGCAGCCCCAAATGCTTCCTTTCTTTCCGGAGGCAAGGACATTGAACTTTCCTGAAACATTTTGCGAGGTACCCCAGAGTGCTCAAGATATCGACAAGGCCCCAGTGCCAAGCTACCAGTATCCTCAAACAGAGAGGAAGATCCTGGTTGACCCAGAGACGGGAAAGTACTACTTTGTTGATGCTCCTGTCCAGCCTTCAAGGAAAATGCTTCTGGATCCAGAAACTGGTCAGTATGTTGAAGTTGTAATGCCTCAGGCTCAGCCCACGTTTGGCGGTTTGTACCAAATGCCATTCTCTCCCTATCTTCTTAATCCGAGTGTCGTGGCGCCATCGTATTTGCCAAATGTGCCATACCCCGGGTTGCTTGTAAACCCGCAGGTGTCCTCTCAAAGGCCTCCAGATATGCCGTCCCAACAAAGTGGCCTGCACACTAATCAGGCAGATAAGCAACATCACATCCATAGGAGCATATCTGCTGAGACTGAATATATGGAAAGCTTGTATTACATCCCAACAGGTATGACCCTATGTCCTAATCCTACCCTGCCGCAAGTAGCCATGCGAGCCAAGTCTTGCCTTGAAGTCAAAGAGTGCAAACCTACAGCCATTTGATCATCACAGCACAATGCTGGAGTGACTAGCATCTCGTCCTACGGTAGCTTTACAGTGGATTAAGGACAAGCATGACACACACATGTTAACTCAAGCGGAGGAAGAGGTATCGTGGCTGCAGTCAAGCGAGCAGCAAGCTTAGTGTCTGGTTGGAAGAAGACCGAACACACTGTTCATCACGAAAAGGATAAATGGATCTGTGTATTCACTCTGGAGATAACAGCTAAGATTTACTACCGTCTCAAACATGATTGACAAGCTTACACAACCATTCACAAACACCTTCCCTTATTTTCTGTTAACCACATCTAAGGAAAGTAGATCCATCCTATAGAGGATCTTGGTTACGGGGGAATGTTCTCATTGCAAGCCAACAGATTCTGGTTTGCTCCAGCATCTACAAGTATTTCACTTGGTAGCATTTGGTTGAATAACTGACTCATGCACCTCACAAAGAGTAGTAACTTGAGAGTCAAAATCTTCTAGTTACAATAGTGCAAATAGATATGTTACTGTCACAGAAGATAAGGGTATATAATTACTGAGAAAAGCCCCTGTGATTTTCCCAGAGTGATTTTCCAAGTGCACATTTTGAATCTTTCTCTCATTATTGGGGGAAAAAAAAGTGGCTTTGAAAAATGTTGTAATTCTTAACCAAAGTTTGCATTTAGTCAAGTTTATGTCAGTGGGTGGGGGCTGCATTTTGAAATTAACTCGGTTAGTTCCCGGGCAAAGTTATCCTACCCCTTTGTTTTTGTAATCTTATTATTTTTACTTTGTCACACTACTGTCATAAATTGTACGGCAAGGTTTGAGGAGAGATCAGCAAAGTGAGATTAGACTAGGAGGAAAACGTTCACACAGACTTGATTTGCTGAATGGTCTATTGCCATTTTATAATGTTCTTGTCATATTACTGGAGTAGGTATGGTTATTTTTTTTTGACGTGTGGGATATCAGATGAGAGAGATACGAAGGCTTTATGCAAGTATTAACATTCAGAAAATAAGGTATCGTGTTAGATAAGCAGCTAAAGAACTTTCCTGTCACCTGTGTTGTTCATCTTAAGCTGCTTTTTCCTAATTAACGAGGTGAGGAGGAAATTGGAACAAAATAAAGGATAAAGAAAGAGGCCATTTGCCCGTTGAAAAATGTGCTGCCGTCAAAAAAAGATTAATAAATTGATCCCTCAATCCACGACTGTTTGTGGGACACTGCTGTGCGCAATTGGCTGCCGTTTCGATGATGTGATAAGGCGCTGTATCAAATGCAAGGAATGTTATTATTATTGAAGCCCAAGTACTTATTCATACTGAATATCAGCATCTGTCTCTCTCTCTCTCGCTCTCTCCCTCTCTGTCATTGCTTCAAATCAGAGTAAAATTTAGGACATCTGTAGCAGGAAGAGAGACGGAGACAGAGAGAGAAAGAGAGAGAGAGAGATTTTCAATCCCGGTCTGGTATTCATCGGAGGAACCAGAGATGAAAGGATAGAGGTCAGAACGTGCCAGCCGGCTCGCTCTTCCTATAATCTCTTTCAAAAATAACCTTGCTAATATCTCAGCTCCTATCGCATGATCAAATATGCATTCGGAGCCTTGAAACTGAACCAAACACAACCGGAGGTCCCAGGTTTGATCAGCAGATTCTCTTGGTGCTGAATTACTTGATCTTAGCTCAGTAGTGTGGTCCTCGGTGCCCCGCTCCCGAGCACTGCCCAGTGGTTCCTGCTCGACAGCGGGTAAGGAGAAAATCAGGCTTGATTGACGCTGAAGTCTCATACTGTGCTAACGCTCGGTATTTACTCCAAATGGCCACTTATGCAACGTAGCAGAGGGTTTCCCGTGGCAGTGATGCTGTACTCTATCACCTTAGGATTGGCGGCGGGGGGGGCGGCGATGGGGGGGAAAGAATAATGGTTCAAACACGCTTTGAGGGTCAATGGATAGATCTGTTCAGCACACATAAAAGCAATGCCTATCATGGCACTTTGGTTAGCAATAGATAAGAGTCAATTATAGGAATTTGACAGCAGTATTTTGATTTGAGTGCCGATTGAAATATGGGTTAATCCAGTAACTAAGTTTTATTGTGTGCGTCTGTGCTTATGTATCATAACATGTAACCTGCACCACTATGAGACAAAGTTGACAATGGGGGCAAAGACTGTTGAGATGCGTGAGATCTCAGTAGTGTATATAAATAAAACCACAATTTAAATTTCTGATATCGATCGATTATCAAAGAGATCATGTTGCCTCCAACGGCAATTTGTTTTAAAAACTTTTTTGGGGTGGAGGGGGCGGGGGGGCGGGGTGGGTTCAATAAATATTAGTAATATTTCTGTGTGTTGTGCTAGGTAGAAAGAGAGAGAGAGAGAGACACATTTTGTATCTGATACAAATATTTACTTTTATTCCACCTCGTTCACTCATTATTCACGAATAAAGAAATCTTGAGAGAAATGCACTCCTTCCTACCTCTGTGACCCGCTAACGCAGGCATGTGTCAGACACCTGGCTGGAGCCCCGGCTAGAACTGGTGCGATGGGGGGCACGGAGTTTAGTAACGGTGAGTTATGCGGGTTGTGGAGTTTGGGATCAGTTGGATCCTGTGCCTGGTGGAACTGGGGAGACCGCTCAAGAGGGCATTTGAGAAGTCGAGTCGGGAGGTGTCGAACGCATGGAGTGTTTTGGGCTGCGTCTGGGGTGGGGTACACGGTCGGAGGTGGGCAATGTGGCTGAGGTGGAGGAAGGTGGTCCTGGTGAGGGACTGGATGTGGGGAAGGAAGGACAGCTGGGGGTCGAACTTGATGCCTAGGTTTCGCACTGGTTTATTAAGTCTGAGGGATAGGCCGGGGAAGGTTGAGGAAGTCAGAGCCGCTGAATAGAAGAAGTTGACGGGAGCAAATGAGTATGGCTTCCATCTTGTCACCATTTAGTTGGGGGTTATATATAATATAACAATCCCAATTTACTCAGCCTTTCACGTTAGGTTATTATCCTGATCAATCTCAGGATACCGAGACTGCAATCACTTTTTGCCCTTAGGTATGCGACTTCCATCTCCTTGAAGCCACTGAAATATGTTAGTATTTGGAGTTGTATTAAAAAAAGAGTGTTTTCATTAACCGAAAATTGTGTGGGGCAGTTCCAAGTACAGCGCTAAGACTACAGTGAATCATTCTGCACATTGTGTTGCCAGCTCAATTCATAGAATTGCTGGCAAAGGACTTGTAATACAATCTATCGGCAGCGCAGATCCCAGTGGCTTTACTGTGGGAGATGGAACAACTCATTGGAGTGTGCCAAGCGATGGTTGAACGAATGCCAGCAAGGGCAGCACGGGCTATAATTAGTAAAGGTCACCAGCTTTACTGCGTACTGTCAGACACAAGTTCGGGTAACTCAAGCTTTGCAGGTCCTGTCTGTGATGGTGTTAAAGGTCAGTCGGCCCAAATATGCTACATTATCATGAGGGGAATGGATGATCTTCGCTCTTCTTTTCCGCAGACCCTTTCCTGCACTCCACTGTTACGGCCTCTGATGCCGTTTCCCGGCTTTGTCACATTTCTTTAACGTCAAAATAAAAAAGGCTCAGTATCAGAACCCGTTACGATTTCTCAAAACATTTGTGTTCTACACTTCTATCCACTTGGCGGACTGCCGTTTGCGGTGGATGGGACTGATCGGTAATTGTTCTATTTGCACTTAGAACAAGCTAACGATAGTATAACTTTCGATCGCTAGTTCACTTTCTGTGCAATTGCAGCATTTTCTGTTTGCAGCTCTGATTCCGGCAGTTCACCTTCCCGTCGGTGTGTAAGGTAGCAAGGCTGACAGTGCAAAATAACCCTCTTGCCTCAGTCGTTAGCACTCTCTTCGGGGTCAAGAACGGAGCTGACAGTCTAGGCTACACTCCCGCGCGATAATTGTCGGACATGCCATGTAATCTCTTAAATAAAACGTTAAATAGAGGGTCCGTCTCCCTTTCTTCAAGTGGATTTTAAAGATCCCATGACACTATCGAAAGAGAAGTGGGTTTCCAACATCCATTCCTCGCCACTAACTGCGCAGATGATGGTGCGTGCTACCGGCCAAACTACTGCCCTCTTTCCTTCTTACGACACCCCTCACCCAGGGTAGCGCCTCCAGAGGGCTTAGCACAAGCCATTCCAGCCGACTGTGACCTGTTCAGGGCGACGAAACGCAACCCATTGCACCCATTGAATGCGTCCTAAGAAAAATAAGGGTGGATCACTGCGTCTGCAGTTTTGCAGTCAGTCGCAACAGTTTGCTGGTCCTAACCGAGCCCGACGGTCTCTGCTCACCGCCAGCTGATGACTATTTTCCGTGAGCTATGACTTTTCTTTCCCTCCGCTCACTTTCTTTGCAAAGCCTTGTGAGTTGGCCTCACCCGATTGATCAGTGTTTGCCAGGCCTCGTCGGCTCAGACCAGCAGTATTAATCATGCGCGTATCGCATTCCCCCTCTGGTGAGAATTCGCTGGGTTTCTTCGAAAAATGTGGTCTCATCCCCTTTCGATCGGCTGCGACGATTTCAAGGGAAAGGAAAAAGGAAGTTTGTCATCCGACACGATGGTGATTTACTACCTCTCTGATCCAGACGCATACCAGACGTGTGGGTTTGCACAGATGCTGTGAATGCTTTGCAGTCCCCGATCACTTGAAAGGTGGGCGAAAAAAATAAGGTCAACTTTCCGCCCGGGTAAAAAAATCCACGAGTCCCGTCATCCCGGCGCGGCGGACGCTCACCGGGTCCGTTTAACCGGAGGGCGTTAACAACAACAACAACAACAACAAGATTCCATTTATAAAGCGCCTTTCACGTCGGGAGGACGTCCCAAGGCGCTGCACAGTTGGGTCATGACCCGAGCAGGGGGGAAATGGTCAGGGTGAGGGGAGGGATGGAGGGAGCGAGGAGGGGGAAATGGTCAGGGTGAGGGGGAGGGGGGGAGCAAGGAGGGGGAAATGGTCAGGGTGAGGGAAGGGAGGGAGGGACGAGGAGGGGGTAGAGAGTCGAGAGGGGAGCTGAAGGCTGAAGGTCAAAGAGAAAGGTCTTGAGACCGGCCTTGAAGGAGGAAAGGGAGGAAGCGGCGAAGGCACTGGGGATGGACTTCCAGAGCCTCGGGGCTGAGAGGCTGAAGGCCACCGATGGTCGGGCGGTTGGGGCTATGAGTTAATCGAGTTAGTTCCGCCGCTTGCCCGAGGCGGGGGGGTTGGGGGGGGTGGGGGTGGTCGTGTCGCTCAGCGGTTGGAGCCCTTGCCTCCCGCTCGCAAGAGGACCCGGGTTCGATGCCCCCCGGGGGGGGCTGATAATCCCCTTAAGAGAGTGATTTGTTTAGAAATAACTTCGCTTCGATTCCGCGACCGCCGGGCGCGATCGGCTGCCGCACTCCCCCCCCCCCCCCCGCGAAACACACAGTCACTACGCTTTACAGTGTACTCTGGAAAGCGCTTTGAGACGGCTCGAAGACCTGATAAGGGGCTGCGACAAATGCCGGGATTATTATTATTATCCTCTCCCCACCCCATTGCCCCCCACTGCCCCCCCCTCTGTCCCATCATTGCCCCTCCCCTCTCCCCCATTGCCCCTTCCCCTCTGCCCCCCCATTGACCCCCTGACCCCATTGCCCTCCCCCTCTGCCCCCCATTGACCCCTGACCCCATTGCCCCCCCCCTTCTACCCCCCATTGCCCCCCGTTGACCCCTTACCCCATTGCCCTTCCCCTCTGCCTCCCCCATTGACCCCCCATTGACCCCATTACCCCTCCCCTCTGCCCCCCCATTGCCCCCCATTGACCCCTGACCCCATTGCCCCTCCCCTCTGCCTCCCCATTGGCCCCCATTGCCCCGACCCCTCTGCCCCCCATTGACCCCCTGACCCCATTGCCCCTTCCCCCCCCCCTCTGCCTAAGAAGGCGGGACATTCAGCCCCGCGTCGCGCGCGGCGGGTCACAGGCGCCCGTCCCCGATTGGTGCGCTCTTCGTCCGTGCGCGGCCGCGAACCAATCAGAGGCCGGGATGGCCCGCCGGCCCGCCCCGTCAGGGCCCTTCCCCCCCTCGGGTGATTGGTCGAGCCGAGTGACGGACGGCCGGGTTAGCCAATGGGAGGAGTCGGTCTGCGGCGCCAACGGGCCGAGGGGCGGGTTTGGGCCGGAAGCCAAATGACGTCAGCGGCGAGAGCAGCAGCAGCGAAGTGCTGCCCCGGGGAGTAAGTGTGAGGTCAGGAACAGGAGGGGAGGCCATTCAGCCCCTCCAGCCTGTCCCCCCCCCACCACCCCCCACACACACACACTCAGCCTCACTGAGCCGGTCAGGAACCCGGACACCGCCTCAGACCCCCGACCCCGTCACCCCCACCTGACACCCCGCCCTCGCCCTCGCCCGACCCCCTCACCCCCGCCCTCGCCCGACCCCCTCACCCTCACCCGACCCCCTCACCCCCGCCCTCACCCGACCCCCTCACCCTCGCCCGACCCCGTCGCCCCCGCCCGACCCCTCACCCCGTCACCCTCGCCCGACCCCGTCGCCCTCGCCCGACCCCCTCACCCCCGCCCCGGCCGACCCCGTCGCCCCCGCCCTCGCCCGACTCCACCGGCTCCCCATCCCCCAGAGGATCGGGTTCAAGATCCTCGTCCTCACTTTCGAGGCCCTCCACGGCTTTGCCCCCTCCTCCCTCTCTGACCTGCTGACTCCCTACCAACCCGCCCACTCCCTCCGGTCAGCGGGCTCCACCTGCTCCATGTCACCCGCCCGACCCACCCTACCATCGGTGGCCGGGCTTTCAGCCTCTCTGCCCCACACTCTGGAACTCCAAGACTGATCTCAAGACCTTTCTCTTCGATCGTGCATTCGGTCGCCCTCCCACCTCTCCCCCTTTCCTCACCCTCACCCCCATCCCTCCTCCATGCTCGGGTCCCGACCCCTGACGTCCTCCTGACGTGAAAGGCGCTCTATAAATGTCAATTTGTTGTTGTTCTGAGAGTATGTTTGCCCTGATGCTGTGGAGTCCTGTAGCTCAGTGGTGAGAACACTCGCCTCGCAAGCGAGAGGACCTGTAGTTGATTCCCGGGCAGGAACGAAACATTGGGCAGGTTCCCTTACTCCGCACACACTCATGTTTACCCAGTTTATCCACATCAGTGATAGGAAACATTTTGGAATCATTCTTTAAGGATGTGGTAGTGCGGTGTTTAGGGCACAATATAATTAAGCCAAGTCAACGTGGCTTTACAAAAGGGATGTCATGTTTGACAAATCTCATAGAGTTTTTTGAGGATATTTCCAGTAAACTGGATAAGGGAGAATCAGTGGATGTGGTCTGTTTGGACTTCCAGAAGGTATTCGATAAGGTGCCGCATAAAAGGTTAATCCAAAAGATAAGGGCCCATGGAATTCGGGGGAGCATATTAACGTGGATTGGGGAATGGTTAACGGGTAGGAAACAAAGAGTAGGGATAAACGGGTCCTTTTCAGATTGGCGGGATGTGACTAGTGGAGTGCCACAAGGATCAGTCCTTGGGCCTCAGCTATTTACCATCTACATCAACGATCTAGATGAGGACATCGCAGTTAATATATCTAAATTCGTGGATGACACAAAACTAGGAGGAAGTGTCAACACAGAGGACGACATTAAAAAAATGCAGCGAGACATAGGTGGTTGGGCAGGTGGGTGGCAGATGAAGTATAATAAAGGGAAGTGCGAAGTCATCCACCTCGGGAGCAAAAGAGTGGGTTATTTTTTAGAAGGGGAGAGATTGGAATGTGTTAGTGTCCAGAGGGACTCGGGTGTCCTTGGACACCAATCACAGAAAGTTAGTCTGCAGGTGCAGCAGCAATTAGGAAGGCGAACGGTATGTTAGCATTCATTATGAAAGGATTAGAGTATAAGAGTAGGGAAGTCTTGCTGCAACTGTATAGGGCCCTGGTGAGACCACACCTGGAATACTGTGTGCAGTTTTGGTCTCCTTATTTAAGGAAGGATGTACTTGCCTTGGAGGGGGTGCAGCGTAGATTTACTGGGTTAGTACCAGGGATGAAGGGGATGAGTTACGAGGATAGGCTGACCAATTTGGGCCTATATTCTCTAGAATATAGAAGAATTAGAGGGGATCTTATAGAAACCTATAAGATCATCAAAGGGCATGATAGAGTAGATAGTGGGAGATTGTTTCCCCCGGTTGGAGAAACTAAAACCAGGGGTCACAACCTTAAAATCAGAGGCAGCCCTTTCGCACTGAGTTGAGGAAGAACTTCTTCACTCAAAGGGCAGTGAATGTATGGAACTCGCTACCCCAAAGGGCTGTTGACGCTCAGTCCTTGAACATATTCAAGACTGAGAGAGATAGATTTCTTATTGCAAAAGGGATTAAGGGATATGGGGATAAGGCAGGGTCAGGTTATTAGCTGGAGTTAGATTAGTAGATCAGCCATGATTGAATGGCGGGGCAGGCTCGAAGGGCCGAATGGCCTACTCCTGCTCCTACATGTTATGTTATGTTAGCAGTAAGTAGGAATCCAGTTGTTAGTTGAGTGGCGGATCGCTTTTACCAGGAGTAATAATCCCTAAAAAAAATGTCGCTCAATCCACGACTGTTTGTGCGCAATTGGCTGCCACGTTTTGCTCACAAAATATGCAGTCAATTCACAGTGTATTCTGTGAAGCGCTTTGAGACGTTTTGAAGACGTTATATCAAATGCAAGGATTATTATTATTCCCCCAAGTTGAACCCACAGCGCTTTCTATTCACAGTCATTTCATTATAAAGAACTGTGAAAAACATGAAGTTGGCGGAAAATTAATTAGTGAGCATCACCTTTTGAACAGCTTCTCCCTGGCTGATTCCAATCAGCTTTGCTGTCTTGTTGGGAGCAAGCTAGCCCTTTCCTCGGCTCAAGTTATTCTGCAAATAGACGAGGCTGTAAAAGGGGGAAGAAATAGGAATGTAATTAACAAAGGGAGTCGAGCCAGATGTTCCCTCGAGAATGTATAATCATTTAACAGAGAGCCAGACGTGTTTTGTGTAGTTTTAAGCTAAAATTACCAAACTTGAGTTAGGATTTAGAACCTGCTAAATAGTGATTGTTTAAAGATTATTTTTCTCTCCCCTCCCAATCTCTTGCTCACTTTTTTTAAAAAAAAAAGTTTCTTAAAGCTGCTGCTTTTCGATTCCTCATTGGTCCAGCGCACATGAACTGAAGACACCGTGGGCCACATACAGTACACATCAGCACTTGGTTTCCTGCCAGCCTGCGGTTCACACTGTTCAATAGCCCCGTTTGAATGTATAGTATTGCCAATAATTGATGAAACCATGAAGCTTCTTGTTGCCGCCGTGCTGGTGATGTGTATGTATGAGGTTGCTGGCAGAGGCAATCACAGGGATAGGAAGAGGAAAGAAAGCGATCACTTTCCATATGCAACATCAGGAACGATTGAGATGAAATCTCCCGACCTGAATAACGAGGAGGCTCATTCTAACCACATGCCCGACCATCTCAAGTGTGATGCTTGTAGAGCTATTGCTTATCAGGTAGGTTCATTGCACTGTGGTGCTAACTATACAAATAGAGACATCCTGTGGATTCCTGTAACGTAGTGGTTAAACCTCGCAAGTGAGAGAACCTGGGTTCATCCTGGCAGGGCAAAACGTTGGACAAGTTTCCTTACCCCACACGCCTCTGTTTACCGAGCAGTTAAGTACGAAACAACGTTAACAGTAGATCGGTAGAATCAATGTTAATCGATTGGCGGATCGCTTTTCCAGGGGTAATAATTCCTTAAAAAAAAAGAATAATTTGGTCACTTAATTTACAACTGTTCGTGAGATTGCTGCCGTGCGCAATTGGCTTCCGCGTTTCGCCCACAAAACGCAGTCGTTTCACTTTACAGTATATTCTGTGAAGCGTTTTGAGATGTCTAGAAGTCGTAAAAAGGCGCTATATCCAATGCAAGGATTATTATTATTAGCCTACCTGTGGACGTGAGAGGCTGGGATTATTCTATTTGGGGAAGAGGGGATTGAGGGGAGATTTAATAGAGGTGTTCAAAATTATGAGGGGTTTTGATAGAATAAATACGGAGAAACTGTTTACTCTGGCGGTTGGGTGGGCCGGTTACCAGTGGACACAGATTTAAGTCAATTGGGAAAAGAACCAGAGGGGAGACGAGGAGACTTTTTTTTTAACCAGACAGTTATGAAACTCACGGCCTGAAAGCCCGGTGGAAGCAGATTCGATACCAGCTTTCAAAAGAGAAGTAGGTACATACCTAAAAAGGAACTGTGTACAGGGCTATGGGGTAAGAGCGGGGAAGTTGGGAGCTCTTTCAAAGGACCGGCACAGGCACGATAGGCTGAATGGCCTCCTTTGTGCTGTAAAATTCTACGATTCAATGATAACTTATTTGGAGATGCAAATAGCGCTCTTTGGAACCTTTTGCTTTGTACGATCACAAGAAAAGTAGAGGGGATAAAGAAAGGCCCATGTGATCCCATAGTTCCATAATAATAATAATAATCTTTGCATTGGATACAGCACTTTATTTTATCACAATGGCTCAAAGTGATTCACAGATTATTCTGTAAAGTATAGAGTGTATGTAGATAAATCTACACTCTACACATTCAGATAAATCTAAATCTACACTGATCTTTCCATTACAGTTTGAAGTTGCTTCTTAAATAAGACCATGACCACTTATCCACCTGCCTGGTGAATCTGCACCGCTGCAACCCATTCACATCAATATATATTTTTAAAAAGTTATTATGGTTAGGTCGTGAAAGTAATAAAGTTTACTCTTCACAGACCTTGGGCTTTTGAGCAAAAGAAAAGCATATTGTTTTAGCAACATGGCCAGCACTCAATTCAATATTTTCCCCATCAGTGAAGGGCACACAACCATAACACAGAGGACATTGCTAAGTTCTTTGTGAAGAGTGTCTAGGATGTATGTTTGAGTAGATATCAGTCATGCGAGTTGTATTTTTTCCAAGTTTAAATGGAACCTGGTAGATTGTTTTGAGTAATCCTCCATTAACAGGAAGCATAGATTCAGTATCAGACAGTGAAAGGGATTTCCCTCAAGCAGGGACCGAGAGATACATTACTTTTTAAATTCTGCAGAAATCCCAGTACCTGATCCTTATATGCACTTTTCTGTTCATTCCTGTTTACAGTCGACAACTCGCCAAAATATGGCGACATTCATTATGATTTAAGGGATGATTTGAATTGCTCTGTCAGCAATAAGAATAAGAAGAGCATAAAAATAATTCTTGTATTTGATACAGCACCTTATGCCTTCGAGACGTCTCAAAGCGCTTCACAGAATATACTGTAAAGTGAATTGACTGGACATTTTGTCGACGAAACACGGCACCTTTCCTGTTGAAATGCATTCAAATAAATTCGACAGAATTTACGTGAAGCAGTGACTGTATTTGTGGGCAAGTACAGCAGGGAATTTGCATAGCGTTATTTTCTCAGTTAATTTGATGAAAGAACCGACTTCCTCTTAATGTTCCTTTCAATACAGGCTTATGCATCACCAAATTAAAACGACCGATTTAAATATTTCTTTCCTTTCCTTTCCTTTCCATGGACTGTAAAGATTCAGGAATACCTTTCGAAAAAAGAATCTAAAATCTCTGCGGTGAAAGAGGGGAAAGCACAATTGAGCGAATCTGATTACATTGAGACACTGGATCTTTGTTGCAGTCAGAGCTGGGAAATGTGAGTGTTGGTAACAACAACAATTTATATTTATATAATAATAATCCTTGCATTATCACGTCTTCAATATGTCTCAAGCGCTTCACAGAATATTCTGTAAAGTGAATTGACTATATTTTGTAGGCGAAACGCGGCAGCCAATTGCGCACAGCAGCGTCCCACAAACACTCATGGATTGAGTGACCAATTTATTATTTTTTTAAGGAATTATTAACCCCGGAAAAGTAATCCAACAATCGACTAACAACCGGGTTCCTACTTCTCGAACTCAGGCGTCCCTTGCAAGGCGAGCGCTCTAACCACTGAGGTCCAGGACTGCACAATATATTTACATTAATATATTGCCTTTCACATCGGGAGGACACACCAAGGCGCTGGACAGTCAAGGGTTTGATCCGAGCTGGGGGTTGGATTTGAGAAGGAGGGGTGGGCTGGGAAGATGACCGAAGGAACGGTCAAAGAGGGAGGTTTTGAGACGGACTGTGAAGGAGGCGAGGAAAGGGACGAAGTGAATGGGCTCTGGGACGGAGTTCCAGAGAGAGGGGACGGAAAAGCTGAAGGCCCGACGGCAGAGTGGAGGATGGATGAGAATCGTGAACGCTATCCTCTGGGGGATGTGGAGCCGGGCGAGAATGGGAGCGATCGGCTCGCGGTAAATTATTCCTTTAGGGTTTCAACGCACGTATTCTACTGCGGTTAACTCATTTGTATCTTACTAGCCTGTAGGCAAATGATAGTTGTCCTGTGTTCTATTTACATGTATTTGTATTTTGCAGCTACGGAGTAATGGAAGTGAATGGTGTTAAGCGATTGTCAGGCCCAGGACTAGAGACTGAGGAACATCCGGGTGTGATGATGACGAGTGGACCCTGGCCAGCAAGGTGAAAACTTGACTCATTTTATTGTGGAAGTTCGGAAAAAAATAATGACTATTGATACCAAGTTTTATTCCATTAACAACAGTTATAACGATAAGCCATTGCAAGTGTAACAGTAACTGACATTCATAGTGCAACTTACAAGTAAAAAAACACCTGTTGAAGCACACTGCACAATGATTAATTGACATGATTAAGAGACGTGACCCATTCCTGTGCTGACAATGTTCTGTGTTATACTAATAACCCTTCTATTTGATATAGCGCCTTATCACTCCTTCGAGATGTTTCAAAGCACTTTACCGAATATACTGTAAAGTGAATTGACTGTATATTTTGTTGGCTCTTTGCGATGTCTAGAAGATGTGATAAGGCGTTTTTATCAAATGCAAGGATTATTATTATTATTAATACCTCTGCATATCCTTCCCACAGGTTGTACAAAATGTGCCAGGCATATCTGGGGAGTTGACAGAAGAAGAAATTTACCAGGAGTTCCGGAATAATCGGGATTACTTGGAAGATTTCCTTTGTTATGATAAAAATGGAACTTGCACTAAACTGGGGAATACTATCTGGATCCCTCAGAAAGAGGAGTTTTAGTTCAATGCACTAAATCACCAGTAAATTAAACATCTTCATCTCATTATCAGTTAACATTTCGAGATTTAGTTCCGCTTTTAGCACCTTGAGGTATGAAAGTGACACCCTGTGACATGGAGACAGTTACACTGAAAGCCTCACACAGAATGCAAATGTCACAGTCAGCAAATTTGTGAGTAATCAAAGGAGAATAATCCCTTCAAAGCAGAAATAATAATAATTTGGTCACTCAATCCATGACTATTTGTGGGACACTGCTGGGAGTAATTGGCTGTCGCGTTTCGCCTACAATATACCCTTTACAGCATATTCTGTGAAGCGAACATACTTTACAGTATATTCTTTTGAGACGTCTTGAAGACGTAATGAGGCGCTATAATGCTAGGATTGTTAATATTATTATCTGTTCAAAAACATGGTACAAAATAAACTGATTAGTGAACACCAGAAGCTTTTAACCGTTATAGAGACTCACTGGGGTGAAAAATGTAGTGTATTTTGAGCAGTTGAACCCTAACATCAACAAATATTTTGTGTGCAGGTGCAAGGCAAAGATTTGCCTAGAGATATACAGTCACTACACTTGATAGCAGTTTCCTGCAGATTGCTTTGAGACGTTTTCACATTCTAGGGTGTAATACCAAATGCAAGAAGTAATATTATAAAAGGTTTAGTTTATCTGGTGGAATCCTGAGATTAAGATTAAATGATGCCTACAGTTTTGACTGCAAGTTAACTTTTATTATTATTATAAACGCATGTGAGACATGTTTTTCAAAATTAAATTGTATTTAAAAATGCGGTCTGGCTACTTCTTGGCTGGAAAACATGTAGTCATCTACGAAACTGGTCAGATGTATATTTTTCTGCTCATCAAAGTGTGCAGATGTCAGTGGTCACATTTATATAGTTTTGCAGTATTTTTGTACAGAATCTTACACATCAAGGTCTCTGGCCTGTTACTCCCCCTGCCTCGGGGTCGTGCTCTGGGACCCTACCCTGAGTGAAGGGCGCGGTATAAATGCAAGTTGTCGTTACAAGCACCATTGCGGTGTCGGGAGGACGTCCCAAGGCGCTGGACAGTTGGGTTGGGACCTGAGCAGGGGGGGAAATGGTCAGGGTGAGGGGAGGGAAGGGAGGGAGCGAGGAGGGGGAAATGGTCAGGGTGAGGGAGGGAAGGGAGGGAGCGAGGAGGGGGTAGAGAGTCGAGAGGGGAGCTGAAGGCACGGTCAAAGAGAAAGGTCTTGAGACCGGCCTTGAAGGAGGAAAGGGAGGAAGCGGCGAAGGCACTGGGGGATGGAGTTCCAGAGCCTCGGGGCTGAGAGGCCGAAGGCCCGGCCACTGATGGTAGGGCGGTTGGGGCGGGGGATGTGGAGCAGACCGGAGCCAGAGGAACGGAGGTTATGAGTAGGTAAGTAGGGGGATAGTAGGTTGGAGAGGTAGGAGGGAGCGAGGCCGTGAATGGCCTTGGAGGTGAGGATGAGGATCTTGAATTCGATCCTCTGGGGGATGGGGAGCCGGTGGAGGCGAGTGAGGGCGAGGGCGGGAGTGATGTGGTCGCGGTGTCTGGTGCGGGACAGTACACGAGCTGCAGAGTTCTGAATGACCTGCAGTGTGGAGGGAGGACCGGGAAGGCTGGTGAGGAGAGAGTTCCCATAGTCCAGCCTTGAGGTGATAAAGGTGTGGACCAGAGTTTCAGCCGTGTGAGGGGTGAGGTAGTGCCGTAGTCTGGCGATGTTTTGGAGGTGATGGAAGGCGGTGCCAGTTGTGGTGCGGATATGGGGAAGAAAGGACAGCTCAGGGTCGAACAGAACCCCGAGGTTCCTGATGGCTTTGAGAGGTGGAGAGTGCAGCCTTGGATGCTGATGCTGTCAGTGCCTGAGGTGCGGAGGCGCTGACGTGAGCCAATCAGGAGGGCCTCGGTTTTTCGCACGTTGAGCTGAAGAAAGTTGTCTCTCGTCCAGGACTCGATGTCGGACAGACAGCTGTCAGGACATCGGGGCTCGTGGAGTTGAGGGTAGAGGAGGAAAGGTAGAGTTGGGTGTCATCCGCATACATGTGGACGTTAACCCCATGTCTGCGGATGCTGTCACCACAGGGGGAGCATACAGTGGGTGAAGAGGAAGGGACCGAGAACAGAGCCCTGAGGGACACCGCACGAGACAGTGCGGGGGGTGGAGGAAAAGCCGTTAGCGGAGACAAAATGAAGACGGTGGGAGAGGTACGACCTAAACCACTCAAGGACAGGGCCTTGAAGGTTGAGGTGGGAGGACAAGCGGTGGAGGAGGATAGAGTGGTCGACCGTATCGAATGGGCAGCACGGAAACCCGACTGGAGGGGTTCCAAAAGTGGGTGGAGAGGAAAGAGCGCAGCTGGGAGGCGACGACCCTTTCGAGAACCTTGGACAGGAAGGGGAGGTTGGAGATGGGCCGGTAGCTTGATAGCTGCGACGCATCAAGCCCGGGGTTGTACTTCGCCTCCAGGATTATCCTGGAGTAGAAGGACGACTTGGCCGAGGCTAGAGTGGAGCGGTAGGTCTTGAGGAGGTCCAGCAAGATTTGCCGGTGGACCGTAAGGCCAGATTTGAGGCAGGTGCGTTCAGCGGCCCGCACCTGGCTCTTCAGTGAGCGGGGGTGGGTGGTGAACCAGGGGGAGGAGCGAGAATAGGAGACAGTACGGCAGGTGATGGGGGCAAGAGCGTCGAGTGCGGAGGAGAGGGTGTTGTGGAGGAGGGTGAGAGGAGAAGAGGGATCAGTGAGGGATGAAGGCCAGAGCGAGAGGCGTTCAGAGGACTCCAAGGCAGAGATTGTTTCCTCTATCCACACAATGTACTATTACCATATCTCCAAAGGAACTCCCTTCCTGTTCCTAATCTACAATTAAATTCCACGACCCAATTTCTTTCGTCTCTCGGAAACAACAGCTCTTCTATTCCAAGCCACTTCAAACACTTGAAGCACGATCCAACGAGTTACATAACCACTTGATTGTTGACGGCAGTGGGGTTTCTTTTGAGGTCACAAACTTCAACTGTTCTATAATAAGTTCACACTCAGCCATGTCAAGGTTAATGCTTTTTGTGATCACTCAGCGACTGTAACATTTTTGCTTTCAGTTACGACCTTCTGCCTCCAATCCCTCTCTGACTTTTATTTTACTTTACTTTGTTCAAGGATGACGGGATTTTTATCCAGCCTTGCCGCTTCCTCATCGTTTCATCGGTTCATTTGGACCTGGTTCGGTTCCCAGGCAGGGTGAAATCTTCGGCAAGTTTCTTTACTCCGCGCGCTCCTGTTTCCCTAGCAGGCAAGCAGGAACCCGGTTGTTGGTCAGTTGGCGAATCGCTTTCCGGGAGTAATAATTCCTTCAAAAATAATAATAATTTGGTCACTCAATCCACGGCTGTTTGTGGGACACAGGTGTGCTTTTTCCCACAAAATACGCACAGTCAATCCACGTTGCAATTTATTTTGTGAAGCCCTTCGAGACGTGATAAGGCGCTATAAAAGTACAATTATTATTATAGTGCTCCAGTGCTTAAACCTACTTCGGATCTTAAAGGATTGAGTTAATATTGACATCAAGTCCCCGGGATGAGGGAAAATTTCCTACAGTTGAATGTGAACAAGACTGAGGCCCTCCTGATTGGCTCACATCAGCACCTCCGCACCCTCAGGCTCCGGTAGCATCACCCTCCATGGTGGTACGCTACAACTCACCGCCAGTCAGGAACCGAGGTGTCTTGTTCGACCCTCAACTGTCTTTTCTCCCCCACATTCAAGCCATGACCCGCTCTGCCTTCCCTCACCTCCATAACATCGCCCAACTCCGCCACTACCTCATCCCTCAACCGCTGAAACTCTTCTTCATGCCTTCATCACCTCCAGGCTCGACTACGCAAACGCCCTGCTTGTCGGCCTTCCCAACCCCTCCCTCCACAGGCTGCAGATAATCCAGAACTCCGCAGCCCATGTCCTCTCCCACACCAAACTCCATGACCCCATCTCCCCCACTCTCGCCCGACTCCACTGCCTCCATATCCTTCAGAGGATCCAGTTCAAGATCCTGGTCCTCACATACAAAGTCCTCCATGGCCTCGCCTCACCCTACCTCTGCCACCTCCTAACCCCCTACTAACCTGGCCCATTCCCTCCGCTCAGCCGGCTCTGCCCTGCTCCACGTCCCCCGACCCACCCGCCCCACCATTGGCGGGAGAGCCTTCAGTCTCTCTGCCCCCAACCTCTGGAATTCCATCTCCCAGTCACACCGCCTCGCCCCCTCCTTCAAGTCCCGCCTCAAGACCCTCCTCTGCGACCATTCCATCGGCCTCCCTCCTTCCCCTCCCCTCCCTTACACCCCCCAACCCCAGCTCGGGTCTGACATGCTGTACTCTGTCCAGCGCCTTGGGACGTCCTCCCGACGCTATACAAATGTAATCTTGTTGTTTTGTTAATGGAATTGGTTAATCGTTAGTGAAATACAATTGCAGGCTCGGAGTCCCCTTCTCCCCCCAGTATCTTGGGTGTACATGCTGATGGTTTATGATTCACTCCTTATAATAACAGGAACTCAAACCGTGAAACACAAAAATTTCAAAGTATTTTTTTCCCGTTACCAGAAGAATAGAGAAATGAAAAGAAACAGCCTGACTTCATAAACCAACCCGTGCAATGAGATGGAAAGGGGAAGCAAAACGGGGGGCGACAAAGGGAAAGAGAATGGCTTCGATCTATATGATCATTTGACAGAAACTTCTAAGTTATTACCACTGCTTTTTTTAATGAATTTATCAAAATAACTTGCTTTACTGGGTAATCCTAGAACAACTAGATATCTATGCTTAGTATTGTGCCCCAATCAGCCTCAGTACCCCGATTGACTAATTTTGCACCAGATTTAAGCAGGGAAATTCCCCATATCTTTACATGCAGTTTCAGTTAATGTATAAATAACCGTTTCATGTAAACAGATACATAAATAGGGAAAAATGGTCTTTTGGTAGTCTCAAGGTCAAAAGTTCCACGACTTGTGCTCGCAGTCCGGGCTGACAATCCTCGTGTAGTATTGGGGTCCACTGCAACGTCAGTGATTGTGTTCTTCAGATAAACAGTGTCTCCACCTGTTCAGAGATGGATGTCGAATATCCTGTGACACAACTGAAAAAGATTAGGCAGTTTCTGCCAGGATCCCTCCCGCTAAATCGGCCATTCACTCCATGCTAATTTATCTTGCACTGAACAGTAGAACCAGAGAACTTGGCCTGCAATTGAAGGTGCGGGGAGAGGGTGTGGGGGTGGTGGTGGGTGGGGAGTTCTGAATAAATTGTAGAAACGCTACTTCAGTGAGAGAGTAGTAAACTTATGGAACAGGCTCCCTGGTGGAAGAAGAAAGTGTCGTTTGCTTGAAGAACAAATTAGATAGATTTCTGTTAGAAAATAATATCTGGGGGAGACCGTATAAAGTTTGGGGCATGACATTTTAAGTGACTGGCGAGTATGGTGGAAGGTGCAATAGATGGACCTTTTTGCCTGGCAAATTCTTATGTTCTTATGGCTGCTTTTAGGGCCTTGCTGTCCGTAATGTGGCCGTCCCATCTGTCTACAGTCACTGCACCTGACGGCGATAACCTGTAAAGTTTTTTTTATGACTTTCACGTTGAAGGTGCTGTGCCAAATACAAGGTTATTATAATTGCAGGAAATGGAAGCAGATTAAATATTTAGGAGGTGGACGGTTAAGATAAAGTGTGCCGAGCCACCCCGGGCAGCTTGTCATGTTATCTGAGTCTTGAGATAAGATTATAGCTATGTTGTCACCTGCCACTTTGCTGTGTTTTTTCTACGTGTGCGGTTACTGGCTGTATTTACCTACATGAAGTTCGATTTCATTTTTAAATCTTGGTCCGCAAAGCTATTCAAGGCTTTTCTTTCTGGTGAAATTACCTTTCTGAGACTTTTCAACGATGATGAAATCCTCACCCTCACCTACAAGGCCATTCACGGCCTCGCTCCCTCCTACCTCTCCGACCTACTATCCCCCTACCTACCCGCCCGTACCCTCCGTTCCTCTGGCTCCGGTCTGCTCCACATCCCCCGCCCCAACCGCCCTACCATCGGTGGCCGGGCCTTCAGCCTCTCAGCCCCGAGGCTCTGGAACTCCATCCCCAGTGCCTTCGCCGCTTCCTCCCTTTCCTCCTTCAAGGCCGGTCTCAAGACCTTTCTCTTTGACCTTCAGCCTTCAGCTCCCCTCTCGACTCTCCACCCCCTCCTCGCTCCCTCCCTTCCCCCCCCTCACCCTGACCATTTCCCCCTGCTCGGGTCCTGACCCAACTGTACAGCACCTTGGGACGTCCTCCTGACGTGAAAGGCGCTCAATAAATAGAATCTTGTTGTTGTTGTTGTTGTTGGATTTGATACCATAGAATCATAGAGTTATACAGGACAGAAGGAGGCCATTCGATGTCATCGTGTCTGTGCTTGGTTTTTTGAAAAGAGCTGCTCAAATCAATCCCATTCCCCACTCTCTCCCCATAGCCCTACAAACGTGTCCTCCCCAAATAATGATCTACTTCTCTCTTAAAAGATATTATCGAATCGGCTTCCACCAACCTCTCAGGATATATCCGCTGACTATAATGTTGAGACGTCTCAAAACGTTTCTTGTTCTAACCTTTTCGATGCTCAAAATAGCAGCAGCTTCACAATCAACTCATCGTGAAATATACCTCAAACACTGGGGTGTTTTGTATGGTTTCACATAGGTCTCCCTATCTGGACATCTCCAGCTCATTCCCTCCCTCCTTCCTTCTCCACCACCATTGACCCTTGCCTTAAGAGCTCGCAGCTGCCACCCACGAACAGCTTGGGTGAGGGTGTGCTGTATGAACGCATGTTGTTGTAAATCCACGGTCTGTCTGCCTTCACAAACCTAAATACACACGTATATATTTGGCTAACATCTTGTAAACCTCTGAGTAAGACCTTTGTGGCTTCCAGCCCACATCAGGACTTTCAACTCCGAGTTTGGTCTGACCTATCAGTGCATTACTAGAGGGTGGGGGCATTACAGTGTCAAATATGCAGCTCTTCAAAAGAGATGTTAAACTGTGGTCCTCTCTGAGGAACCAAATTCCCCTTTTTTTGTCCAGCTCAGGGTGGGATTTTCTGTGCTGTTTGAAAACCGCCCCTTGAAACTGACGAAAGAGAACTGATGCATTAAACTACCCCTCCCACGCGTTTCACTGAAGCTGAAACACTCAGTGTGTCTGAATGTTCCTTGGTGAAGCACTGAGAGAAGCTGGAACTTTAACTGACTGAGAGAGAGAGAGAGAGAAATGGCGTTCAGAGTTACAGCGATTCTCCTGTGCCTTGCCAGCCTCTCCGGTAAGCAACTTTTTCTAGTTGTATATATATGCACATACCGACGTTGTTAAACCGATCAGCCAGCTCTTCGTGAATAAAACCAGTTCAGTTTAACCCTTCCCTCCTGTTTATTCAGTGTCTGTCCGCGTCTGTACCTGTCTATCTTACTTATCGAAATCTTTCTTGTTTTAAGTTGAAACAAGTGGAAATGAAGTTTGAGACGGCCTGTGTGTGTGTGTGTGTGTGTGTGTTCTGTGTGTTTCTCTCTCTCTCTCCCCCTCTGCGAATTATTGTAGTGAGTGGTATACTGAAGTCGATGCAGTGTTAGTCACGGAAATATCTGAGCCACATCACTGTATGCTCGAGAAAGCACTAAATTCACTTTGCAGTATATCCTGTGAAGCGCTTTGAGACGCGATAAGGTGCTATGTCAAAGGCAAGGATTATTATTGTTATTATAGAGAGCATTGCCGTGTGAATATTGCTGCAAAAAAAGTGTTTTGAGAACCAACCAAGTGTTGCTAGACAACTTTCTGAATAAGCCAGGGAGTGTCAAGTGGTTTTCTGTGCATTTCTGACAGATAGTTTTGATGGGATGAACAATAATAAACTCCTTACATTTGGTGTAGCGCATTATCATGTCTTTGAGACGTCTCAAAGCGCTTCACAGACTATACTGTAAATTGAATTGCCTGTATTTTGGGGATGAAAATAAAGAGGTGGAATATTTGTATGATATTTGGATGGATCTCTCCTGTATTCCCTCCCTCCTGAAAGAGTTGGTAGAGCCATGAGGCCCATCTCCACTCCTTTCCCTTTAGTTTATGTAAACCGAGCTATATTTTCTTTGCTTATTCTCTTTCTGCTGCTTAACTTGAGTTATTTGTAGTGCGCCGGGGGCACTGTTAACTGTTAACTCACTAGCAATAAGGACGGTTAGAAGAGACGAAAAGGACTTTTATCATTTTTATCATTAGCAAGAAACTGACGGTCTGATTTAAATAAAAGTGCTATTGGTATAATTGGATTGGAATTAAAAACAATTTGATCACTCAATCCACGGCTGTTTGTGGGGACGCTGCTGTGCGCAATTAATTGGCTGTTGCGTTTCGTCCACAAAATATATAGTCAATTCACTTTACAGTATATCCTGTGAATCGCTTTGAGAGGTCTCGAAGACGCGATAAGGCTCCATATCAACTGCAAGGATCATTATTATGATTATTATATTATAGATGACGGTCTGAATGTTGTTACAGGAGCTGACAGCAGTCTGAGTGCTCCCGAGGACCTTCATTTTGTCTCTGTGAATACTGAAAACATTCTACACTGGAGGCCACCTTCAGACTCCCCCACACCAGCTCTGTATGACGTCCAATACACAAGGTAACCACAGCTCTTTCTATCTCAAGTGGGAGTACAAGACTGCACGCAGACGCCCTGGGACGCTGTCCTGGGTGAGGGACGCTATGTGAATGCAAGTTGTTGGTGTCGATGTTGTTAACCGCAGGCTCCGTATTGTCCCTGGCGCGTAGAGTCATTTACATTAACCAGCTTTGTGGCTGGGAATATGACATTTAAAAGAGTCTCGGTTTAAGTTTCTTAACAAAAAAACACGTGTCAGCCTACAAGGGGAATGGAGAAATGAAAGGGGATAGAGTGAGGAGCGAGCACCAGCACAGCCGAAAGGGAAAGAGCCAGGGAAATGGGATTAGTGCAGAGTGGCTCCAGAGTGGGGTAAGAGATCACCAGTTCAACATTGGACCAATTTAATTTCTGCGATGAATAAGTATTTTTACGCAAATTAACTCTTCTCTGCTGATGTGTTCGGTGAGCTTAACCCGCCAGGAACGTGAGACATATAGCTCAACATCTTCCGCCCACAGAATGTTGTTAACCAGAGAAACTGCAGGTTTGAGATTGGTTTAGTGATAAATTCATAACGTGAAATACAGAAGCAGCTCCCCACGCCCCCCCCCCCCCCCATCCCCCCCACCACCAACTCCCCACCCCATCAGCCCGGAAACTGCGCTTTGTGGTAGAGATGCCAATTGTGTTTGGTTTCCAGCTCCGTGCACGTGTGTGTGAGCTTGTGTGTGTGAGCTTGTGTGTGTGTGGGTGTGTGTATGAGCGTGTGCATGTGCATGTAAAGTGTAAAGTTCACAGCCTCCCACCATTACTGCAGCTCGACTCGCAAATAATCTGCTCTTACATCAAGTCCTTCCGTGTGCATCAGCTCAACCACAACAAGAACAAGAACAGCGACCCCCCCATCCCCCCCCCCCTCACCCCCTCCCCCTCACCCCCTCCCCTCACGCGAGTTAGCGTCTCGGAGCGCTCCGCGATGGCGGAATCACAATATCTCGAAGCACATACAGTAATTTACGCCCAAGCGATCTGTCTTGTTTTATGAAGAGTGGCGGCCATGTCGCGTAGAGCAAGATCTCGAACACGTCCATAGAGCGAACGAGCAGCTTATCCGCGGACACTGACTGGCGCAGCGTTCAGCTCTTGTCACACTGCTGACCTGTTTTAGGCGTGTTCTCACCGTGGCAATGTTTCGCCCACAAAAACACACAGTCGCTTCACTTTACAGTGTTTCCTGTGAAGAGCTTTGAGACGTCTCTAAGACGTGATAAGGCGCTGTATCAAACGCAAGGATTATTATTATCGTAACGGGAGACGGGGTGGGATGTAATGTTGCTGATTTTCCCCTCGCGTGTGTGTTATAATAATGACACAGGGATGTTTCAGGGAATACCAGAAGGGGAAGTTACTAGTGACACGCTTTCTCCACGCAGAGGGAGGCGAAAGTGTGGAACGTGCTGCTGTAGAGGGTCGTGTAAAAAAAAAAAGGGAAGCGAGTCCAGAGGGTAGTGCTGAGGCCCCATCGTTAAAATGAGACATGAAAATCCATCTGAATTTTTTCAATATTAATTTAAATTGCTTTTTCACTAAATAATCTGAAGGATTCATCTGAATTCTTAAGATTTTAATGAGGTCGAATCCTGTAGCTTAAGGCCATTGGCTCGCAAGCGAGAGGACATGGGATTGATTCCCGGGCAGGGCGAAACATTAGGCAAGTTTCCTTACCCCACACCCCTCTGTTTACCTCGCAGTAAACCCGCAGTAAACCCGCAGTAAACCCGGTTGTTAGTTGATTGGCGTATTGCTGTTACGGAGGTAATAATAATACCTTTAAAAATAGTTGGTCATTCAATCCATGACTGTGGGACTGTGTGCAATTGGCTGCCGCGTTTTGCCCATAAAATACAGTCAATTCACTTTACAGTATATCCCTTGAAGCACTTTGAGACGTCTCGAAGATATGATAGGGCGCTATATTTAAATGCAAGTGTTACTATTCTAAACCAAATCCCATCTGTGCCTGTGTGGATGTGATGCTAAAGATCTCATGATTGTATTGGGGGGGAAACATAGACTTTCTCCTCGCATCCTGCAGATAAATTAATCATTCACTTTATGCCTTTGTGTGGGATGTTGACACGGGCAATGTTTGCCTACAGATAAGCAGTCACTACGCTTGACAGAGATTCTCCGTGAAGCCTTTTAACTTGAGATTCTTTAATGTTGCGGACATTGTCTCAAATGAACGGATTATTTACTCTCATAGCAAGTTGCATCCTGTTGCAACGGCCGGTCAATAACCTGTGTGTGTGACCTTGTGCCTAGTCAAGGCGAACACTCCACAGGTTAGTCCACTCTTGCATGCAGTGAGCTCTAACTAGTTAATGATCTACTCCGACCTCAGCCAGCTGCAGAATTCGCAAACACATTTCTTTCCTTATTTAAGGAAACGTCATAAAACCCAGGGGTCCTGCGTGCCTTTGGCAGCTTACAACCACCACAAAAACCAAGAAACTACGCTCGCACAGCGCCTTTCACGTCAGGAAGATGTCCCAAGGCGCTGGAAACAAAGTGCCTCACAGGATATACCGCAAAGTGAATTGACTTGTATATCTTGAGGACGGAAAATATTTGACGGTTTCCCAATTTTGAGGATTCACAATTCAGACGGCTCCATAAACCGCAGAGCAAACATAAAAAAAACTGTTGATTTTGACCCCATTATTTCTTTGGCGTTTTAGTGAAAGGAATCCCAGAACAAAACCCCCAGGTACGTCAGGGTGAGAAGGGCAGTTTCAGGATGGACCTGGGGTGGGGAGCATTCCTTACAACAGAGGGGCATTGATTAGTGAGGTACCATTGAGGGTAGTTTGATGCTGTAATGGGGAGAGTGGAGGGCTGGTGTCCTTGAAGGATGAAATCAATTGGGCCGAAAGACCTTCCTAATCTGAACTGATGGTGTCAATCGTGTATGATGTAAGCGCTCTGGGGCGCTATCCTGCGTGAAAGGGCGCTATATAAATGCAAGTTCTTGTTGTTGACGAGCCTCCTGTTTGGTCGGCAGGTACGGTGTAGGAATTTGGATAGAGGTGCCACACTGTACGCACATATCAAACTGGTCGTGTGATCTGACGTTGGAGACCTGGGAATTCAACGATACCTTCATCACCCGAGTCAGGAGAGTTGTGGAGAATGTGACCTCGGAATGGCAGGTGGCAGATTACTTCACGCCCATCGAATCCAGTAAGTAGTGTAGGGATTGACACAGTGAATACTGATGTGCTTCGCGCACATATTTGCAAATCCTGCGCCACAGTCACTCAATCCACAGCTGTGTGTGGGGACGCTGCTGTGCGCAATTGGCTGCCATGTTTCTCCCACGTATATACAGTCAATTCACTTTACTGTGTATCCTGTGGAGCGCTTTGGAACGTCTCGAAGACGTGATAAGGTGCTGTATCAAATGCAAGGATGATAATTAATTTGAACCTTTTGTTTCTCTCAGCTTCTCTAAGCTGCCCGACCTTTGAGGTAAAGGCGGACTTGAAGCAGATTGTAGTCAGCATCAATCCGCTTGTTCTGCAGAGAGGTTCGCTCTTCAGGGCCATGACGGACATCTTCGGGTCTGCTCTGGTCAACAAAATTCGATTACGAAAGAACGGCTCTGATCAGGTACATTTTCACTGCAGTTAACAGATGGAATGAAAGACAGAGTAAATGCATCTCCTCGCGGGAGCTATTTCCTGATATTATTAATCTGTTTTACTCGCCCGCATGCGTCTTTTCGTAATATAATTTCGCACAAGTCAGCTTCGTACACGTACTTGTGCTCACAATAGGACTTCATACATGTATTCGTAACCAAACAGAGTGGTACAAGCCGGGGCATTGGGGATGAGACGTGTAGTTTAGTGGTTAGAGCACTCGCCTCGCAAGCGAGAGGACCCAGGTTTCATTCCCGGGCAGTGCAAAACGTTGGGCAAGTTTCCTTACTCCACCCGCACACACGTCTCTGTTTATTTTGCAGTAAGCAGGAACCTGGTTGTTAGTCGATTGGCAGATCACTTTTCCGGAGGCTAATAACCCCTCCAAAAAAAAATTTTGTCACTCAACCCATGACTGTTTGTGGGGACGTTGCTGTGCGTAATTGGCTGCCGCGTTTCGTCCACAAAATATACAGTCAATTCACTTTACGGTGTGTCCTGTGAAGCGCTTTGAGACATCTCAAAGGTGTGATAAGCCGCTGTGTAAAATGCACGTATTATTATTACTATTATACGAATCGGTGGGAACGGGCGGGTATTCTGGAAGGATGAGATCAAATGGGCCAAACGACCAGCTTCATCCAAACCTCTCGTGTGACCTAGTGATTTGTTGGGCCAAGTTGTACTCACTGGAGGCACTCTCATTCTCAGCACGTCTGGGAGTTTAAAGCACTCGGATCGTGGCGATCCATGGAACTGAAACCAGGAGAGGTTTACTGTGTCAGCGTGCAGACAAGCATCAGCACGCGTCCCAACCATTCCAACTTCTCCAGTGAGAAATGCCAACACATTCCACAACTGCCACAAGGTAAGCCTCTGATACGTGAATGCCACACAGCTTCCACCACGTGGCTGGAGAGGGAAAGGCACGGGAGTAGGATTAATCGGATGGTGTGAGGAGGGTCCGGGGTACCCTCCGATGGGGTGGGGGCAGGGGGGGGAAAGGCTGACAAGTTTGCCAACAACTATGGCTGCTTGCTGGATTACCAGCACAATGCTCGGAGGCTCCTGGCGGCCTGGCCCTGGACTGAGGTGCCAATTGGCGTCTGGCTTCCAACAACAACTTGCATTTAAATAGCGCCCTTCACGTGGGGTAGCGTCCCGGAGCGCTTGGCAGGGCCGGAGTCTGATGACAACAGAGGCCGGTCCACATCATCAGTCCCGGCGCACAGATTGCATGGACGTAGCCTCAGCCTTCAGGATGGCTTACGGATTAACAAGAGGGTTTTGCTTGTCTCCAGGCTTGGAGATCGGGAACGTGGCGATTGGCGCCGCCAGCGCTGTTGTCTTCACCATCGTTGTGCTGTGTGTCTTCTTCGGGATTTTCTACCACCACCGGAGCAAAAAGCCCGAGATCCCGAGCGTGCTGGTAAGTTCCTGAGAATGTCGGAGTGCAACGTAGAGCGGAAATTCCGAGAAGAACCACGGATAACCTGCGATGTCTCATCACTGCACATTGCATCATGTTCTCATCACTGAGAGTCTGGTCTCTCCTCTCCCGGCTCCCCCCCCCCGAGCTCTACAGCACTCAACCACGCACACACACACACACACACACACACCACAAGGCTCCAGGCTCACTCCGTGCTGAGTTATTGAGCTCAGATCAGGGCTTGCATCTGCTTGAGACTGGGAAAAGAACAAAGTCAGCCTGAGTTCCCCCATAGTCCTCACTATCCAGAACTGCTGAAATGTGCGGGTGGGTGTGTGTGTGTGTTTGATGGTTGAGTACAAAAGGATAATGAATTTCACTCCCTAACGAGCCTCACTGGCCGCTACACCCAGTCGGAACCAAGCACCACAGCGTTAAGAACGCTGTTTACCAGAGCCTGGGGGTAAATCTCTCTGTGAGACACTTAACTTTAATAATAATCCTCTGATTACTTAAAGCGTCGATAGCAAAACTCTCACAAGCTCTTCACTTCGGGTGGAGTCAGGAAACTTGCCTGAGGTTTGGCCCCACCCGGGAATCGAACCTGGGTCCTCTCGCTAAACTACTGCACTACACGACTCCACAAATTTGCTCATGTCTGCATCCCCCACATTGACTGATTTTTATTGGGACGGGCGGTGAGGGGGGGGTGAGCGGTGGTGGGTGGGAGGGCGAATTATTGGCTGGGACACTTCTCTTTTCGGGTAGTTCCAGGGGATCTTCCAACATCCACCCGAACAGGTTCCGCTGAGCGTGAGAGGGGGGGAAATGTGTTCAGGTTTCCGGGGGTCGACCCTGAATTCTCCTTGTGTTATTCCCTTCGGCAGAAATCCTTTGTGAAGAGCAACAGCAAGTGTCGCAGTCTGATGGACTACCCCATGCTGATGGACGAGGTGGTGCTTCAGGTCTTCTTTGACACGAACAGCAAGTTATTGTGCTCGCCCCCGGAGCAGGGAGACGCCTGGCGGGACGTCAACATCGCACAGGCCTCTTCTGTGGACAGCGGCATCGATCTGAGCGGGCAGTCGGGGAGCCAGACCAGCGGGCAGTCCGGCGGTCGGATGAGTAGACAATTCGCGGGTCAGACGAGCGCTCAGTCTGCGGGTCAGGCCAGCGGGCAGTGCGAGGCTTGGAGCAGCGGGCAGCTCAGTATAGTTTGCGACGAGGAGCCGAACCACTACATGCAACAGAGGCCGGAGCCCGTCAGCCTCCAGGGCCCGGCGGCCGGGGAGAACGCTGTTATTCTGCGGTCGGGCGGCATCCTGCACCAGAACACGCCCGACAGCGGACTGAGCCCCGACGTCTCAGGCTACCAGAAACAAAGCTCGAACCCCGCGAGCTCCACACAGCACGGGGGCATGTCCCTCGCGTCACCACCTCAGCAGGACACGGCGCTCGGCTTCTCGACCCCGGGCCACCTCGACACGGTGGACTGCTTCTCAAACGGACTCCTGACTTTAGATGATTTAGTGATGACTGAGGCAACCTTGTGAAATGGACATTGTTTTTTTTTGGGGTGTGGGTGTGGGGGGGGGTGGGGGGGACTTGGGACGAATGAATGAACGAACGAATGCATTTTTGTAATTTATTTGGATAGTAATTTATTATTAAAAAAAATCTGATTTTTCATGAAACTGATGGCTGGAACCGTCACCGTGGTCTTATCTAATTGCCACCCACTGCCTCCGCTCGGCTGTCTCCGGCCTCCTATTCGTCCCTCGTTCCCGTCCGATCCGTCATCGGTGGCCGTTGCCTTCAGCCACCACGTACCCGAATCTCTGGAACTTTCTCCCCCAATCCCTCCGCCTCGCCCCCTCTCCCGCCCTCACCTCCAAATCCTGCCAAAAGACCCTTCCTTTCTTGACCGTGCTTTCTGTCAACTCCCCCCACCCCCCCCGCTCTGCTCGTTGACAGACTCCGCCACCGTGAAGCGCTCCGGGATGCTACGCCGTGTGAAGGGCGCTGCCTAAATGCAAGATGTTGTTGTTGGTGAGGCAGACCACGAACAGTTGCGGATCGAAGTGACCAAATTATTATCATTTTGTTTAACTTTTGTCCGTCCGGAAAGGGCAAATTTTTTTACGGGAATTATTTCTTTACACGGAAAGCGTAGAGGGATTGCCGGGAAGTTTGGTTGAGGCTAAGGCAGTTGGGAATCGGTTAAGAAAAGGCTCAATCCTGGATTCGAAGGACTGCAATCGCTCCCCCCCCTCCACCCCCCAATCCATTTAGGAGCATTCTATCCGGCTCGGTGCACCTTAATGTGGGTTTGAGAGAGGGAAGTTACAGAGTAGGGAGTTTTGACCGAAGGGAACTTCTGTTTGTAACAGATGACTGATTCTCCAGAAGTCGGTTACAGAGAATTTTGATCCAAATCATTTACAGTTTTTGTCTCTTGTTCACCCTTCGCAGAAAGAAAGTGAAATAGTCTCGCGGAGAGCATTGCCTTATCTCATTGGAGTCCTGCAGCTCAGTGGTTAGAAGCGCTCACCTCGCAAGCGAGAGGACCTGGGTTCGATTCCCCCTAACGTTGGGTAGGTTTCCCCACTCCAGACACCCACCTCTGTTCACTTAGCAGTAGTAGGAACCTGGTTGTTGGTCGAAAAAAATAATAATTTAGTCACTCAATCCACGGCTGTCTGTGGGGACGCTGCTGTGCGCAATTGGCTGCCGCGTTTCGCCCACGAAATATACAGCCAATACACTTTACCCTATATTCTGTGAAGCACTTTGAGACGTCGCGAAGAAGTGCTAAGGCGCTGTGTTAAATGCAAGGATTATTATCATGGTTATAATTCTTTCCCTCCAGTGGCTAGCGAGACGGGAATACAACCATTCCAAAAAAGGGAACAAGATGAGCAACTCGAGCAGAGAAATCACGAGATGTGGCGGGGATCGAGCCTGGGAATCGGGTTGATTTTAAGATCAGCGTCTCAGAAAAGCAGTGAAGAGAGGCCCAAGCCTTTGCAAAGTGCTACATCTTGTGGCACAGTCAAGAATTGCAAAAATTTTATAATAATAATAATAATAATCCTTGTATTTGACATAGGGCCTTATCACGTCTTCGAGACGTCTCAAAGCGCTTCACAGGACACACTGCAAAGTGGAATGACTGGAAATTGCGCCCAGCGGCGTCCCCACAAATCAGCCGTGAAACAATGTGGTTCCGCTTACTGGTGAGTGCTACAATCCTCCCTCCGCCCCGGAATTTCTGGACTGTGGTTCCTCTTGGAACGTTGCCATGTAATGGTAGAGGACGGTGCTGGGACGGGGACCTGGGAAGCTCAGTGCTCCGCTCACTGTAAACGGTGGCTCCACCTCCAGCTGTATGTTCTTCAGGTCTCTGCGTGGACAAAGTCATGATTACACCAACCTGTACTGGGATCAAGGCTGTGCTGGAGTGCACGTCGGGAGGACGTCCCAAGGCTCTGGACAGTCAGGTATTTGGACCCGAGCTGGGGGTTGGGTTCAGGATGGGGTGGAGGGTGGTGTGGGGGGGGTGTGTGTGTGGGGGGGATGGGATAGGAGGGTCACTGAAGGCTCGGTCGAAGAGTAGGGTCTTGAGTTGGGCCTTGAAGGAGGCGAGGGAGGGAGCGAGGCGAAGGGAATGTGGGCTGGAGATCCAAAGGGAATCTCCGCCTGCGTGCAGAAAGGCTAAAGGGCCGAATGCTGATGGTGGGATGGGTCGGTCAGGGGCACGAGGAGCAGGTCAGCGCCCGCTGAGGGGTGGGGGAAGAGAACCGGTTGGTATGGAAAGACCACGATCGCTGCGGTGGGTAGGGTTTACCACGTTTCCGTAACAAAAAAACTCACACGAGTTCCTGCTGAGCGCGACTCACCTGAGAACGTTTTTGCTGAAGGTGAACTTGGGTTCTGTGGAACAAAGTGGAGGGGTTGGAGTGAAGCGGGGTTTAACCCTTTGTAAGCTAATCGCGAGGGTGGCTGTTATTTCCCGCTAAACCTTTATGTCAGGAAATCCCCCTCTCCCCCACCCCGCGCCCCGGTTGCAAAGACACAGTGTGAAAACATTAGCCACTTTCTGATCTCTTGAGTCAGGACTCCAGATGACATTCCCCACGTTATCGGAGTTGGGTGGTGGGGGGGAGGGGGGCGCAGCGCTATATTGTTGGAGGTACCGTTAACCCCACGTCCCTTCCACCTGTGCGTGTGGACGTTAAACACAAGAGGTTCTCTAGGAGTCCTAAGTGCTCCAGGACCCTGCCTGGCGTGATATAAAATGGAAGTTGTTGTTGTGGTTGTTGTCCTGGCCGACAGATAATCAATCCCACTTCACGGCGCAAACTGGCCACCGCGTCCGCCTCTAGGAACAGTCACTACATGTGACGGCACTGTGGCTGTAGACCACTGCCCGAGATGTTGTACCAAACAGGTTTCCCCTGATGGGAACGAGCAAGTGTCACCGAGATGCGGCGAGGCGATGGGAGGGAGTGACGCAGGGAGACACCACACCTACTTGTCCAGCACCGTCCGCGTTTCCAACACCTGACAGCGAGGACACTCAGCACCACCAACGCCAGGGCCAGCAGACAGACAGACAGAATCACACCTCGCACGGCAATGGGGCTCCCAGCTGTCGGAACATACACGGTTAATACCAAATGCCCACTGTTAATATCAGACTATATAGAGGTGCCCACTGTTAATATCAGACTATATAGAGGTGCCCACTGTTAATATCAGACTATATAGAGGTGCCCACTGTTAATATCAGACTATATAGAGGTGCCCACTGTTAATATCAGACTATATAGAGGTTCTCACTGTTAATATCAGACTATATAGAGGTGCCCACTGTTAATATCAGACTATATAGAGGTGCCCACTGTTAATATCAGACTATATAGAGGTGCCCACTGTTAATATCAGACTATATAGAGGTGTCAGTGTTAATATCAGACTATATAGTGTTAATATCAGACTATATAGTGTTAATATCAGACTATATAGTGTTAATATCAGACTATATAGTGTTAATATCAGACTATATAGTGTTAATATCAGACTATATAGAGGTGTCACTGTTAATATCAGACTATATAGAGGTGTCAGTGTTAATATCAGACTATATAGAGGGATGAAGATCAGATGGGGTAACTGGTCACTCACTGTCTCCCCCCGCTGGCGCTACAGAAGTGTAATTGTTTGTTGTTGATGCTGTGCCATTCTGCGATCCCCAATTGCTGGTGTTCAGGGCCTGGGGGAGGGAAATAACCGGTGGCACCTCTGTATCCGAATCGGAATCTGAAACCAAGGGGAGACAGTTCAGGGCCATCTCCGACTAGCAGCAGCCTCGGGAAATACCGAGTTAAATCGCCTGTCGCGAGTTATTATTGTGATCATCGCACCAAATGATCAAATGTCATAATAATAACATCAAATAGGCGCTCGGTGTGCAGAGCAGGTTTGGCCAGACTCAGCCAGTGGGAGTGTCAACCGCAAGTACAGGAACATTAACCCTTTTTAGCGACCCTCTCCATCCCGAAACAGGCTCCCCCCCACCTCTTGCGCTTCCATCAAAATAATAATTCGGTCCCTCGATCCGCCGCGGTTTGCGGGACGCTGCTGTGCGCAATTGGCTGGCCGCAAAATACGCAGTCAATTCACTTTACCGCCTATCCTGTCGAGCGCTTTGAGACGTCTCGAAGGCGTGATGAGGCGCCGTATCAAATGCCAGGATTATCATTATTGTTGTTATCGTTATAAAGAATTAACGACCCTCTAAAAATATGGCTCTTCCACCCGCCGCCGGCCCCCCCTCCACCACCCGCTCCCAGCGCTGAGCCCAGGTCTTGATGCGGGGGCCCTATAACCCAGAAACTTCTGAGTACAAGGCCACGAGTGCGAGTTAGACTGCCCGAGGCTATCAACTGGAATCAATCAATCAATCAATCAAACTAAACCTTTAGCCAGACTGGGGAGAATATCACCACGTCAATACAATACACATTTACATTTAAATGGTCATCGCCTTTCACCCAAAGGAGGAATGTCCCAAAGGGCATAAACTGCTCGATGTTAAGTGCCTGCAATGCCTTAGGGAACCTGGTTAGTTCCCGAAGGTGGTAAGAATCCTTTCCCCCCCCAAAAAAAAGAATGATCACCAATAAACATTTGCGAGGAACTTCTCCCCATGTCAACTGAAGGCTCGCTGCTCTAATTCCCATTCCCTGCTCTGTCCCCATGGTGTCTGTGCTGGGGCTCGTTCCCCCACTGGAGCTCTCTACTCTAACCCCATTCCTTGCTCTCGCTCTCTCTCTCTCCCCATCGTGTCTCGGTGCTGGGGTTCGCTCCCCACTGGAGTTCTCTACTCTAACCCCATTCCCCCCCCCTCTCTCTCTCGCGCGCTCTCCCCATGGTGTCTGTGCTGGGGCTCGTTCCCCCACTGGAGTTCTCTACTCTAACCCCATTCCCCCCTCTCTGTCTCTCTCTCCCCATCGTATCTGTGCTGGGGTTCGCTCCCCACTGGAGTTCTCTACTCTAACCCCATTCTCCCCCCCTCCCTCTCTCTCTCTCTCTCTCTCTCCCCATCGTGTCTGTGCTGGGGCTCGCTCCCCCACTGGAGCTCTCTACTCTAACCCCATTTCCCCCCCCTTCTCTCTCTCTCTCTCTCTCTCTCTCTCTCTCC